CCCCCCCCCCCCCCCGGTACCTCTTGGATCGCTGCAGCAAAGCCCCGGCCGTTCTCTGGCCCCGGCAGCCGCCGCCCGCCGCCCCCCAGCAGCTCGGATCCGACATCGCGGAGCCGGGAGCGCGCGGGGCCGCACCGGGGCCGCCTCCCGAGCCGAGCACGGCCCGACCCGCCCCGTCGCACCGGGGTTACCGTGGAAACGGGCGGCGGTTCGAAGAGGAGGGGGGGGGGAGTAGGGTCGCCATAGAAACGAGGCGGTACCCCCCCATCACCACCACCAAATGGGGTCAGGGTTGCCATGGAGATGGGGCAGCACCCCAAAATGGGGTCGGGTTGATGTAGAGGCAGGGCAGCACCACAAAAGTGAGCTTCGGGTCACCATAAGAATGGGGTGTCCCCCTAAATGGGGTCGGGGTTACTCAAATAGACAGAGCATCACCCCCAAAATGGGGTCTGGGTTAGCAAGGAGATGGACATCACCCCCAGATGGGGTCAGGGTCAATACAGAGACAGGCTGGGTTGATACAGAGACTCCAAAATAGAGCTTTGGGCCACCATAGGAATGGGGCATCACCCTAAATGGGGTCAGAGTTACTCATAGAGAGCATCACCCCAAAATGGGGTCCAGGTTACCATGGAGATGGGCATCACCCCAAAATGGAGACGCAGCCACCACTATCATGCGTTATGGAACCACACATTCCCCAAAGTCAGTGCTGCTGGCCCCAAAACTCACATGTTGCTGCAGTGTGGGCAACCCTGGGGGGGCTCCCCAATGTGCCCCCACTGCTCCTCGCACAATGGGGCCACTCGGGGGGGGGGGGTTCACCCACACAGCCCCACACACTCCCTCCTGGGCTGCAGCGGGGACACCCCACGCTAAGACCCAGTGACACAGATCCCGGTGCCCGGCCTCATTTTCCAGCTGTGAGCGGGTCAGGTGCCGATGCATCACCAGCACAAACCCCACGTGGGACAGCATCACCAAACTGAGCTGAAAATCCCCCAAATCCCCACACTGATGAGGCCCGGTCTGCTGGATGCCACCAACTCCATGTCCTCATCCCCACGCTGTCCCCACCGCAAAGCACAGCGTGGCCCCAGCAGCCGCCCTGCCCCGAGCATGGTGCCACTCTGCCCTGTGCCACGGGTGACTATGGGATGGCCACCAAAAATCCCCTAAAAACGAGCACCCCATCCCACAGCAGGTTTCCTATGTGGGAGACGGGCCTCACCCTCGCTCTGACCCCATGCTGGGAGGCATTTTGAGATTTTCCCCCAAATAGAGCACGCTCAGAGGCTGAGCTCCAAGTGCTGTGATGGCATTCACACGGGGTTCCCCCAAATGGAGCCATCCGTTGGGGATCACCATGCACAATCTGCTTTTGGGGCATGCAAACTGGGGATGGACCCCATCCACCTCTCCCAGTGTGCCCAGAAGAAGCTTCTGTCCCATTCGGGGTGGGAGTCCCACCTCCCTGCCCCGAGCAGACAGGGTTTGGGATCTTAGTTTGGGGTCTTACCTCCAGGGGTGCAGAGATAGCAGCGGGCTGCAGGGGCTGCAGGGGCTGCAGGGGCTCAGCAGCGTCGGGCTCTGGCTGCTCGGGGAGAGGCTGCAAGGCAACGGTGTGAGCGGCACCCGGCACCTGGGGGCACGGCACAGCAGCAGCAACGTCCCCCCCGGGGCACCATCGGGAACGGGGGACAAGGAGCACGGAGAGGGGGGAGAGCTGGAGGGGAGACGTTGTGGGCAGGGCTGAAGGGGGCACAGATGGGGGGGAGAGGGCTGTGGATGCCGGAGGGCAGGCTCCACGGAGGGCAGGAAAGCTGGGGCTGCTCGGGATGAAGGGACGCCCAGGGTATGGGGGGGTTGGGATGAGGGGATGCGGGGATGCTCAGCACGCGGGGATGCTCGGAGTGCTCGGGATGTGGGGATGCTGGCGATGTGGGGATGCCGCCGTCGCCGTCAGCCCGAGCCCGGCGCCGCCGGCAGCCCCTCCCCGACTCACTCCAAGGTCAGCGCGGGGATCTTCAGCCGCTCCCGCCGCGCCTTCATCCCGCCGCCGCTCCGCTCCGCTCCGCTCTGCCCGTCGCACCGGCAGCCCCCGCGCTGGGCGGCTCCAACGGGCGGGCGGCAGCGGCGGCACCGCCGGGAGCGGAGCTCGGCCCGCCGGGCACGGACCCGCCCCTGCAGATCGGTACGGCTCGGAATAGCTCGGCACGGCTCGGCACAGCTCGGCACGGCTCGGCACGGCTCGGCACGGCTCGGCACGGCTCAGTACAGCTCGGCACGGTTCGGCACAGCTCGGCACAGCCGGCACGGTTCGGCGCTGCACCCCCCGGCTCGGCACCGCTCAGCACCGCGCGGCACAGCAGCCGCTGAGCTCCCAGCACCGCCCGGACGGCGCAGAGGCTGCTCGGGGTCCCCCGGTTCCCGGGATGCGCCCGGGCACAGAGCAGCACCGTTCCAGGACGGCCCAGTACAGCACCAGTACGATCCAATAACGGCCCCAGCGCCCCCTCCAGCGCACCCTTGGCACAGCACCGTGTGCCCCACAGCCCCAAAGGCATTGCAGCACCAGTACATCCCTCATCATCCCGCAGTGCCCCGAACAGCCTCAGCACAGCTTCAGGATCGGCTCCAGCCACACGCCGGTGCACCCCAAATACACCGTGGCACGTCCCAACGCACTGCGGCAGCACAGCTCGCCCCAGTACACTCCAGTACTCCCAGTACACCCTTACACACACATATCACATCTCTTTGGCATCAGAAAGCACGGTGATCCCGCTCTGGGTTTGGGCACGGCGAGACCGGGCCACCCCAAGGTGGCATCCAGCTGAGCCCGGCAGACAGCAGCGCGTCCCCAGGCGCAGCCCTCCCGGTGACACCACGTCCCACGCGGTGCAGCTCAGCAGACTTACGCTCTCCCTCGGCGCGGCAGGCTCAGCTCCTTCTGCAACGAGAAAAGCAACGAGCGGGGTCAGGGCTGCCACCGCTGCTACCGCAGGGACCGTCCCCACTGAGGGGTCAGCACAGGGGGGACAGCTGCTCCTCAGCGCCCTGCGCTGGCGGCTGTGTGGCCAGGCCTCGAGGACAGGAGACAACAGCCCCAGGGTGACGGCTGTGCCCCATCCCTGTCCCTGTCCCTGTCCCCCACACTCGGCCGTGGGCAGCAGCCGGTGTCCTGCACGCTGTTTATTTTTCCAGCCGATGGGAAGATTTCTGGTGGAAGCTGTTTGCTTACAGGTGGCACGAGGGGCAAAGGGCAGCGGAGCAGCACAGCAGCCTCTGTGCAGCAGGGACTGAGCACCCACCCGTGTGCCACCCAGCAGGCACAGAGAGCTGTGGGTGCCGGCGGGCAGTGCGGGATGTGGCACACGTGGTGGCTGCACGTGCTGCTAATGCCCATCACTGCCTGATCTGTGCCCACCGGCCCCGTACCCCTAAGCAGCTTAACCGCATTCCCCACCAGGCAGCACCCACGGGTGGGGGCTGAGTGAGCTGCTGTCACTCCTGCACCCCACGCAGCCGGGGGTACCCGCGCCCCGTCCCGCTGCCCCCACGGAAATCCCTGGGCTGGGGCGCACAGCAACACAGTGATGCAGCAGCATTGCCATGACAACGGGTGACATCACGCCCCGATGCACAGGGATTCAGCAGCGGGGGCCCGTGGGTGCTGGAGGCGGCGGGGGGTGTGTGGTACCGGGGTGGGTGCACTGTGACAGTGTGGGAGCACGGTGTTGGTGTGGGTCCTCTGGCACAGCGCTGTGACCCCACGGCCGGGTGTTGGGTCCCCGCATGGAGCAGGAGCTCTCCCAGGACCCTCACCCTGCTGCCCCCGGCTGGGATCCCCATCCTCACCCAGGGCCATGCCGTGGGCTGCTGGGACGGCACTGGCACTGGGCACAGCACTGGGGATGGCACTTCTGCCCGATGCGTTGGGATAACCATCCCCACCTGCTGCAGGGAGCTGAACCCACAGCCGCGGGGCTGCTCCTCCCAGGGACCACCTGAGAGCAGCGCTGTGGCTGCCGTGGTGCTGCAGTTGCTGTGGGGTCCCTTCCCCCCACCGCCCCCCACCGCAGCAGCACGCAGCACAGCGCGGCGCCCCGGGGAGCTGCCAGCTCGGATGAAAGCAGCGCCGTGCCGAGCTCCAACCGCACCGACAGCTCGGGACGGCCCGCGGGGGGCTGCGCTCCGTTTTGCAGATGGGGACGGAGTTGTGAGGTCACCCGGAAAATCGGCGCAGAGCTTCGGGCTCAGCGTGAGCCCCCGCTGCGGCCGTCTGCCCTCCGAGAGGGGCGGCGGGGATCTGGGGGTGTGGGAGAAGGATAGGCGGGGGGTTGGGGGTCGGAGCCCCTCGGGGTGCGCAGTGGGGCGGGGGACTGCAAACCCTCATAGCCTTGGTTGGGCAAAGATCGGTCATCGCTGGGATGGGGGTCCTGCGCTGCTCCCACGGAGCCCCCGGCAGAGCCCCTGCTCACGGCCCTGTGCCCCCCGGCACCCACAGTCGGGATCCTCTCCCCCAGCCGGCACCGCACCCCAATCCCACCCGCAGCACCGCTCCTCGTATGCACGGCACCCCCCTCTCCCGCACACACGGCACCCGCTTGCACACGCACTCACCGAGCATCCACCCTTCTCGCACCCACATCCAACACGCACACACGCACACACGCGCCCTCCAGCACCCACCCCGCGCCCACCCGCCCCGCACGGCCCCGCGCCGCTCACCTGCAGCCCCCTCCGCCGCAGGATGCTGGGCTCGTCCATTCCGCCGCGCCGCGCCGCCGCCTCCCGCTGCTCCCGCTCCGCCCGGTGCTCCCGGAGCGCCGCCCAGCGGCCCCGGCACGGCGCGGCACGGCACGGGGGTGGCGGGGAGCGGGGCGGGCAGCGCGGTGTCCCTTCCTCCCCTGATGGCCCGGCACAGTAAGGGCTGACCCACGTCCGACACCGCACGGCACAGCGCGGCTCTGCCCGGCTGGCTCGGCACGGCACGGCGCAGGTCAGCACGGCACGGCATGGTGCGGCTGTGGCGTGGCCTGGCCTGGTTTGGCACGGCACTGCATGGCAAGGCACAGCTTAGTTTGGCACAACGCAGAACAGCACAGCTCGGTTTGGAGCAGCACGGCACGGCATGGCACAGCTTCATTTGGCACGGCACAGCTTGGTTTGGCGCAGCACGCCGCTCCAAGAGCCACAGGGCTCAGCGTGCGCCCACGGCGGTGGGCTGAGGGGTCACAGCCGCCCCTGCACGGCGCTCCACCACCGCCGCCGCGCTGTCCCCGCGCGGAGCGGCGCACAAGGGGACATTTTGTGCGGGGACAACGGCGCTCTGTGCGCGGTGCCACCCGGCTCTGCCGCCCGCGATCACACGGCGCTCGGTGACGCCGTGCCCTGTGCCTCAGTGGGGCTTTGTTGTGACCTCGAGGGGGGGACGATGTGCGCTGGGGACCGGAGGGCTCTGACCGGACACGTGGCCCCGCGCTGGGAGCAGCCCCGACCTCGCAGCTCCTGATTCACCAAATACGGGCAGCGCATCGAAGCCACGACGTTGGGGTTGCCAAAAAAAGGGAAAAAAAAGAGAAAGAAAAAGCAGCGCAACACAACACCTCTTTTGCTTACCTTGCTCTTCTGGCAGCGTCGGGGCGGGTGTGCGGGCACAGCGGGGGACATCAACGCTGCTTTCTCTTTTGGTTTTGGTCCAAGCGAAGCACGCGCCAACGCCGGCAACGGCCGCACTCAGCAGCAGAGGAAGCGGCAGTGGGGGCAGAGCCGGGGGGAGTGGGACCCTGCGGGGGGGACGTGGTGAGGATGGAGCGCGGAGGGGTCCCGGCGCTGCGGTGGCTGCTGCTGGCGTTGGCGCTGCCGGCGCGGGGCGGTGAGTTCTGCCGCGATGGGAGATAAGCGCAGAGGGTTTTGCTGAGCGATACGGGGTGATAAGGGAAGGGTGTCGTGCAGGGAGCTTTCATGGCAGCGGATGGAGGTGTTTCGGGCTGGGGGCACAGTCCTGGAGCTGGGGGCAGCGGGATGGCGACTGGATGGTGCTGGCGGGCAGAGCTGCGTGGCATCCATGGGATAAGAGGGCATTTTGGGAATCACTGCACGACTGCTTTAGTCTCTCTGCCCCACTGCGCGGCGCAGCACTGCCTGCTGCACGCTGCCGTCCCGGTGCCGGGGGCCCACAGCTCCACTGCCGGCTGAGCCCGTCTGCCCTCTGCACGGCCTCCGAGCCACCCCCGGCCACTGTGGGTTCGTGTGGAGTCGCAGTGGTACCGGGGGGGCTGGAGGGGGCCCTGCAGGGGGCTGGGAAATGGAGCACCGATGGCCCCTGGCCCCCTCCCCATCCCCATGACCCCAGGTCGAGCAAGCTCCATCACCCCAACCCTCCAGAGCCCGGATGTGACTCCCTACACACAGGTACCTCCGATCCCCCCCCCGGGCTCTCCTGCTTCAGGCGCTGCAGCTCCGGCCCCTTCACCTGCTCCTGGCCACCCCAGGGCCCCGCCGGCAGCACCACCTACGTCCTGGTGTTCTGGTGAGTCGGGGGCACCGCATCAGGAGCACACAGGGGACACTCGGGGGCATAGGGGCACGGTGCCACTGCTGTACACCACGGCTGAGTGCTTTCCCTGCAGCTATGTGAGCCCACAGCTGTGCCAGCAGCACGATGCGGGCACCACCACGGTGCACACCCTGAAGCAGCGCAAAGTTTATGTCCGTACCAACGTCACGGCCTGGGTGGAGGCACACTGGGAACAGCACCTGGAGCGCAGCCCCAACATCACGCTGCACCTCGACGAGGCCGGTGAGTGCTGGGGACCGGGCAGGGCAGCCGGCTGCAATGGTCACCACAGCTGTGCTGTCCCTGCAGTGAAGCTGGATCCCCCTTCCCACGGGACACCCTTCACTAAGGCCAATGGGCGCCTGCAGCTGTGGCTGCCACGGCCACAGTGTCACCACGAGGAGCGGCCGCCACCACACAGGGAGGCTCGATTCCGCCGGGTGGGTGATCACAGCTGGATGCAGGTGAGGGGACCAAGGAAACCCCCCCCCAGGACCACATCCCCTACACCTGGGTCAGCATCACCATCACCTGGTGACCGGTCCCACCATTCTCTCTGCAGGTGATGTGTGAGACAGGGAAGGGTGAGGATGGAGAGGATGACCCAGGTCTGTTTCGCCCCATGGGATGCTCAGGGTTGTGGTGGGGGGACAAACTCATCCTGGGAGGGGTCACCTCAACACCACTGACCCGGTGTGCTGCAGTGACCTGCGAGCTGGGGGGAACCGCTGCCTTCGAGGTGCAGCTCCGGCACAGGACGCAGCACTGGAGCAGCCACTGGAGCGACTGGAGCACATCCATCTTCGTCCCTGAGGGTGAGTGTGATGCCAGGAACGACCTCACATCCCTGCACCTGGCTGGCACACACCTGGGTGAGAGCATCGCTCCTCTCACAGAGATCCTGGAGAGCCCCGCGCTGAGCTTCAGGCTGGGACACCTCGGGAGAAATGGGCAGAGGCTGTTGCAGCTGGGCTGGCAGGTAGGGCAGGTGGGTGCACTGCTGGGATGTGGCCCCATGTACTCCAGGCACCCCACGGCATTGCCACCGCTGTCCCCACACAGCGCGCCCGCACGGCACAGGGGGACGTCACCTACACACTGCGTGCCCACATGCCGGAGTGCAGCTGTGCCGAGGAGGACGAGGTGGTGCTGGGGCCAGAGGAGACAGAGTACAACCTCACAATCTGCGGGGCTGCATACGAGATCGTGCTGACAGCCACCAACGCTGCAGGAACCAGCCCTGCACGGCAGCTGCAAGTGCCGGCGGAGCAGCACACGGGTACCCAAAAGGGCCACGGAAAGGACGAGGCTCCTTGGCCCAGCACCACCCTCACCTCTCCTCTCCCCGCGTTTTGCCCCAGAGCTCAGCTTCCAGAACATCAGCTCGGTGGGCACCATGGTGACCGCACGCTGGGAGGCACCAACGCGAGGCTTCACCTTCTGCTCTGAGCGGCAGCGGATACCGGGAGACCCACGGCCGGGACGCTGCGTGCAGGAGGAGTTTCTCGCACGCAGCTCCCATTGGCAGGCAGGCACGGCAGCGCCCCGAGCCCCAACGCCCTCCCGCTGGCTGCAGCCACGCGGTGACGGTGCCGCTCCTCACGCAGGGCCGCTGGAAGCGCCGGCGTGTTACCGGCTCGCCGTACACGGCCGCGGTGCAGAGCAGGACTGGGCCACCTTCGCTCTGCAGCATCACTTCGTCGGCAACAGTACGTAGGGAGCGGGGACATCGCAACCCCCCGGTGCCGCACAGAGGGCCGGCCGGACCCTCAACGACCGCTCCCACCTCACGCAGCCTCACTGGCCGCCTCTGTCCGCATCAACGCCAGCGCCGATGCCGCCGTGCTGCTCTGGGAGCCGTCTCCACGTGCTGCTTGTCCCGGGGCGCTGCTGGGGTACCGCGTGTGCCACGCGGCTGAAGGGGACAACGTGACGTGTGAGTGGTGGCATCGCTGCCAGGAGGGTGTGGGGGACCGAGGAAGGGCGGCTCTGGGCGCTGCTGCCCACGCGGTGTCACTTACAGATGGCGACGTGGACGCATCAGCATCGCAGTACGCACTGCGAGACCTGAAACCGGGCACCGCCTACAGGGTGGGCATCCAGGAGGTGGCAGCGGGAGGCAGGGGCACCTGCAGTGCCCGGTGGCACTTCCAGACCACGGCACTGGGTAACGGTGGGGGACCTCCTCCCTTTCTCATGGGGGCCTTCCTGTGTCCCATTGGGCACAGGGAGGGGACATGGGGCCGGGATGCCACCATCACCCAGAGGTGCTCACCTCCAGGTGTCGGAACGGCGGTGTGGAGCTCCAACCTGAAGTACCTGGGCATCTCACTGGGGCTCCCAGCTGCCGCCCTCATCTACCAGCTGAGCAAGAAGAGGTGAGAACAGGCAGAATTACAGTCCCTCTGTGCCCCTCTCCCCCTGCATTGACCCCACTGGCATCTCCCCAGGCTCCACGGGATGCTCTTCCCCCCCCTGCCCAAACCTACAGGCAGTGAAGCCCTCCGGTTCTCAGCCAGCGAGATGAGCCAGGTGAGCTGCAGTGTGCACTCTGGGATGAGCTGCGAGGCCGAGACCTCCCAGCACAGCGCTGCTTCTCCCCAATAGAACAAGCCCTGGAAAAGCTTCCTGGAGCCCTCGGAGCAGCTCAGCCCCGAGGAGTTGCTGGTGATGGAGCTGAGCCCTGAAAAGGAGGCAGCCACCAGCACACAGCCTCTCACACCACAGCTCAGCCCCAAAGAACCGATGGAGCCACTGCAGCCACACTGCAAGATGGAGCTGCCCTTCGCATACCGGCGACAGGAGGTGCTGGACCCAGAGCCAGTGGGGTCAGGGGGGGTCCCCACCTGTGGCCCCACAGCTGCAGAGGACGGTGCAGGGAGCTGGGGGCCGAGCCAGGTGCTGCCACCTCTTGTGCAGCTCAAACCCATCACTCCACAGGATCAGGAGGGTGTGGGGCTGCTGCAGGAGAAGGCGGTGCCTTAGGGATCCCAGGGATGGGGGACAAAGCGGGTCCCTCAGACAGCGAGGGGGTGATGCTGAGGGTCTGGGAGGGCTGATGCTGAGAATCCAGGTAGGATGCTGACTGCCCTCGCCAAGGTCTGGTCCTGTGGGCACTTTCTGGGGTGTTTCTGATTTCCAGGAACACTGCTGCACTGCACAGGGCCAGGACCCAGTGAGGCACAGTGCAGCTCAAAGTAATGAGAGCAGGGGGCTGTGGGCTCAGCTCCCCGTATGGGGGTGGGGATGTTTCCTTGGACACGAGGAAGCTGCTTTGGGAGCACATCAGAGTGAAAGCTGCATCCCTGCCCCCGTGGGATGGGGGCACAGCCAAGCCCAGCGCCAAGCACTGAAATACCAGAGTGTAAAAGTAAAGAAAACCAAACAGCAGCACCCCCATGCCCTCCTTGTCCCACCCTGGTCGGGGAACTCCGGGGTTTGGTGTTGGGACCCCGAGCAGTGGGGTGAGACACGTGGGGCTGCGGAGGCCGCGCCGTGCGCCGTATCTGGGACAGAACCTTCGGCAGTGGTTTGTGGTCCGTCTGCCCCACACGGGGGTGTAGGCGGCCTCCGGTGTGTGCTGAGGGAGCAAAAATTAACGCTGAGGAAACAGAAACGGGTTTAAGAGGCAAGAGGGAGATGTGGGCAGAGGCAGCGTCCCCCCGTTCCGCCACACGAGGGGTTTCCCCTCCTTCTCCGGGCTGCTGCTCGGAGCACCCCGGGCTGCGGAGGTCCCCGCGTTTTGGGGCGCTCCGTCGTGTCCGCTGTCACCGCGTCGGAGCCACAAACGGGACCACGAGGTGGCAGCAGCCCCGCGCTCCCCTCCGGCAGCCTCACACCGCCATCCTCGCACAAAACGACCCCAACTGAACCCCCACCGCGGACATCACAACCCCGCGGGGTTTTGGGGCAGCACAGCGCATCCCCCCGCACAGCGCTGACCCTTCCCCGGCCCTAATGCAGCGCTGCAGCCCCGCTCCGTCCCCTCCAAACCCAAAGCGGAGGGGCCGAAGAGGAGGACGGGCAGCCAGCAGCCTCCCGGCCCCCACGGCGCTTCTTTTTAGGGCTTTGGTTGCGACGGACCCAACTCGCGGCGCACCCGACGGCGGTGCTCAGCGCTGCTCGCAGAGGAAGTGCTGCGTTACGGGAGTGCAGCGCTCGGGTTGCAGCCCGGCCGCTGTTTACAGCCCAGCTTTTGGGGTCACGGCTCGGGCCGAGCACATGGCCCGGCACGGGGCCAGGACACGGGCACCGCGATCCGACAGCGAGACTGTGGCAGGACAGCAAGTCCCCGGCACCGTCTGAAAAACACCCCAAGGGGGGGCGGTGGGGGCAGGGGTTCTCTCCGTGCCTGCGGGGTCACCATCCCGCCGTGTCCCTTTGGGGACAGCCCCGTCCCCAGCGGCACGGTGACCCCGTGCACCCACAGAGCCCGTAGGCACAGCGCAAGGGAAAATTAATGAAGTCTCGCGCGATGCCAATTAGCACGAATGAGCGGCTCAAGGTTCCCTAATGAGTTTAAACGGCACAGAACTATTTTCCAAAAGAGTTTCCGGGAGCGGCCGTGCAGGCGGCCATCCGAGGGCGGCCACGGACACAGCATTGGCCACATCGACACCGCGCACAACCCGGATACACTGCGGCACCGGCCGCGTGCGGGCTGAGAACGGGCAGCTCATCACACGGGAGCGTGGGACTCCTCCCAGGCGGATGAGGAGAGAAAGTCATCCCTCAGGAATGGGGAAAATCCCGCAGGAATGGGGAAAAAGCTCGGCCCAGCACAGCAGCCCCAAAGGCGCCCCAAAGCCGCCGCCGCCCCCTGCGTTGTGTCGGAGCTTTTCCTTCGCAGAACGGATCCGAGGACCCGACGAGCCGCACACCGCGTGCCCCGACGCCCCGGGCCGCGCTAATTCCGGCCCCGCCGCCGTTATTTTTGGAGAAGGCCGCACCGCGCTGCGCTATTCCCGGTGCCGGCCGTGGGAGCTCCGCGCATCTCCGCTCCCAGCGCTGCCCCAGAGCGGAGCCCCGCCCGCACTCATGGCGGTGCGTTTCCCACCCCCTCTTCCCCCCCCTCCAACCCCGGGACGTTGCAGCCTCCGCTACGGCGCCGTGCTGAGGGAGCGGCAAACCCCGCAGCTCCGGAGCTGCACCCCCCAAAAACCCAACCCGGGTGTTTCTGTGCTGCGTTTCGCAACCGACGACAACAGCAGCTCCGCTCTTTGCACGCGCACACACACACACACACACACACACACACACACGCACACTCATTCACACACACACACTGCGCAGCGCTGCTGCTTTCTCGCTCTCGCTCCTCAGGATGAGGTTTTTCTTTGCCGCGAGCGTAATTTCCAGTACGGAACGGAAAGTGGCTCCGGGCACAAAGAGGCCACAAAGGAGCCGGTCGCTGTGGTCACGGCTGCGCTTTAGGGGCGGTCAGGGCCCGGGGGGGCCGCGCGGTGCCCGGAGCTTTGCGGGCTTTGGCAGCGGCGGAGCGGAACCGACGCCCCGAAACGGGTCAGCGAGAGGTCCGACGGGGCCGCGCGGAGGACAACGGCGGTGCGGGACGCCGAAAACAGCGCCGGGTTGGACAGCAAAGCCTCAGCGGCTGCACGGCGCTGAGTCCGCAACAAACAACCCGACATCCGCGGGTCCTCCTGCTCTGCCCGCGGGGCGCTCCTCCCCAGCGCTCTCTGTTTTTCTCACTGAGAACCACAGGAAAGCGGAGCGAACCGCGCTGCCGCCGGCCACAACCAGCCCGGCCCGGCCCCGACGGGACGGCCGCATCACACGGCTGCTTATCAGGAAAGTCCTCTCCCTCAGCGCGCTGTAAACCTCTGACATCACGGCAATGGGGGTCACGCTTGCCGGCGAGCCGGGCAGCAGCCGCGGGCTCCGTGGGGTCGGGGTGTAACCAGGGGCTGCGGGTGGGCCGAGGGGTTCACTGGGACAAATCCACCCCCGGCCCTGCTGTCCATCGACAGAACAGCGCAGCTGTTTGTTGGGACTCGCAGCTCCACGGTGGCAGGGGATAAATGCAGTGACAGCCCCCACTCCTCACCTGTGTGGCCCTTCGGCTCCGTTCCCCAACGTCCTTCAGAACTAAAAGCTGAACTGCAGAACTGCAAGCCCCGTGTCAGGCAGCTCTGAGATCGGGCAGGGACAGGGGTAGAGCACAGCACATCAGTGGGGGCTTTGTGCAAAGGGACCTGCAGGAGCAATGTCACCACGTGTCACACCCCAGGTATGGGCACGGGGGTCCCCGCACTGCCCCGTCACCTGCTGCCATCAGGTGAACGCACGGCTTCTCCTCCTTGTTGTTGTCACTGTTATTGTTTTTCTGGACCTGGCCCTCCACCAAGAAGAGTCAAAATATTTGTCCCTGTGTTTGTGCCTGCAGGGAGGGCCTCGGGGATGCCATGCCGGGACCTGGAGCTGCGGGGGGGTCCCCTCCACCACCCACAGCCCTGGCCCCACGGCTCCTGTTTACCCATAGACATGTTTGTGAGCCGTGCACGGCTGCTTCCCTGCTCTGAAATCATTGGACAAAAGTCAAAAGCCGTAAAAATTTTCCATTATCCACAAGAGGGGCTGCTTTCCTCCCAGTGTGTGACACACAGAACACACCAGCAGACCCTCAGAGGCATTGTGGCTGCTGTGGATGCGCTGTGCGTCCGTCTGTCCGTCCATCCACTCCAGGCCTTCCTCTGTGCAGAACACAGCGCTGGCTCTGTGCAATCTCTCCCCACTGTGGGCAGCCGAAGCCCCGGAGCACTGCAGGAGGAGCAGTCGTTGCTGTCCAACCCAACGCAGAAATTCCCCAAATCCCCCACACAGGGCAGTGTGAGCAGGGCTGCGCCTGTGTTTAGGTGGGCAGCAATGGCTCCAGTGTCCCCACACGAAGGGGTCCCCAGGGACCAGATTTTGCAGCACTGGAGCAAAAACAATGAAAATAATGGAGGTAATGGGGGGAGGTGGGGGGACACTCCCATTGCTGGCCCTGTATCTTGCAGACTCGCACCCATCAGCGCACCAGGCTGCAAACCCAGCCGCATCCCAGCTGTCCACACTGGAGCTCCCACCACGTGGCCCCAACACTCACAGCTGGGAGGTGGTGGAAGAAGAGCTGTTTTCCCGGAGCTGGACGGACGCCCGCGCTGTTAATCCGCAGCCCTCGGAGCACATTCTGTCCCCGCCAGCACCGCCGCCGGCACGGGGGGGGAACCCACCCTGGGAAGGACGCGGCGGCTCTGGGCCACCCATGGGTGCACAGCGTGCCGTGGCCTCCTGCAAGTGGCACCAGAGCAGAGCAGGGACACAGCAGACAGACAGACAGCAGGGAGGCTCTGGGCTGTGGGAGAAGGGCTTTGGAGCCGAGGGTTGCAGAGCATGGGGTGCCAGCTCTGTCCCTGGGGGTATTTTTAGCCCTTCCGGGACTGGAACTCAACACTGCGGCTTTACAAGGAAGCCCTGAGGATGTTACAAGAAGAGCTGCTGGAAAGATGGCTCCAGGCTGTGCATCTGCAAGCAACATCACCATGAAGCATCCCCATCCTTGTCCCAGGGGGGGGTGGCAAAGCAAAGGCAGTTTTGTGTAAGGGTGCATGGAGCACCTGTGGGTCCTGCATGGCAGTGCTGGGCATGGGGTGCAGCTCTGAACACCGAGCAAGGTCCAAAAAGCAAGAAAGGAAATGAAAACCCAAACAAACAGAAAAGAAACATAAAGAAGAAAAACACACACACACAAAAAGAAAAAAAAGAAAAAAAAAGGAAAACAAACAAAAAAAGAAGAAAAACAAACAAAAACCAGGGGGAAAAGTCACATTCCAGCAGCAGTGTTTGTCACAGCACAGCCCTGGAGGACACTGTGGAACTCAGCCCCATTTCAGACCTCAGCCCCATTTCAGACCCTCTGAGATCTGCTGTGCTCAGCAGACATGGGGTGCAGAAGTGCAGCAAACCCAAAGCTCACTGTGAGCACAGCGGGTGGAGGAGCTGCACGATGGGTAACATCAGAAGCCAAGGGGTGCTGCCATGGGGGTGGAAGGGGATGAGGCCACATGGAAGAGGAACAGTGGCAAACAGCAGAGCAGCACTCTGCTGAGCTCTGGGAAAGGGGAAGCAGCACTGGGGCACACATCCAGCGTGACGTCCCAAATGCAAAAGCTGAGAGCTGCAGTTGGTTACAAGAAATTTATTTCAAAGAAATCACCCAAACTGAAGTCGTACGAAAAGAGTAACATCAGAGACAAAGAGTGGTCGGTACAAAAGTGGTCACTGATACAAATAATAGAAAATCCTCTGAGCAATGCCCAGCACCGGGGCTGGGGCTCTGCGCAGGGGTCGGGAGGAATGCACAGTCTCTGGTGGCTGCCCTGGAGGACCCACTCCAGCTTTTTTTCTTGTTTCCTTGGCCAACAAAGCACTGGCCACGTCTGTGCCACCATGCAGGAGCAGCACCAAAACACCACCGCAGATCTCTGCTGCTTTGGGAATTACACTGTCCCCATGTCCTCTGCCCCACTGTTGGCCATGGGGGGCTCTGCAGCCCCCACCCAGCTGCCAGGCAGCTCCAGCCATCCCTGCAGCACCTCCCAGCTCACGGCCGTGTTCACCAGCAGCAGTCTGCCTCACCCGGCCAGTTTTCTTCTTAGGAAACTGCAGTTCTGGAGAAGCGACTGCAGCAGCAGAGCTGCACCCACAGCACCGCGGGGTCCAAACCCAGCACAGGATTTAAATATTCTCTGGTATCCCTGCGACACCTCTGAGCTCCCGCTCTCTGCAGCAGGAGGTGCTGGAGCACACATAGAGGAGCACCATCCCGGCTCCATCAACCCCAAATCCTGGGGCGGTTCCAGCCCTTCAGACCCCACAGGGCAGTGCCTGTGGTGGGGGCTCAGTGCTCTCACGGCCACCACGTCCCACTGCCACACTGTGGGTGCTCTGACTGCAGCCCAATGGTCAGGATGCCATCAGCACTTCTCAGCAGGTCATGCAGCGCGGGCGGATGCTGTCTGAAGGTGGGTTCGGGTCAATCTGCAATGCCAAATCCAGAGTCACGACCCCTGGCAGCAGTGGGTGCATCACCCCACACCACCCACACCCATCTGCAGGGTTCCTCACCTCTGAGTAGAGCGGAGGCGGTCGGAAGCGGAATTCCTGGATGTAGGCAAAGAAGGGCCCTTCCAGAACAGCCCCGAGCTCACTGCGGCACGGCGGGGCCAGGCTCTGCTCAGCTGTGGGGCTGGGCACCACTGCTGAGTACTCGGGGGGGGCTGAAGAGAAGAAAGAAAGGCGTCAAGGAATGGGGAACGTGCAGGTGAAGTGGCTTCAAACGTGCTGTTCCCAGAGTTGTTAAGGCTGAAAGTGTGCCCTGCCCCTCTGCTCACCTTCGGGTTGCTCAGGGATGTTGCTCAGCCAGTCCAGGGTGATGCTGTACTGACTGCTGACGCTGGACGTGCGGCTGCCAAATGGATGCAGTGGGATCGTCCCGATAACGAGTGGCAGCTCCAGGAGCAGCTTGGATGTGCCAGGAATATCCACACAAACCTGCAGACAGTGGGGAAACTCAGCTGTTGGTGTTACCCTCACAGAGGGGCAGAGCTTTCCTGGGTGAAGGGAAGAAGGGATTCTTGCAGTGGGACACACAGGGAGATGCTCAGCACAAGACATCGCACAGAGCACCAACCTTGATAAGCACAGCTTTGGGGAGATGGGAACACACAGCAGAGAGCTGAGCCCCACAGCGGTCCCACACACCCCTCACCTTCAGGGAATATTCCACTTGGATGATGCGGCACTGCAGGATGGACGGCCCCACCGGAGGGATCTTCAGCGCCCGCCCGTGCCACACCTCGCGCTTCCCCGCAGCGATGGAGTCCCCAACAATGCTGGTCACCACTGACTTCTTCTGCTTCTTGGCACCCCGAGCGATGAAGGTCTGAGTCTGAATGATGGCTGCTTTGGGCACCACCGCCCGGTTGGTGCAGTTGTCAATCTCAGCAAAGATAGGGATGACCTCACCTGCCGAGCAGATGCACATGTTGGAGATGGAGCCCAGTCCTGCCCCGAGGAATTCCTGCACGGGGGTCACTGGGGGTTCATCTGCCCATTGGCACGGCGGGGACGAGCAGGTGACCCCAAGTCCCCTCCAGCCAGAGTTCACCCTGGGTGCCCGAGGGAGGTGCTCACCGGGGGTGTAGCCTTTGCGGTCGATCTTGGCAGTCACTGAGACCTGGCCACGATTGCAGTACCAGGCGCGGGCGAGTTTTTCCTTAGCACCCGCCTGGGGAGCCTGAAAAAAGGGATACACAGAGGCAACTTAGAAAGGAACAATAAAACACAACGCAAGCACTTCCTTGGCACGGCCAACCTGCTGGGGAGCAGCACCAGCTCCTTGGAGCCTTATGCAAAATGCTGTTGCAATGCGTTACAGCTCCCAAAAAGCAGGAGGTGCAGCGGCCTCTGCACTCCTCGTGCCCATCCCTGCTGCATGGCACACCCCTGCAAGCTCTGCGCGGGCACGGGGGCTCACCAGCAGTGCAGGTGTGTTGATGTCGATGGGTTCGATGACAGTGAACTCCTTCTTCACCTTTTTCACTGTGGCCCAGGGTCGGTGCAGCTTGGCCTTCACCCAGTAGCGCACGCTGCCATGTTTGCCCTCGAAGGACGTTGCCAGGGTCCTGGAAGTGAAAAGGAGTGATTCCGAGGGCTCCGCTGGCAGGTTTGTGGTGGAGGTGCCCTGCTCCCATAGAAGCTCTCCCCCTCCATGTTAAGGAAACACGAACCACAAACTTACTCTGGGAGCTGGAAGGTGAAGGGGAACTCGTGCCTCCCTGCCTGCAGGACGGTGACTTCGCCGTTATCTGTGGGCAGAACAGATGGAGGGCGATTATCTCCCACCCGCGGGGCTCTGCGTGGGGATGGAGCACACGAAGGGGATGGGATCCTCCTGCCGGGGCCGCACCACCAAACCGCCACCGAACGCCGCCGTCCCCACGCCCCGCAACCCCTCCCCGCTCAGCTCGGGGCCCCGCAGCCCACCCGGCCGGGGGACGCACGGCGCGGGGATCCCCACCGGGTGCGGGGTGCCGGGGGGCGCGCGTGGGGGGCTCGGAGCCCGCAGCCGTACCTGGCGGCGCCAGCAGCGTGTCGCGGTGGCTGAGGAACTCCACCTGATCGCTGTAGCTCTGCGTGTAGGCGGTGCTGGAACCGGCGCTGCGCGATTCGGTCCAGTGGACGCGGGCGGCTCCGAGCGCCCGCAACCGGAGCGCCCCGCAGCGCACGGCCGCCGCCAGCTCCAGCACCACGCGCCCCACCACCGCCTGCCCCGGGCTGAAGGCGGCCGGCGATCCCCGCTCCGCGCCCTCCAGCACGATCAGGAAGCGCTTGAGGCGATCGAACAGCATGGCGAGAGATGGCGGCTCCAACTCGCTCCGCCGCCGCCCAGCGCCGCTTTAAGTGCCCGGCGCGCCCCGGGGGCGGCCCCGGCGGGGCGGGACGGGACGGGGCGGCCCCGGCAGGCGCCGCAAAACAACGCAACGAGCATGTGCGGGCGGCACGGCCCCCCCTCCCACCCCGTCCCGGGGCTTCCTCGGACCTGCGGCCGTCCGGTGCCCGTCGCCGCGCGGCCCTGGGACCCGCTCACCCGCGTGGCGGTGCGGTGGGCCCCGCGGGGACCCCACGGGATGGGGGTGCGCACCCCAAGGATGAACCCCTCGGGGCGGGAGCTGCACCCCCCCACGGCCCCGTCCCGTCCCCGCCGGGATCCCGTCCCGACGCCCCACGGCTCTGCTCGCCCCGCGCCCACGGCGCTGCACGTGCGGGGACCCCGCGCCCCTCCCGCAGCCGTTCCCAGAATCGCAGTGGCTGCGGGCGGATCGCGGCGCGGGGCCGGGCCGAGTGGTGATGCGGGGAAAGCTGCTCGGGGCCGCGGCTTCGCTTATTTCTAAGAAATGAAGAACTGGCTCCCGTTCAGCTTGTGCAATGCGCGGTGAGCAACGCGTCCTCCCTGGGCTGTTTAACCAGGCGAATGCCGGCTCTCCGCCGCCCTGCGCTGCGTTTGTGCCAAATCTCACCCACGGGGCCTCGCTCTGCGCCCAGCATCGCTGCCGTGCAGCTGGGATCAAAGCCCGGCGATGGGGAGCTGTGGGTCCGCAGTGCGAGGGAAGGAGCTGTGCTTTGTTGTGTGTATGTGACCGTTTGCTGCCGTGAGCAAATATGAATCATTGCAAACGCTGCGAAGGGAGCGCGGCGGCAGTGGGAAGAAGGAAGCGAGGCGCGTCCTGGCACGAGCGGAGCTCCGGGCAGCCCCCGCTGTGACTCAGCCTCACCCACAGCCCCCTCGCATTCCTTGTGCCGTGGGGACCCACAGAGCTCTGCGTCCACGGCACCGTCCGGGCATTCTGGGAGCCAGAACCCAGCCCCAGCCCCAGCCGTGCACGCAGGGCCGGCTGCAGCCCCCCGGCAGGGACAGATGGGTCAGTGCTCACACAGCGCTGTGGGACCCCTCCCAGCACCCCGTGTGGGTGCACCCAGGGCCTTGCCTTTGCCCGTGAAACCCTGTTGTCCCTTCCTTCCCAACTCCCATTCACACACTGTGCATGTGATTGGCCCTGAGCACTTCTCCATGGTTTCTGTTTGGGAGCACAGCAGAGTCCCACGCTCACTGCTCTGCCAGGGAGCTGCAGATAAACCCAGTGAGCGCAGCACAGCACACTTATCTCCACCCGGCTCGCTGCTGCGTTGCCATGGCAAACTCTGCATTTCCCAAACATAGCCCGACTCATCAGGAAGCCATGAGGGAGCAGTCATGGGACCCCCGGATGACAGCACGTTTTCCCCAGCCTCTCTCTGTGCTGCTGGTGGCAGAGGCACAGAGCAGGACCCGGCAGGACAGATACATGGGAACAGCTGTGGCTGCAGAGCAGCGCTTCTCCCAGCCCACATCACTCCTGTGATCACAGACCCGTGTCCCCCACAAAGCAGAGAAGGAAGCAGTGTGTAGGTGATGTAATGACACCCACAGGGTTCCCTGCTCCCCGTACAGCCGCCAGTTCCACGCTGTGGGAGTGCAGGGTCGGTGACTCCCCAGCCCTTGGCTGAAAGCCCTTCTCCAGGCAGCCCTATCCTGAATTGTTATTGGGATGCTTAACACGCCCGCAGCTGCCATGGGGCCATCTGTAGGCAAAGCATAGGAGGGCCGCTGCCAAAAAGACAGGAACTCCATAGTAATGAAGATGTTCAGAGCGGTGATAAGGCACGGTCACCTCGAAAAAGAGTGTATGGCCCTACAGTGCAGGCTGGAGACAAGAGCAGCTCCAGGCAGGCAGCTCCCATGGCTCTGTGACCCCTCCTTCAGCAGCAAGGCACTGCCTGTGGACGGTGAAATGCCCTCATGGATTTCAGTATCAGGGAAACCCTATGGCAGCACCGATGGTGGCACAGCAGCTGCAGCGGTGTCGTTGTGGGGGAGGACAGAAGCAGTTCACTTCTGTAAGGCAGAGTTAATGAGCAGGTAGACAGCTGACATGTCCCATGTCACTTGGCTCTGGATCATTTCATCCCAACTACACAAAGAACTCAGGTGCCTTGTCCTCATGCAGCAGATCCAAGCAACACACCAGCCGGGCATGTGGCTCCAGCACCAGAAAACTGAAAACAAATATTTACTGAGCTCCTAAGTGCTCTTTCCACACTTGTGAACAGACCCTGTATTTGCACTTCCCTGCGCAAACAGAACAAAAGCCACAAGCCCTTCCTGCTCACCAGCCTCGAGTCTGCAGGCAGCCTTGCAGAAACCCTCGGCAGAGGTCAAGAGGCAGAACCCTGCTTGCAGATGGCACCGGCGCGAGGAGAGCAGACATCTGCCCAGAGTGGGGCCTGCAGCCCAAGGGGTCCCAACCCACCGCCCGGCAGCACAGAGCCGCTCCCCAGCCCCAGCCTTACCGGGGATGAGCTGGCAGCGGCGGTTCAGGAAGGTCTGGAAGGCGGTGTAGTCGTGGTAGACGATGTTGAGCCCCACGCTGCGGCTCTCCAGCCAGTGCACGATCGCACGCCCGCGAGCACAAACCTCCAACGCCCGCAGGCGCAGCGCCCCGCGCAGCTCCAGCCGCACGCGGCCGTGCAGCAGCTCCCCGCTGCCGTAGGCTCCCCACGCTCTCCCGTCCTCCAGCTCCACCACCAAGCTCCGCACGCACCCCAGGGGTTGCATTGCTGCTGGCCCGTTTAGCCCTGCAGCTCCTGAGGCAAGCGAGACGTGCAGCCCTCCAGGAAGAGCAAAGGCTGCACCAAAATCCTCTTTCTGTCCCTGCCCCAAGCTGGCCCAGCCCTGCAGGCTCCCCAGGTGGGACTGAGACTCTGCTTTGTGGTGACGCTTTAGTGTTGACCTTGTGTGCGAGGCTGGTGCGGTGCCAAGGGGAGCTGAGGAGGTAAGTGACAGGGCTTTTAAAGCAAAGAAGGAGTAACGTCACTTTGTCTTATCTCTGAGTCACAGACGCTGTTGATGTGCCATGGGTACGTGCTGGTGGCTCCGTCTGCAGGGAGGAGTGTTGTGCTGGTTTCACTTTGTGGGGTTTGTTTGGCCTTCCCAACTCAGGCAGTCCTGAGGCATTTCTGTAAGTGGTTGGAGAGGGGCTTAGAAAGCAAAGATCCTTTTCCCAAAAGCCAGCAGAACTTTCTGTGTCTGAAATTGCAACAAGATCTACATGAAAAGAAAGTGAACAACTGCAGCCCACCCCAGCAGCAGCTCACCACCGAAAGCTGGTGTTCAGCACTTAACCCCAGGGAACAATGGCTGTTTCTGCAACAACAGGTAGCAATGCCAACTGACATGGGTCATTAAAAATATGGGACAGACCTACAGTGTTTGCAAGTCCTGTAACTACACCCAGTGAAGCAATCTATATGTTTGAATGTAGGTGTTTGCAAAATGCCAGCAAATGACACTGCGAGGAGCAGCTGTGGGAATCTGCAAGGCTTGAGTACAGCTTCTTTCAAGTACACGTGGAACAAAAAACATCCCTTTCCCAAGAGATGTAATGTCAGATCTCAAGAGGAGAGCACAGGGAGTTTGTGGGCCACTGCTCACGTACAGACTGCAGCAATTGGAAATGAGTTAGCAAGCCCTGTTCTAATACTGCAGTGCTGGCTCACAGCACACGTGAATCAAATCCATCTGCATCAAAAGACTGAGAAGAGCTCGTGAAGTGGCAGCTGTGACAAGGCAGCAGCTGAACCTGCTCACTTGGGCTCCCTTTAAAATACCTATATCCCCACCAGTTAGTGCAAGCTCAGCATTCAGGGAATCCCCAGGAGTTATCTACTCAACAGAAATACTCTGCTTGTTGCTAGGAAAACAGCCCTGCTCATCATAAGCTGGAGAGGGCTGCTTCTCTGCCCTACTGTTCACTGACCTTTGGTTTCGGGCCTTGACACCAAAATCCAAACAGATAACACGAGAATATTCCAGCCCACACACAGCTCTGACAGCACTTCTGATCTCTTGCCCTTCCCCTGAGCTTCCCCTGCTGTGCCTGCTCCCTCCTGCCCCTGTACCCGCCTGGAGGCACTCTGCGTGGATCCTGCAACTCCAGAGAGAGGTGTCACCCATGTCTTTGGACCAATCCCCTGGTGTTTATTGCTGTCACAACACTTCATGTCCTCATTCAACTCCTGAAATAAATGTTCACTGTAATAACACACAGCTGGGCCAGGAGCAGGGCCAGAACAGCAGCAGCAGAACAACTAGGTAACACACAATGCAGGCAGTTGATGTTGCAGGAAGTTCTGGGCAAGCAGGGAAAAGGGGGAGCATCATGGTGTAAAGAGCACCTTTCTCTGGGAGCAATATTCTTCCAGGGTCCCCAGTGGGATGCAGCTCACGTGGGAGTTTGCTGCTTGGATTTCTACTGTGTCTCTGTGCTTAGGTGTGAACTCATCCTTCTGCTCAGTGCTGAAGAGACTCTGCTCCTTCCAGGGCAGCACCAGGTGTGAGCATTTCATCTGAGGAGAGAGAACTGCACATGGGCATGGGTGGTAACATGAACTTCATGGGGTGGCTACAGCTTTGCTTTGCATAATCCTTCTTTCCAAACCTGCTCATGGTAAATGCTGGCCTGTTAATGCTGTACCTGCTGTAGCATGTCTTCAGAGAGTCGTTGCTTCTGCTGTCTGTGTGGGACCAGCGTAGCCTGGGAGGTGGTGATGGGATTTTCATCTGTTCACAGGTTGCAGTAAAAAGATAATTCAAGCCAGTAAATTGGGAGGCAACATCAGAAAAGCTTTGCAGTTTGTCTTGCAGTCACAGATCTGCAGACATTCCATTAATGAGAGGCAAAGACAGACTTTGCAGTCAGCCCTTCAGGGAAAACCTTTGCCCAGCAAACAGCTGCAGACTGACAGTTCTCACTGAGGAGGTAAATAAAGAAATTCACGTGGAAGACATAGGAATATCATTCCATATACTAGGTATGAAGGCAATGATAAGGGCAATTTTGACTGCTATCTGCTCCACGTCTAAAACAAATGGCTTAAAAACACATACACAGCATGAAGGGACCTCTCTCAGATGCAGGCTGTTGGCTATCAGGAACAGGAACAGTGCCAGAGGAGGATTTTAATGCCTCCCACGACCAGCTCAAACTGCATCTCTTCCTGAGGTTGCAAAAGCACAGCTTTTAATTCAAATCCTTTCTTGCCTCCCCCAAATACAAATGCAAAGTAAATTCAGAAAACAAATATAGCAAGGGAGAAAGGTCAAGCCACTGGTTTGTGTCCCAGAAAACATTCATGCCACCACCTGCACGTGCTAACAATTACTACACAATAGTAGTGAGTGACTATGGCTCACACAGGCATCAAGGTGACAACTAAGTGAGATGTCACCTGGGGAGGTGAAAGTGCCTGAGATGAGCGGTCGCTCTGTGTAGCAGGAGGCAAGGGGCTGAGCGTGGCTGTTCTGCCTGATTTCAAAGTAATGGCTTTGTTTTCCTAATGACACTGAAGCTGCACCCATGCCTTCCTGCCATCTTCAGCCCTAGATATTTGAGCTGCTTCCTTTCCCAGAGCACCAGGCATTGCTTTTCCTTGCACAGACCCAGGAGAACCTCACAGGCTTCCTCCAGCACCAGGACAGCCTGAGCAACTCGGCCTTACTGTAGTAGTTGAAGGGGATGTGGCTGTCACGCTGGCTCTTGCTGTCTCCTGTCACCCTCTGGGGCTGTTGTGGTGGCTGGTAGTCTGAGTGCTGTGTTGTGCTGAAGAAACAGGAGCCTGAACGGTCATCTCCTAAGCAGACATTGCTTCCATGTTTCCGCAGTAGTAGGTCAGGCTTCGGTGAGAAGTTCCACCTGCCAGTCTACAGAACACAATGGCTGGCTTTAACAGAAGTAGGCTGGAGCTGGGAAAGGTGTCCTGTTTCACATCACACCCCCATGCAGCCCAGAAGCTCGTGTTGCCAGCCAGCATGGAAAGGGGAGAATGGACAACAGAGGCCTCAGAAAGTGCTTAAAAATGGAGAGACTGTCCTTCAGGGAAACACCCACACAGCAAGGATGGGAACAGACCTCTGGGTAGAAGAACTGTGTCGTCATAATTCTTGCCAGTGCATGATTTCTCTCTGGGTCTTCATCACCTCTGGGGATGGATGAAGTGTTTTTGTTCAGACAGGCAATAGCTACAGGCTCTGGTAAAGGTGAAAGTGAAGGATGTCAGAGCACCCCAGATGTTGGGTAGTGTAGAGCTACAGCAGTTTCTCCACGTGCAATAGAGCAAAGTAATGAATACAGCTGCTCAACCTGATAGGAATGAAACTGAACCTCACAGTGAGGATAGTGGTACTGAGTATGTAATAACAATAAGATGTTAAAAATAAAAATTTGTATATGTATGATAGTCATGTATTACATCTTTTATCTAAATTATTAAGGCCGAGTGATAAAAAACACTGTTCAGCTGGTTATAAACCTTAGCAGAGGTCTGTATGTTGTCTTTGCATTACAGACTCACCTTACCTACATTATGTACAGGAAAGAGCTCTGACATTGAGGTGGAGAACCTGGTGAGACCATCCCCTGGCTGCACGTTTGTATGGTAGATCTGAAAGGCAGCACGTTCCTTGTCATAGAATCTGCAAGATAACAGATATGAGCTGCTTAAATAGCAATGCTCATCAGGAGGAGCAGCTCCTGGGATGCTCGTCGGGCTATCCTGCTGAATACCTGTGCTCCCTTTTGTCTGGGGCAGTGTAGGCATACTTCTGCTCACTCGTAGATCCACTACTTCTGGGATCCCCAAATTTAATACGAGATTTGTGCTGAAGGGAAGCAAACAGAGCTATGAAACTGCTGCTCAAAGCACGATCCCTTTGTTTCCCACCTCTGTCTTTCCATCTGCTGTTTTTTTCACTTGCACAGGACAGAATTCAACATGGCAATGTGCAGAAAACCGTGTCTTGGTCATCCCCAAATTCATGTTATTACCTTCTCACTTGGCTTTGCAGGTGGACTGTATTCACCTTTAAACTGCGTTTGATGAGAAGTGTGGTAATAGGGCTGTCCATCCCCTTTAATAATGGGAATACATCCTGCCAAACAGCCAGAAGGAGAATTGGTGTTATTTAAAACAAAACAGAACAGAACAAAAAAGCTCTATTTACACTTGTAAGGAAACATGACTGAGATTAAAGCTATACTCTCACGACAGCTGCTCCCAGATTGATTCAGCACCGTTGAATGGCAGAGCACTTAGCAGCAGACTGCAGCAGGGGCTGCAAAACTGCAGAACGTGGATGTGGTGCATCGGACACAATGCAGCTTTGGTGTGAGAACAGCAGCACCTGAGGGACTGCAAGCAGAGATGTTTGCTGCTGGGAATGCTTGGCGTCCCCGGTTGAAGCTGTTTTATGAGCATCGGGTTGATTAATTCACTCATAAAACGAGAAGGCAGAGCATCCGCGCAGCTTTAATGGTTGGCAGCGTGGTTCTGAGCCAGGCCACCGCCTGGGGATCCCAGCGGCCCTTCGCGTGCAGCTCTCACCGCTGCGCGAGTGGCGCGTCCTGGCAGCGGGGTGAACCTCGTGCGCGGGGTACGAGGTGGCGTGGATGGACGGCGGGAGCCCGATTTTCTCTCTGTCTCCACAAAGGACTCCGCCGCTGCTCTGCTGCGCTCTGCGGACGGCGGGCTGCGGGGGGGCGGCTGCGGGGCAGGGGAAGCCGTCCTTCGTCGCCGAGGAGCGGATGCGAATGCGGGGGTCTGCGTGCATTTGGACGCACGGCGCCGGGGCGAGGCTGGGGGCGGCGCGCTGCTGCAGGGGCCGCTCCGGGAACGCCAGGCGCGTCTCTGAGCAGCGCCCGCCGCCCTCAGCCCCGCTCCGCCCCAACACGGCCCCGCTGCGGGGCGGCTCGGCCGGCGCCGGCCTGCGATACCCCCAGTAAGGGGGGAACTGAACGTGAGAAAATGGCCGGCCGTCGTCCTGGGGGCCGCCGCGGGCAGCGCCCGGCTGCAGGTGGGGGGCGTGCAGGAAGGGAACGACCGCGAGAGGAGCCGGGATCGGGGCCCGGGCCGCCATCCCCGCGCGTAGGCCGCGACCGGGCCGCGTCACCATGGCGACGGCGCCGCCCTCCCGGCATGCCCCGCGCGGCGGCCCGGCCCGGGGGCGTTGCTATGGCGGCGGGGGCGCTGGGCGCGCTGGTGGCGGCGCTCGAGTCGTACCGCGGCCGGGACCGCGCGGTGAGTGCGGCCCTGCGGCCTCTGCGGCCCTGCGGCCTCTGCGGCCTCTGCGGCCTCTGCGGCCTCTGCGGCCCTGCGGCCCTGCGGCCCTGCCCTCACCGGCCGCGCTCCGCAGGTCCGCGCTCTGTGTTATGGCTGCCAGCTGGTGGGCGGCGCGCTGGCCGGGACGCGGAGCCCCGCCGAGGGGCTGCCCGGGAGCCTCCTGGCCGTGTCGGCTCAGCTGAGCTCCTGCCGCACCGTCCTGCGCCTGCTGGACGACTTGGCCATGCTCAGCCACAGCCGCGCCTACGGGCTGGGGCCCAAGGTGAGCGCGGGCCGTGGGGCGCGGTGGGAGGAGGCCGCAGGTGTCCGTGTCCGTGTCCGTGTCCGTGTGCTCCCCGCAGGACGAGGACGTGCTGGTGCGAGGGCTGTCGGTGCTCTGCAACGTGGCCGACCAGCTCTACTACCCCTGTGAGCACATCGCCTGGGCGGCCGACAGCGGCGTCATCCGCGGCCGCTCTCAGCGCTGGTGGGCCGCCAGCACGGCGCTCTGGGGGCTCTCGCTGCTGCTGGGCACCCTGCGGTGAGCGGCGGCCCTCGGCTCCGATCCCTGCTGCTGCTGTGCAGGAGTGACTTCAGTTTGCTTCCTTTCCAGATCCCTGAGAATCCTGTTCCGGTTAAGAAGGAAGCTGAGGCAGCAGCAGCGGTATGATTCCTCTCCCTGCTTCTACACCTGTTATCACCCGAATATTTTTATTTATTCTCGTTTGTGAGCTATAATTGCACGGAATTGTAGGATGATAGGATCGTAGGATCATAGGCTTGAGCTGAAAGGGACCTCAGAGCTCATCGGGTTCCAACCCCCTGCCTCAGGCAGAGTTACAGCTGTTAGATCACATCGCCCAGGGCCTCATCCACCCCAGCCTTAAACACCTCCAGGTATAGTAGACCATTACTAATATTATTTTTGTTTCCAGTACTCCGCCTTCACCGCAGAGTCAACAGAAAATGCAAGCCCAAGTGAAGGCTGAAGTTCTGAATGTTGTTAGTAACTTGGCAGATCTCTCCAACGCGATCCATTGGCTGCCACCCGGGTTCCTGTGGGCCGGACGGTTCCCTCCGTGGTTAGTGGGGCTCCTGGGGACCATCTCCTCCCTGATTGGTATCTACCAGGCATCTGGAAAGGGCAGTTCTGGAGCTGCGTGAGCTATAATTAAGCCTCTAAAACCCAATTTTAATGTGGTAAGAAGGCATTTAGTGAGGCAGGCTGGATGTTAACTTTCCTGGATGCCAATGATTCTAATTCCATGAATCCTGTAATTGAGAGTGTAATCAGAAACTCTGTTACAGAGAGGATTACTTATGGCTGACAAATCTTATTCATAGAAATCTTTTGGGTGAATCCTCTGGAAATCAGAATCTGGTAGGACTGATAACAGAGGAAAAAAAGGTTGTGGTCACTTCCATCCTTCCTGTACTTCAAAACACAGCTGGAACCCTCCAGTCTCTGCTCTTGTGTAAAAGAGCACAAAGTGTTTGGTGGAGAAACAGCTGTGATTGTTTGACTCAGAACTTCCAAAGGATGGATTTGGTGAGTTCCAGCTCCAGGCCCAGCACTTGGTGCTTCCCTGAGCCACAGAGGTGACCTTGATGGTGGAAGTTTCTCTGTCAGATGTTTTGGTGTCTGAGCCCACAGCAGGTGATACCCCAAACGCAAACAGGAGTGGGTGGCAGAAGGAGGTTGGTGGGTGGCAGTTCCTTGTGACTGCTGTATTTCTTTAGAGGTGATAGGGGAAGTAGCAGCAGCTGTATGCAGTGCCTTGCCAAGCTTTCTTCCAGCCTTTCTACCCGGGGAGAAACCGGAACAAGCCAAAAGGTGCTCTGAGGCTCCAGCTGTGCCTTTGTGGAAGGCCACCGGGTGGAGCTGTTCCACTGAGCTCTTCGAGAGCCAACGGACTTAGGAAAAAAAATAGATAAAAATTTGTTAATCATTTTTGAAATAACTGGTCAAACCAATGCACGAGTGAGTTTTACAATCATGTTTTTAAACAGTGCCAATAATAAATGTGAGAAGTGCTCCAAAGGTGGCCTTGGGTCATCATTACTTCTGATAAGTGGACAAATGTTATTTATCTGGTTTCAGAAAGTCCCAAACTGTTTCCAGGCAACGGAAGACATTTGTGCTGTGTTGCTGCAGCACCCACAGGCAGGCAGAGACCATCTGTTACCCATCTTCCTTCAAGTGGAATGATTCAAAGCACCTGACTGCTGGAGATTTTCACAGAGATGGGTCTTTTGGAAACAGTTGTGCTCAATGTGAGCAGTGTTTGTGTTCCACATCACTCAGTACCACGTGGACCACCTTGCCAGGATGTTTGGCTTTTGTGTGTGTGTAAGAAAAAGCAGAAGCTGCCTCCTACCTCTGTGCAGGGCACATAATGAAGCGTTGGTGCTCTTTACCCTTTGCCCTGTCCTTGCTGCCTTGGCTGGCTGTTTTCCTGGACCTTCGCCCCGCTGCTGCACAGGAGGCAGTGCTGCCTTTGCTCACAGTTTGGTGGCTGATCGGGGAGCAGCTGCGCGCAGCACTGCTTGGAGCACTGGCAGTTTCTGTCTGCGAAGGATTCGTGTTCTTTCTGCAGTCTCAGACAGCTGGAACATCTGATGCAGCTGCAGCTGCTGCCCAGTCCTGTCCTCAACTGGCACCAGTGATTGCAGCTGAGTATTTATTTTTAATAAGTTTTTTTTCTTAATGAGCACCTTTTTGTGCTCTTGCCCTAATTGAACCACCCCTTCGGGACAGGCTGTCCTGCTCAGCACAGGGCAAGGTGTAGCTATAGTGATTTAAAACAAGCTGTACCTGTGTAAACCTCTGATGCAGAAGCAATAAAACTAAATCACACTTTAAACAAAGACAAAGGATGCTATCAACTGCCTTAAGTGCCCTTGCGTTATGCACTTTCTCCTCGAGCAATCTCAGATCGCAGACAGGGAAGCCCAGGAAGAGCTCAGGTCTGGAGCTGTCTGAACTCAGAGGCTTTGGTCCCAAATGTGCCCGCGTTCAGCTGCCTCGTGGTGGCTGCTGCCGACCGCCGGCTCAGCTGACGCTGTTTTGCACGAGGTCTTGTGAGAGCACAGCTGCTCCTCCTGGGAAGCAGCCGCTGCTCGTTGCTGCTCTGCTCTGCTCTCGCTTTGCTCCGTGCAGGAAAACATTTGCTGAGCAGGGACAGATTGTTCCGGCCGTGACCTCACTCTGTCAGCAAGCCGAGATGTGAAAGGGCATTAACAGATAGCGTCGGCTTTGCAGCGAGCTGCTGATACCAGCTCAGAACCGCGGCTCCTGCTTTACGGCCCCTTTATAGCACGGTGACTCAACGAACAAAGCTGAGACCGGGCTTTACGAGCGTCAGATCTGCCGTGCCGCTCCCCTACGGGTTCCGGCTCCGTTCTGTGGAAGGGAGGGGCGCCGTGCCCAGGAGGAGCGCTCGGCTGCGGGCGGGGAGCGCTGCCAGGCGGATCGCAGCGCACGTGGGGGGCCGCTGCCGCCGGCAGGGAAGGGGTTAATGAGCGGCGCATGCGCACGCGCGGCCCTGGGTTCCCATTCACAAAGAACGGCCGGAGAGCGCCGCGGCCGCTGATTGGCTGGCCGGCCGGGGGGCGGGGCCAACGCCGGGGCGGCCACGCGGCGGCGGAGCGAAGCGGCAGAGCGGCGGCAGCGCGGAGCGGGGAGCGCGTTCCGTCCGTTCCGTCCCGTCTCGGAACTGAGCCTCGGTAAGGCGTGGGGCTGCGGGGCGGGAGGAGCCCGGGGAGCACCCGTCACCTCCGCGCCTGGCTCCTTCCCAGACCGGTAGCGGCTGGGTCCGCGCCCTTACCGTCGGGCTCCGCGCTCACCCCGCCGGCTCCCTCACGGCCCTCCGCCGCGGCCCCGCGGGTCCCTCGGTAGCGTCCGAGTGCTCCCCGCTCACCCTCCGGCGTTCCCACGCGGAGCGGCTCGCCGCGATGTCCGTCAGCAGCCACGAGAACCGGAAATCCCGCTCGAGTTCGGGCTCCATGAACATCCACCTCTTCCACAAGCCGGGCCACGCCGACAGCCTCCTCACCCACCTGAACCTGCTCCGCAAGCGGCACCTCTTCACCGACGTGGTGCTGCGGGCGGGGAACCGCGCCTTCCACTGCCACCGCGCCGTGCTGGCCGCCTGCAGCCGCTACTTCGACGCCATGTTCAGCGGCGGCCTGAAGGAGAGCAGGGACGCCGAAGTCAACTTCCACGATTCCCTGCACCCCGAGGTGCTGGAGCTGCTGCTGGACTACGCCTACTCGGCCCGGGTGCTGATCAACGAGGAGAACGCCGAGTCCCTGCTGGAGGCCGGGGACATGCTGCAGTTCCAGGATATTCGGGACGCTTCGGCCGACTTCCTGGAGAAGAACCTCTACCCCGGGAACTGCCTGAACATGCTGCTGCTGTCCGACGCGCACTGCTGCGAGCGGCTGCTGGAGCTGTCCTGGAGGATGGCGTTGGCCAACTTCACCTCCCTCTGCAAGACCGAAGACTTCCTCCGGTTGCCCAAAGACAAACTGCTGGAGCTGGTGGAGAGCGAAGAGCTGGAGGTGGAGGACGAGACCCTGGTGTACGAAGCTGTTATGGGCTGGATCCGGTACGATCTGCCCCGGCGGCACGAGGTTCTGCCTGAGCTGCTGCGCTCCGTGCGCCTGGCCCTTCTGCCCGAGTCCTACCTGCGCAAACAGGTGGCCTGCGAGAAGCTGGTGATCAGCCACAAGCTGGGGGAGGAGATCGTGGCCGACGCCGTGCGGTGCAAAATGAAGATCCTGCAGAACGACGGCGTGGTGACGGGGTGCTGCGCCCGGCCCCGCAAGGTCAGCCAAGCCCTGCTGCTGCTCGGCGGCCAGACCTTCGTGTGTGATAAGATCTACGTGCTGGACCAGAAAACCCGGGAGATCATTCCCCGTGCTGACATCCCGAGCCCTCGCAAGGAGTGCAGCGCCTGCGCCATCGGCTGCAAGGTGTACATCACGGGTGGGAAGGGCTCCGAGAACGGCGCTTCCAGGGACGTCTGGGTGTACGATACGCTGCACGACGAGTGGGCCAAGGCTGCTCCCATGCTGGTGGCGCGGTTCGGCCACGGCTCCGCGGAACTGGACCACTGCCTGTACGTGGTGGGGGGGCACACGGCAGTGAGCGGCGCCTTCCCGGCCTCTCCGTCCGTCTCTCTCAAGCAAGTGGAGCACTACGACCCCCAGCTGGACAAGTGGTCCTTGGTGGCCCCTCTCCGGGAAGGCGTCAGCAACGCCGCCGTAGTGGGGGCCAAGAAGAAGCTGTTTGTTTTCGGCGGCACCAGCGCCAACCAGGAGAAGCTGCCCAAGGTGCAGTGCTTCGACCCCTGCCAGAACCGCTGGACGGTGCCCTGCAGCTGCCCGCAGCCCTGGCGATACACGGCGGCGGCGCTGGTGGGCAGCCACGTCATCGTCATCGGGGGGGACACGGAGTTCTCCGCCAGCTCCGCTTACCGCTTCCACAGCGACACCTTCCAGTGGTCCAAGTTTGGGGACGTGACGGCGAAGCGCATCAGCTGCCGCGCCGTTACGTCGGGCAACAGGCTGTACGTGGTGGGGGGGTACTGCGGGGCGCAGCGCTGCAAAACCTTGGACTGCTACGATCCCTCATCCGACACCTGGAGCAGCGTCACCACGGTGCCTTACTCCCTCATCCCCACCGCCTTCGTCAGCACCTGGAAGTACCTGTCTGCCTGAGGAGCTGGGAGGTGAATGGTTTGTGTTGGCCTGGAGCTGCTCTGCAGCTGTGCTGCGTGAGGCTGAACCCTGAAGGGCTGCGGTCCTGCAGCTCTCCCAGAAGCATCAGCTTTGGCCACGAGCTTCGAGGCTGGAGCTCAAACGCTGCGGGAAGACGAGTATAAATAACGAGACGCTGAACCTGGCATCCTCGTCCTTCCGCTGAGTCTTGGCCTATGCAAAGATTTTGGGGAATGCTCTCTGTGAGCAGGATTGGGTGTCCTGGTGCAGAAAGCTGTCTGAGCCCATCGCTGTGAGAACCCACAGGGAGACCGGCGGTGCCACGAGGGGCGGCTGCTGCTTTTAGCTCTGCTCCCTCCTGGTGCCACAGTTAATCTGCTGGTGGCACCCAAATGTCCTGTGGGACGCGAGGGCCGTGGGCCGATGCCAGAATAAGATTATAGCTGGGATTTTAGTCCCAGAACGGTCGGTAATTGCCTTTGTAAGACAAGCCCTGTCTACATATAAACACAGGGTTTATCCACTTCTAATTATTCTCTGGCGTCCCCTCTGTGCCATTTCTTTCCTGCTATGCAGCAATTAACTTCTTAAAAACTTGTGACCAGAATTAAACTCTTCTAGACACTGCAGGGAGAAAAGATGCCGGTGAATCACAGATCCCTGCAGTGTCTTCATTTGCCTTTTCCCCTTAGAAGAGATGTGCTGCTCACACCAAGTGGTGTAAGTAAATATTCTGTAACACCTATAGAAGATTCTGGGCTGCAGAGGGGAGCAAGCATCGTTCCATAGGCAGAGAATTCTCTGCTGATTGCGAGACCTGAGGAAAGCTGCGGGGCTGAGGATGGTGAGAGGGGGTTCCCTCCTCACTTACAATCTCAGCCCAGAACCCAGAGGATTCTTTTCTACTTCTTTCTTTCAATCTTTTAAGTGGTCTTTACTGGGAAGGACAAAGGAAGCTCTTAAGCAACCGGAGCTCCGGGCTGCTCTGCTGCCTGCGACTTGGAACGCAGTCAGCGCCAGATGCCTGTAATGTCTTAACACGTGACAGCACTTTGCCCATGGGCTGCTTCTGTGCATTTTTTATACAGCAGTTGTGTGTTTATTACTCAGCCTGGAGCTGCTTCAATAAACCCGAATGAATCCCGCTCTGTCCCGTGCTGCTCTGTGTGCTGAGGCCGTAATTCCTCCCAGCCCGCACTTTTAGGTCAGAAGTTGTGAGCATCGCCCCCTGCTGCAGCCCAGCCCTGGGGCGGCTCCGATCTCCCTGCATCTTTGTGACACGGGGAAGCTCAGATCTCACGCTGCCTTCCTGCCTTGTAGGACACACAAACCTGGTCCCAGTGCCGAAGTTTAAGCTGTTCTCTGCCCTTGCAGAGCTGTTTCCTCGCTGCCAGAAAAGAGCTGCTGCTTCCCAGGCTGCGCAGCAGGGAGGCAGCGCTGTGGGGAGGTGGGAGGGACGAGGCAGAGGAAATGGCACCGAGGTGCAATCAGATGCCTCACCACAGAAGCACGGTTTGGGTGTGAGCAATTATTCAATTCCAGAGTCGAATAAATCAATGTCACGACCATTCCCAGCTGCTGGTGTAGGCAAGAACTGGCAAGACTGGAAGGAAGAGAGCCGCCCCGTTTGTGGTGGCTGAAGATAAAATGACTTCATTTCCATCCTGCCCTCTGCTGCCTCTGCCCTTTGCAGCCCCAGGTCGGCACTTTTCCCCCTTTGCTGCTGCTGTGCTTCCCCTCCACTCCGCGCAAATCCCAAAGGGAGTTTTTCGTGCAGCAGCCCGCAGGGCGCCCTGCGAGGCCGGCCGGGCACAGCGCACAGCTCCCGGCGAAGGCAGAGAGCAGAGCAGGGCTGGGAGCAGGAAGCAGCTCCTTCCTGTCAGCGGGCCGGGAGCTGCCTCACCTTTCTTACAGCTGCAGCGACTGCTGAGGGTCGGACAAAGTCCGACTTTGCCCAGCAACACAGCGGAGCTGAGCTTTCGCTGCCGGCCCTTTGAGCTGCAGCTGCTTTATTTATTCTGCCAAGCAACAAACGGCGGCTCCCAACCCCAACCACATCCGGCTTTTGCAGCGGGGACGGAGCTGCTGGGAGCTGCAGGTCTCTCCCTCCCCGTCCCGGCGGAGCAGCGCTCAGCAGCGCTGGGGCCGCTCGGAGCAGCCCTTCTGTGCAGGCTTTGCGAGCATCTGTGACTCGTTTCCCCATCTCAGACTGCAGTGACAGCAAAGTGCTTCTCAGGGAACAGCAGCTCCTGCAGCACACCTGGGCTGCTCTGCAGCGGCTGCCACTGCTGGCAAGGAAGATTGCAAGAGCCTCATTTCGCTGCCTCCATCCCTGCCTCCATCAGCTGGCAGGCAGCCCGGCTCCCCCCCACCTCCCCCGGTAGGAAGCAGTTCCCAGCTTCTGGGGAAAACCAAACTCCTTTCCCTCGTGCAGCTCTGCACAGCACAGACCTGTTTTCCCAGTCTGACATTTCCATGTGTTAATCCAATCACTGCTTCGGTGCCAGGGTGAGAAAATGTAGGCCAATGGGGCTGCAAGTGAAGTTAGCTTAGGGGTTAGTTTTGTTACCAGGACAAAAATGGTCCTGAATTAATGTAAGCCATTTAGAATCCAAACCTAGCTCAAACCTCGGCCTCTCCTCCCTGCTTTGTGGCTGCACCTCTCCAGCTGCAGGAGTCAGACCTCCACGACTGGAAGAGGTAACACAGATGGGCATCCTAGGCACAAACCACACCAGAGCCCTAAAAACAAAGCACACCACAGTGCGACTCCCAGTGAATTTGAACATTCTAGATGTTTGAATAGAGGGGTACAGCACTCAGCTGGCTGAGCTCCCCAAAGGAGCTGCACAGCGTTGCCAGCTGAGATGACTTCAGGCCCCACAACGCCGTGCTGTCTGTGCTCTGGGATGACTTCATGCACTCTGTGCAGCGAACACAAACGCACTGCTGCTCCGATATGGGAGAGGGACACCAATGCTACACCTCTCTGAGATTTTTTCGCAGTCCTGTGTACTCACAGCCCTGTAACAAAGCAATCCCTGCTCTGCTCGAGGCTCCGGTGCATGCAGCACTATACCACAGGCAGGGAGCACACATGCATGCATCTCATGCTCCAACACTGCCAGCTCTAAGAGGGCTTTGATCCTCTGCCAGATCCCATGGGCCAAGCAGCAGCAAAGCGAAGCAACGTAAGCATCAGACAAGAACGGGCTCACATCCCTCTGCTGCTGAGCCCTGGGCTGGCCCCATTGCTGGGATGAGAAATCAGGCTGGATTTGAGTCACATGGCTGAGGAAAGGCAGCACGGCTGCTGTCAGAGCACCACGGAGCCGATCTGCTTTGTGTGTTTGTCCTGCAGCATCTGGGCTGCGAGGAGCTCAGATGCGCGTATGGGAACCATCTGCAGCGTCTCACCCACATGAAAGAGGGAGGTTCAGCATCAAGCTGGTCATTGCCTATGGCCCCAGAATGATTCATCCAAACAGAAAGAATGCGGTTTGGGTTTCGGGTTAATTAGCTGCAGATCACAACGAGACAAAGCAGGGCGGAGCTGCCGGCATTCCGGGCTGAGCTCTGCGCAGCGCTGCCATCCCGAAGTCACACCTTCAATGTGAAAACAGGGCATCAGAGCTGAGCTGCAGCGTCAGGATGAGAGCACCAAAGGAATGCCGACCTGCTGCAAGAGCAGAGCAGCACTGACACTGACAGACACTGACACACACACTCCAGCGCCGAGAGCTGCAGAGCACTGAACTTCCAACAGATGCAAGCTCTGCCCGAGATCCACACCTGCCCTGCTGAGCTTTAGTATTTGCCATAAAACAGAGGTCTGCAGCACAGAGACCACGAAGTGCAGATTCCTCTCCTCAGTGCTGCACACGAGGAACCCAATCCGTCAAGGATGTGCTGATGCACACAAAGCCTCATCTCTGCATAAGGCAGCTCAGAAACATCCCCTGCACAACATCCAGACGTGGCCGAGGCTTTTCCCCAGTGGTGGCCACAGTATGGGATTTTAATGATCAAAAATGACACCTTTTTCTTGGGGAGCAGCTCTCCTCGTTCTCCCTTTCTCTCCCTGCTTTATGTCTGTTCTGATCTCGCAGTCGAGCTGAGCCTGCAGTTCTGCCGTGAGCTCACGGCTGCCAGGACACACAGCCTGCTGCCCCAGGATGGCACAGAGAGCTGCCAAACTGGCACAGGCAGCACGGAGAAAGTTTCTATTTTCGTTGCACTCCTTCCAAATGGAACCGATACCGTCTGGGACAGAGCCAGGCACGTCTCCAGCCGGCACCATGCAAAGCAGCCCGGCGCTAATATAAGCAACTCGGCGGAGCTGACTCTGGCAGCATGCTGAGCGCAGCATTCTGAGATCAGCTGATTTCTCCCCAGGGTTCTCACCTCACTGAGAAAGGCTGCAGTTATTCATATCCATCTTCCACCTCTCCTCTGGAAACCATCGGTGCTCCTACAGTTATTTCTGTCCAGGATAGAAAAGGAGAAGCACATGAGATGGGGGCACTGCTTTGACCTTTGGTTCAAGCACAAAACACACTTCTCCCCCCATGCACACACACACAGAAAGGCAGCTCACTTGTTTACTTTTTATTTTTTTTTATTGCTAGAAGTTGGTTTCAGTCCTATTGCAGCTTTGAAATCCTTCAGTGGAGAAACATTGCAGTCGTTGTAAAAATCATTTGGTGCGCTAGGATGAAGTGTACAATTAACCAGGAGTGCACAATTCAGCAGAACATTAACATTTATCCATCATCTTTACAAATAAAACAAGACTACAAAGGCTTTGCTACCGCAGTCTCAACATCGAATGAACTATTTACAAAGTTTACATCCCAACCAAACGGCCGATTAACCACCAACTGCGATGGTTTATTCAATGCTTTCAGTGCAAGGTGGGCCCAGGAACCAGAGCTAAACTGAACTGGGGGAACTCACAGCTCCGAGCGAGGCGCACAGCAGTGCCACCAGGACCCACTGCCCCCCACATCTCCTCCCACCTACGAACACAAACGGGGTCTGAAAAGCTTTCCTAAAGTGCTCCAATTTCTCTCAGTACAAAAATATCGAAAAGCTGGTTTGTAAACGTGGCACAACGCAGAGCAGCACCACGAGCTGCTGGTGGATCCCAGTCACCACTCATTGCAAGGGTGTTGGTCCGGCCTTGGAAGGAAGGGGGATCCTCTCCAAATCAGAACGCAGAACAACCACACTCAGCACTAACAGTGCAGTGAGCTCAGGCAGGAACAGCAGGAGTGTAACCCAGCATCTGCATCCTGCCCTGTATGTGAGCACTGCCAGGCAAGGCAACGAAACTGCTCCCACTCCCCAACATGGGGACGCAGCACAGCACTGCAGAGCTCTTCTGGAGGATTGGAAGCAGAAACAAAACCAACTGCGTGCCTCACACCTCCCCTAGCCTGAGTTTCAGCCTTCGCTGAAAACGAGCACAGAGGCGCTCAGTGCCGTCGTTCAGCTCATCTGAGCGATGCTCACACAGACAGAACAGCCCGTGCTTACTGAGTCACTCCCAGCTCTGCAGGAACACCACTCTCTAGGAATGGGGATTCTTCTGCCTCACCCTGAGAAGCCACCAGTGACCTCCATTTACAGGACAAGGCACAGCTACAACCTACAGACAGTGCGGGTAAAGGCTCGAAGGCATTTCCAATACAGATGTTCTCAGTACCAGTGGGTATGGAGGGGTCCTCAGTCTGAAACACAAAGTGACAGCCGTCCAAACTGGAGGGAAGGAGGAAGCATCCTCTGCACCGGGGTTAGAATAGAGAATAAAGCCATTCCAAGTCTCTGCACTGCAACCACAGTGCCCAGACAGGACGACGTTAGGGCTGTGACAACAAGGAAGGCAGCACACAGCTCCTGCTGGGCACCTCGTCCAGGAGGCACAGAGCTCTGAGCTGCCTGATCCTCTGATGTCACTTCAAAGGAAACTCTTATCTGAAGTAACCCAAAGTCAATGGAAATGAGGTTACTCACAACCAGCAGCAGGTCACCCAGCCTGGGGTACAGCAGCATTCTGCAGTATTACCTGCTTAGAAAAACCCTTTTTCTGCAAGTGAGATTTGAGGGGAATCCCAAAGTGGTGCATCCAGCTGCAGGGACGTAACAGCAGTTCCACAGATTCAGTTTTGCAGAAGTGAAGCCGTGCCCCATTCTTCACTCAGAAGAAATATTTCCCTCACTTCCCTCAGCATTTACAGACAATTCCACCATACCCTGGGTACAGTGCACTCCACGCCAGCAATGAGATACTGACACCTCATCCTTGCTGGTGCCGCACAGGAAATCACACAAACCCCTCGTATGGCACATGAATGATTTTGAGGTGATACAACTTCTGTTTGTGGTGAATGTGGCTTTCACAGAACCAACTGCAGCCAGGGAACAGAGATCACCTTCAGGTTTGTTACAGACTGAAGACCAATATCCCAAGGAGCACTCAGGGTGCTGAACCAGCAGCCCAGCCTGTCAGGGTCAGGTGTTCCTTTGCTAAGAGCTGTAATGCAGCTGCAGCACTGCTGACAATGTTCAGATAGTTTTATTTCAAGTCATAACATATTGAAATAAATGGGATCTCACTGCAGATTTTGTTTTCCAGACTGCACTGTCCAAGCCTGACTTTGTTCACTGCATGGAGGAAGGAGAAAAGTTCCAAATAGATCTCTCTGATCCACACAGCTCTCTCCCATACATTAGGACAGGCACATAATTAAACCAAATACACGTTTCTAAAAATTGTTTTAAAATTGCTAAACAGAGGCCTCCCTCCTCAGCTGAGGTGGTTTTGTCTGCTGATCCAACTCAGCTTAGGTTAAGGCTCCAATAGAACTGCTAATTTAGGGCAGTGGGGGTTTTCTCTAGGAGTGGTCCAAACCACAGCACAGAGGGAACATACTGCACATTCCTGCTGCTTTGCTGTGTGTTGACAGAAGAAATTATACAGATACCAGAGATGATGGCAGTCTCTGCATCCTCCAGCTGAAGGATCTCTCCTACAGAGGTGCTGAATCAATGAGAGGTTACACTGATTTTAAGATATTCCCACTATTTCAACCCAAGTTTCAGGAATGCAAAAACAATGAGAAATATGTTCTAACCATCAACATAGCATTACAACAATGAAAGGTGATTACGTCGCCCATACAGTTTTCTGCAAATCCAACATCAATAATGTGTGAAGCTCTGCGAGGCTCAGCTCTCACCAAGCACCACTTCAGTACCAATGCAAGGCGTGCCCTCATTAACAGGAACAATTAGTTGGGGCAGTGGGGGTATCAGCAGTCTGGTAACATGTAGGTTATTCTGAGTTTCCTCTCATAGGTGACACTGTGACCGAACTCAGTGCCTTCAGGGTTTTACTAACATCACTTAGCAAGAAGTGTCAATCACATTCTGGAAGATATTCACTGGTTTTTTTAGGCTCTGAGACCAATTTCTGTAATCCTGTACTAAACCCCTCTAAACAATTTCTCCTGTGTGCAATACATCTGACTGGTCACATCCAACACACTGGAATACGCGTCCTCAGGTAATGCAAGTAATAAAGAACTGAGATGCAGAGTAAAGTGACAGAACACAACCAATGACTGTGCAAACTACTACAAAGAAATAATGCCTTTTGAGCAGAGCTCTGTTAACTCTATCATTCCATGATTAAGAACTGACCCATTTTACAAGAGGTATCAAAAGCTGGTTTAGCTGTAAGCAGCCAAGCCAACAGAGGTTCAGCTAATAGCACTTTTTTTTGAAACCCAAACAGTTCATTCCCTTCATTTCTCAAACTGCTGCAGAGGAATCTCCGCAGTAACAGCAGCTTTGTTATCTTATGATACTTGGAGTAAAGTCCAAGGAATTCAGCAGACAAATAAAAGATGCAGAAGACTTGGGATGAAACAAAACAGTTACTGCGTTCAAACACTTCTTACACACCTTCCAGCAAGGAACACATCTCTGCAGTTCCTTCTGAACCAATTCATAGTTTTGCTGAGGAATCTGTACTGCCCTCACTGACATGGAGAGCTGCTCGATGTCCACAAGGAGCCGGGCATCCTGGCACAAGCTGATGGCCAAACAAATGTGCATTTAGTCCAACTCTTCACACCGCTGTATATTCTCACACGTTCAGCTCTCCTCATCCACAAACAGGTGGAGCTCTTGAACCTCGAAGGCTGTTCAGAAGCTTACCTTGCCTTTTCTACCACTGAGCACGTAACTCCATTGAGTCAAGTAAAGAAACAGATGCCAGACTGGCTCCTGTGAGTTGGTATCACAATGTTTATCATGTGTGGCTCTACAGAGACTGCTTTGCTAGTCAGTTACTTAACGGAGTTAGCATAACCCACGAGAGCAACCTTGCACCTGTGAATATGGATTTTAAAAATTCTCAGCCATCTGGAGGCTTACAATTAAAATTTTTTACATACAGATCTGAAAGATTCAACATCAACTACAACAATTTACAAGATGGTGCTCACAAAGAGTGTAATACACCAAAGAGAGCAAATTGCAGTAAATGGCAGCATTTTAACATGCTCTGAATTTACATACCCATGCCACGCATCAACACATTTCCATGGTCTGAGAGTTTAAAAGCAAATCATTACCATTGTGCCCTCATTTTGAGCTGCTGGCAAAGAAGCCAAAGTAAAACTACAATCCTGGGCTGGTCCTTGCTAGTATTAATGAGGCAGGAATAAAAAGACACCCATGTCAAGTCTCTGTCACATTGAACACCGGAGCCTGAGTTCTTGAAACAGTATGTGAGAAGAGTAATCTTTAAATGGAAACAGTTAGAAAAAAATTACATCTTCTTTGCTGGTATCATCTTGCATGTTTAAAAGAGTTGGCTGTGAGGTCAGCAGGGTCTGAGCGTGAGCGTTATTGGGTTTGAACAGGTTTGGAGAGGCAGAAGAAAGTGCTTCTGGCTGACCATCTGCAGAGCCATGTATTTCTATAGGGGAAGAGAGAAAAGGAAGACAGATTGATGACACTGCACAGAAAGCCTGGCACATCTCCACGCGTGTCCAAGGGTCAAGAAATACCTGTCTGGAACACAGTGGTCTGGCTGCTCGTGAGGACTGGGCTTGCTGATCGTCTGCCTCTGAGGACACCCTCCTCTCGGCCAACAAGCCTGGGGGGAATCAGCTGCTTCTGGTCAACAGATGCTGAAGAAAATATTTTAAGTCACTGTTAGAGTACTTTACTGATTTCCCTTCTTCATGCTGAGACCCACAGTACAGACACCTCTGCATATCCAAGGAACCTGCTATACCAAAAGGAGCTGTTGCTTTTATTACAAGATACTTAAATTTTCTTTTCAGCTTCTCCTCTCCTCCCCCCTGAGGATTCCAGTTCAGTCACTACCAGCCTGACAACCACAGACTTAAAATCTAGTATCGCAAAGCCTTGTGGAAGGAAAATCAAAACCTCTGTCCTTAGCAATTAGCAATAGAAATTTCCTACTTTAATGCACAGAACTGTGATGAACTTTTGTCTCTGCTCTTCATCTGTCTTTAAATTGCTCAGCAGCAGAATTCACTGATTGTGGTATTATGGCCTGTCAATTTCTTAATTTCTACAATGAAAGCGACTCATGAAGTGGTTATTCTGGACCCACACAGCTCTCACATTCCTCATATGCAATGAAAACCAAATTCAATACTCGGTATCTTGCCTCTGGTACAGAAAGTCCTGTTCTGTTTTATTCTAAGATCTACACATGGGCATAACAAGCATGCATCCCACTAATGCTCATGAGAGAACAGAGACCACTACATCTGCATTTTAGGTCTTTCATGTACTTAATGGTGTTTTTCCAAAAATGATATTTCCACATCACAGACCATTATGTGAGAGCTATTAAAAATTAAGCTGGAGAGATGTAATATTAGAGCTCTATTTTCCCATTTGTCAGTATTTGGTATTCATGATAATTGAAGCCTTAAATCCTCTTACACGTAAAAAGACAAGTTCATAATCGTATTAAACTTCAGGTGCAGGGACAGATGCTTCTGCTACATGCAACAGAATCCTACTCCCTAGTCAGGTCTGGCTCTGAATCTGTTACAGCAGCATAGGCCCTAGTGATGTGTAAGCTTGCCAGCTTGGAATCCTATATAAAGCTGAAGAGATAATTTTGTAACTTAAAATTATAGGCCATTCTTCCAGGCTGGCAGTAAGGCTATTTTAACTGGTAGAGAAAAAGTGGTTTTTATTGTGTCTGTCATTGGCAAAGAACACTACTTCGGTACCTAGTGGTTAGCTGTAGAAATTACACCATGACAGGGTAACTGTGTTTTTACTTGCTTCTATTTCTGACAAAAGTTGCTCCTTTCAACACCGCAACACCTACAGCACTTCAATTCTGGCCTGGAAATCTGTATTTAATGATTGGCTGGTGCTCACAGAGGCACTAAGTTTAATGTCATTACAGCCCTGAACAGATACTGAGAAGAGGTTAAGACAGCTTCAAAATGTTTCCTTCATGCAGAACAAGCAACACACTTGCTATTTTCTTTTACCACTAGAATCAGGCAAGAAGGTTTTATAGCCAGTTTCACAAACACTCAGTATAACACCATAATTCTGTCCTGCTGGCCTACAGCACTATTTCCAACATGAACTTTGGGGGCTAAGTTTCCAATTCAAACAGTACACACACTTAACGCTTAAGAATTTTAAGAGCCCACCAACTGCACGTAGCACACTAACAATCTGCAGCATATTATTTCTGAGTTCCACACAAGTAGCCAGAGGTCTAAGCTATACCACTCTGTATCCCCATGATGCTATAAAAAGAGGCCAGAAATGCATTTTAAGACACTTACCTGAGCTGTCTGTCCTATGAGATGCTTTGTTCTTCCCACTTTTCTCTTTGCTTCCTTTTGTAAAAGTGGCAAGTTTAGTAGGGATCTGCTGCTGAACAGCAGCGGGTTTCTGTATCTGGTTAGTTGCACTCAGGAGATGGATTGGCACTTCATTCTTCAGAGCAAGGACTGGGCGGCCCTCCAGGGCGGTGCTGTCCCTGCGAACCAGCTCCGAGCGCTCCAAGTAATCCATCCCAGAGACACTCACACGTGCAGAGGCTTTCAAGACTGGCGGAGATGGTTCTCCTCCTTCTCCATTGAAGCTAACAGAATGACTTTGCATAGGGTTCTACACAAGAAAAAAAGCATTTTAAGTCAAACTATAGGAGAAGCCAACCCTCTGCCCTGCGAACACAAAGCACTTGTGGAAAAAATGCAATGTGTTAGAGCAAACCAAAGGATAACAGACAGAGCTTCAGCAACTCCAAACTGCTTAATATTGCACCTAACAATGGGAAACAAGAGCAGGCTGCACTAGGTGACTATAAACAGGACATAAAATGTGGCTTTCAGACAGTAACAAATGAGTCAGTTTAACTGGACCCTAAAAATCGTATTTTGAAACATAAAAGATGTTTTCAGAAATCAACAGAACAAAACACTATCAATGTAGTGTACCTCCTGCAGTCAACTGCCTGAAATAGGTCAGTTCCTGTATTTAAAAAAAATGCTTTTTTTTTTTTTTTTAAATACCCTCATTACAGAATGTCTGGGCAGAATTTCAGACACTGGGGTACTGCCAAGCTTTAATCTGTGACCATAAGCAGAACCAGCTATTTCAGGTGATGGCATAAATAGTCCCATAAAAAAACAAGTGTCTTAATGCTGCAAAAAGGACAACCTTCACTCAGAAGCACGCAGGTTAATAAAAGTAAAACTCCAATAAAACCTGAATTCCTTACTTGTCCCAGTTCTGGGGAGAAGGTGCCCGACACCGTGTTCTGCTTTTTCAGCTTCCTTAGCTGATCTAGACGTTCTCTCTCCTTCTCAACTGCTCTCTGAGCTTCCCGCAGCCTCTCCAGGTCGTGCTGATAGGCCTCACGTTGCCTCTCCAGTTCCTCTCTATCCTGAATCAACTTATCTTTCAGTAGCCGTGTCTCCTCCTCACGCCTCTGCAGATGGGCTTCCGAGATTTCCAGTTCCCTCTGCTGCTGACTCCTCTCCCGCTCCCAGCGCTGCTGCTCCAGCTTCAGCTGGCTCTGAAGTTTTTGGACATGCATCAGTTCCTCTCTCTGTTTCTCAAAGTTACGCTGTTTCTCCTGCTCTAGCAGCAGGTTGCCACGCGTTGACTGCAGCCGATACTGCTTCTCCCTGTCCACCATTGTGGCTCGCTGCAGCTCAATGTAGCTGTCTTGTTGAGATATCACTGCCTGGGGGGGAACAAGATGACTACAATAAGGCACATTGGCTCATAAAAACTAAGCAAAAAACTCTGACACACAGCTAAGAAAAGACAAAAGCATCTACCATATCAGGTCAGTAATTTTGTCTTCAAGAACAGATCTAGCTTCCCAGCTTGTACAGCACATCACTGTTGACACCATTGATACTAAAGATGCACGTGCAAGTAACTTATGCTTATGTCAAAATTAACATCTCCTGCACCTAGAATTGTTACTATGAATTTGACAGGATCACTCAAGTTACTGATTACAAAATTACAGTAAAAACAAAATATGTACACAACTATGTATTTACAACAATTTTAAAAGTAAATGAGCACAGAGAGCAGAAGTTTCAACTAGCCAAGGAACTGCATTTAAGGGAGCAGAGAAGAGGATTCAGTCACTTGAGATGATGGGTTTAACACTTCTTTCAAAATACCAGACACCACGTTTTTATCCTTGAGCCTCAGATCCTGAGTTCTGCTCTTAATACCTAACAAACCTCTTGGATAGTAAAGCAGTTGATTACCTGAAGACTGAAGAGCAACTGTAGCAATGTTTGTATTCTTTGGACAAGCTGAAAAAGAGGGGAGGCAGGTGTGATAAAACATTAGGCATCGTAACACAGCTCTGTTTTAATGCAGGGGCAGATTTTATTTATTTCACCTTTTAAAATAACACAATCAATAATATCTGTATAAAACCCACATAGTGGAAGCATGGCTACAAGCAAATTCTGACAAATGAACCACCAATGAAGCCATGTGCAAGCACCACAAATCTCAGATCTGTGCACAGACTCAATGCTCAAAAGAAATCTCACTGGGATTTAAGGGAGCAATCCTCATTATCAGTTTTCTTCATATGAGCCATTAATGACCACTTCCTCCAGCACTGAATCATTACACAAGTAGAGCACTCACTGGAGATTCAGAGATGAGTGTTGCCAGTGAGCTGAGGACATCCAATCTCTCCAAAGATTCAAGAAAAGCAGCTAGCCAGCTCTTTGAAATGCATGTTTAAATACTCAGAACCATCTTTGTTTTCTAATGGGACTTGGAATAGGACATTCATGAGTCATCCACACGACATACAGAGTCATAAGGAAAAGGCTGTTAATGAGCTCATGGTTCTGCAGGCATTAGAAATATTGGTTTGTCTTGCATTATATTACTGTATGACTATTTCCCATCAGATTTCTTAACAGCAGAAGGAACATACCTGAGACTCTACGGTGGGCTGAACACCACTGCTGTCATCCTGCCTCACTGTATTGCTCTGGAAAAAGACAAAAGTAACAATCTGTGCTTTTTGGGCACTGGTAGTCTGCCAGAACAAATTGAAAGGGTTCATCTCACAAGGGAACACTGTTTATAGCTGGAGCAGTGATTGCTCCCATATGCTGATGGACACATACCAGAAGTACTTAAATCATAGGCCATAAGCAGATACATGGTCATTACAGTTAGCATTAAAGATACTGCATCCAGTGAACACATACAGAAACAACTATTATGCCTCTCAAGTAGTAAGTTATTAACCACTATTAGAGCAACAAACACGAGGAAACGCATTTACTGCACACAAACTCAACATACAGTTTGAGATCCTTCTTCTGCATCAAATGGGAGGTCTGGGAGCTGTACATCTGAACTTACTGCAGGGCCTCTACAGTCCCACTGTCTCTGGTCACTACCACTGTTCTTCTCAAGACTGTTATCTGAAAGAAGAGCAGTATGTGAGTGGCCCACCAGGACAGAGCTTGTGAACACCCACTGCATAACACATCAATGAAAAATCAAACGTTCAGCAAGCAGCTGAACTCAGGTTTCCTAGGTTTTTATGTCAAGCTTGTTTTTCCAACAAAATTTCAGTTCTATGTGGAGCTGTTACCTTAACCCGTATGTCTTAGTCACTGCACCTTTAACATTACACCAACAGCCCTACTCTGCTCTCTAGTGTTGATACAGGAAGCAAAACATAACATGCTGATACAGCATGCTAGGAATTTATTCTGATCATCTTCTCAGAGCCTCAAGTTCCCTTAAGAATTACATATTAAATGAGGCTCTGATGCAAGAAAGATTATCTCAAAGTCACTACAGAGAAACACAGTGAAGAGCTAAGCAGCTTACATAAATGCTAGACTTTTAAAACAGCATATCAGCAAACAGGCACAGGTCCCCCACAGCTCCTCCTTCTTACTTTTATTTGAAATTGAGGGACTGTCATATCCTCCAAAGGTCTCTGCTCTCCTGGGGAGCCCCACTGCGTAGCTCTCTTCAGACTGACAGGATCCATTTCCTAAGTGAGTGAAGATAAGGTTCTGGAGATTTTCAGCTAGGAAGGAAGAGAACGTCATTTAAACAGCTGTATCCACACAGTGAGATAAACTCATCATTCTAATATCTTAGAAATACATATAATTTCAACCTCTATGTACATTAAAAGATGGGGCATTTTAAGAGATTTTCTCATTTTCTTTGTGACATGTTCTTTATGACAGACTCCTCATATTGCAAATGAAGCTGACCTCCTCCTTGAGCTCATATTATCAAGCCTTGAATGTTTTTTTTTTTGTCAAACTAAAAATGATGTTTGTGGTTTGTGTCTGTCTAATTACGCTATTTTCAGATAGGTTATTTTAACCTAGAACACTTGTGATTATATTTCAGAGTTGGTTTATTATTAGGTCGCCTTGTTATCCGTCTGAATAGACTCATCTGAAGATTCCACAGGTTGATCATTAAGAAGGAAAATAAAAAAAACCCACAAAGCTGAGGAGGTGGTCCTCCACCTAAAAACATAGGTGCATTCTACCTATCCTGCAGACTGGATTTGAGTCTGAATTGCATTACACAGAATTATTAGAAGACCATTTTTGTGTCCTGTACTTAGATCCTATCTGCTTATCCCAACAACTGCACTGCAGCGAACACACGTTTCCCTGCTGCACTTACCTTCTACTACTGCAGACTTCAGAAGTGCCTCTCCTTGCAGACTTTCTGGGATATCCCCCAGAAGTAGCAGCCTAGATTGGGATCCTTGGGAATGGTCTTCAAATCCATACAGTTCAGACATTTCTTGATAAATCTGTTGTTTCTCAGTTAGACTTTGTACAATCAGGTCATCTTTTATGTTCAAACGCTCTAATAGAAGAAACAAACTCAGTTTTGCCTTCCAAATTGCTGTTAGGAGTACAACATTCAGTTTGGAAGCTTGTAATTCATTTCAGAGTCAGAGATGTAATCAACAGTTGGGGAAAAAACCAATAGAACACCTCACAAAGCACTCAAAGCTTATTAGTTCTTTTCTTAAACTATTTCTATGCAACCCTGCAATACCTTGAGAAGTTTTCAGGAGAAATTTGGTCACACGTAATAACAAGATAGTCATAAATCACAAGAAATGCTGAGAAGCTGCCTGTGGAATATATATCTAATTCATTACCTTGGAATTCTCTTAACTTCGCTGCTCTTGCTTCAGCCAGTCTCCTTTCTGCTTCAGGTTCATAAAATGATCCACCTTCTTCATCAGGACAGCTGTAGAAGGCGGGAGACAGAAATGTGTTTCATTTACACATTAGATAATTTAAAATCATCTCAGCATTCAGCCTGAAACTTTTGCCTAGGGTGTGGTTTTACCTTGCATGTCAATATTTTTCTCTTATCCCTTTTGACATCAGTGAACCAAGTTAAAAAAGGCAAAACAAAGCCTTAGGCTATTTGTTCCAGCATCTTTTTGAGCAGCTTCTGCCCAGTAAATATGCACCAAACAACCTGCTTCAGTCTTACAAAGGAAGTTTACAAACAGCTGGAAGTATTTTTATGATAAACTTACACATACGAGTCGTATGAAGGGAAGGCTGATGAGTGACAAATGAAGCCTTCCAGCTTTCAGTCACTATTTACCTTTCCACAGCTCTGCGGATGTGAGCCATCCAGGAATTCCTCTCTTCTTTTGAGCTTGTGTGAATTTCGTACATTTCCGGTCCTTCTAAGGAAGCACTAATTAAGAACATTGCCTTTTCCTCATTAGCTACCTCTCTTACAATCAGCTTTTGCAGCGAGATAACTGGTGGTTTAGAATCCTGTAAAAGAAAATATTATTTATTGCACTGTATTATATACATTTCTTAGAGTTTGTGCTTCTAACCCTCCCGTCTCCTTACCTATACAGGGCTACATGGCCACCATGAGATACGACACAGCAAAACAGTGACTTTCTGCTATGGTGACACTTCTGACACTTGTCATTTTTCACTCATTAAGCATAAATCAAAACATACAATACAGACTGTATACTTCAAAAATAAGAGTTCTTGACTGAATGTTAAAGCAAAGGTCTAATATTTGTAACCTAGGAAGGTTTTCAGAAGAGAACCTTTGTAGCTGCTTCACACTATAATCTACAGTGAAATTAAGAAAATGGAACTGTAAAACCGATCCATTTGCTCCTCTCACTTGCTCCATTTATCTGTGGAGGAGTGATATCTGGACTGGTTCTATTACAGTCATAACTGAACTAGAAAAGGACAAAGTATATGCAATTAACTGTTCTGAGTACACCTGTGGAAATGCCCGAGAAAAGCAAGCAAATCCACTGAGTATTCTACAGTGCTGCAGTAATTACATTAGCATTTAATGCTTTTTTATGTTTTCTTCAGGAAAATTCTTTGCCCACAGCAAGTCATTGGCTATTGTACCATGTCCCTAGCCAAAATGGAAGATTTTTTCACCTTCAAACTGATACACAGAAGCAGATCTTATTTGCAAGTGCCTTTTAAAGCACGGTTCCAGCATTTAACATACAACTTGCATAAAATAGGAGCCTAACAAAGCCCAGTGAAAGGCAAAATCACAGCACAAGAAAAGGAGAAGCACTGAATCACTGACTTGTTTATCAACTACATTTTCCTTGTGAGGCCAGCATAACAACTAACATTTCTATTTGTATTTTTTCTGCAATTACTCTCATTTTCATAAATATTCTAAGTAAATGCATTAAATAAGATGACCAATACCTACCACTGATACAAACATATATTTTTGGTCCTTTTCTTGTAAGAGCAACAGTACATCATTTAACAGGACTGCCAAAACATCTACAGCAACAAAAGAAAGAAAAAAAGACTTTGATTCAAAGAAACTGGTGCAGACTCAAAACACTGAAGTTTCCAGACACAGCCTGTACACATGCAGAGCCAGCAGAATACAAATACAGCCAATTTAAAGCTTGAAAGCACCTACAAATGCATACTACATCTGGACTCAAGCAGTCATGACTGAACATATCTCCTTTAACGGCAGGTCGTTCTGAATCTGCAGATGTTCACACTACCAGCTTTTCTTGGCTTTGCTACATGTACCATCTGAAGCTTTTCTTTGAACAGCTGAACAATGAAGCTGTTAGAACCTTCACTGATGAAGGTGGTTTTGATTTTCTGGATAAACAGACATTATGCAGAATAAAGGTGTCAGAGGTTTGACAATTTCTCCAAGCATGAACCAAGAGCTTGCACAATGCAGTGCCTTTCCACAGGAGACTAAGTCAGCATGACTCAAAGCTTTGTCATTTACCTGAAGGTTTCCCTCTTGAATTGGAAAGCAGATCAGACAGATAATAAGCAAACAGCATAAGGAACTGATCATGCACCATTATAGAGATGCTCATTGGACAAGCCAGGAATAGAACAAGAACTATTGCCTCCAATATCCTATTAAACAAGTGGGTTATCATCATCCTTCTTTATACTCAATCAATAATAAGCAGTTACAGAACAAAGACAAATCTTGTTCCCTACTTGTACTTCTCCCATTCCTGGTCCTTTACCTTTGAGCCGTCCTGATGCAGCTTTCCAGTACAGCATCCCATCCAGCAGAAGCCGCCTCTGTCCCATGTCATCCTTTCGGAAGAAAAGCCCATTCTTGCATTTCCCAGATGATTTTAGCTCCATTTTATGCATAATCTCTTTAAGGCGCTGCCCCTTCTCACACTCATTTACTATGGCATCTACATGAGTGATTGTATGCTTAATTAAATTAAGGGCATGGCTCAGATCTTCATAATCCTTAGTTCCAACTAAGAGAAAAGAACAGCAATTAGTCCAATTTTCAACTCAGGAATGCAACTATGAGTCAATCAAACATATTTTAACATGAAGGTTCCTGACTGAGTATTTGACATTATTTCTTAAGAGCTTGAGTCTATAAATAAATTAATTCCTTTAGCTCTACATCTTTAATGAACAGCTAGGCTTAGCTACTACAATGTTGTGCCTCTGAACTTGAAACTCAGTGTTGCTTCTGATCCTCTGATGAAGCAAGACTGATGTGAATCTGCATCCAGAACTGCATCCAGCTAACTAGGAAATAAGAAAGCTGCTATAAGGCAGAACCAGCCTGTTCTCCTCAGAGGAAAGAACATGTGGAATAGGAGAAAAAGGATGATAACAACTGTCAGGCTTCTAGGAAAGATTAAGCAAACCACCTTCTGTATTCTGAATAATACGTTCCACCAGGACCGGGTATTTGGTGATGCGCTGCGTAACCAGAAGGATGCACTCCTGAACACCAAGTCTCCTCACAATGGAACAGTTGCCAATTTTCTAGAAAACAAGACAGATCAGTCACATCCATTTATATTTTGTTCTTTTAACTCCTTCTCCTTTCCATTTACACATTTGCTATTTCAAAACACTTTTACAAAATTAAGTTTAGCACCACAAAATTATCTGTGCTCTATTACAAAAGCAAAACTCCTGATAACATCCAAAAATGCCTTTAATACTAGAAAAAAACATTCTAGTTACTATTTTCAACTACTTTTAACTGAATCTGAAGCCAAAGTTCTGAAACTGAACTTTTTGCTAACTGAATGCCTTCTGTAATGGACCAGTCCTTACCTACATAGGAAAGTATAATAATTTGAAAACCAAACCCAACCAACAGCCAAATTATATCAATTATGAATAAGTGTTTATTTTACCACTGCGTGATCATGAGGATGTTGATGCACAGAAACACTTTCCTGCTTAGAAATGGAAGACTAAAGCACCAAAATGCCACCAGCTGGCCTGACTGCAGGAACAAAGCACTCCTGGGGGCTGAATATAGCACCCAGATCTTTCTTTATAACAACAAAGGCTATTTGTTTTAAAACTCTGCTTACTGGTTTAGTTTCTTTAGAAGTGAAAGCCTTTTTCTTTCAAGGCACCTAGTTAAGAAGAGCTATAACTACAGAATCATGCTGGAAAGTTCACACAGTATCACTTACTAATGACTGGAACACGAGAATACCACGGGCTGTGCAGTGCCAGCTAAGATTCGGGTTACAGGCTTCCAGTTTGGCTGTGCTTCTTGTGCCCGTCCTATTAATTGTGCATTACACTGTACAGCAGATAAACAAACTGCCCTGGAGCCAATCTTCTGGTTTTGGAAAGATGATGTAGTGGGCAAAACTAAATTAAGAGTTCCTGTTTTTCCTATGGTATTTTTATCAACAGTGTTTATCATCAAGCCAATTTACATAGATGGCCACACAGCACGGCAGTCAGTGATAAAGCCATGAATAGAACAAATACTCTACTCCCCAGTACTAGGTGTTCCCAAGAAAAAAATACCTGCCCACCCCAAACAGCTTAAAGAATTTAAAATACAAGAAGCAAACAACCTATCAAAGAATGAGAATATACCTCTTAATATTGCTCATCCAAAATTAAGATATCTTCAAGTATAAAATAGAACTGAAAGAGTTCAAGCATACTTTGCACAGTAATAATGGGAGGCTTCTGATTGCTGTTTACCTTTATTAAGTTTTGGAACTTCTTGTGGCTTTGGAGCAGGTCTTTATAGTGACTAACAGCTTCATTATGTCCAGAACAGAACACACCGTATTTTTCTTTCATTCTCTCCCCATTTTCACCTGAGAACTAATGAGAAATATAAGTATTAAATACATGAATCACCCCAAGACCCACATTTAACATAGTTTTACATTAACTGAATCCTGAGACAGCATTTCAACATTTCTCATTTCTGTTACAGAAGAAATTGAGAGCTTAAACAAGTATTAACTGACTGCTGTCTTAATGAAAAATTTTAAAAGGATCTGAGCTTCTGCACTTAAAAGACTGAGGATTGCAAAAGGTGAAGAACAAAAAAAGGTTACAGTATACAAAAAGAAATTGCTGCATCCACTCATTAACAGAACAGGCACTAAACTTAAAAGCAGCTGTCATTAGTAAAAAAAAATTCAAATGGTCAGAACCAAGAAGCTCAGCATTAAGTGCACAACAGCTGTATTTGGGAAGGACACCATCAGTACATTGCTGTACTTTCAGAACACAAAGACAAGACCAAATCATCCTCATTGTATACCATATAACGAGTACATGTGTGCCTGAAGAACACCCAGTGAACATCTCAGTGTTTTGATCAGACGTGTTCCTGGCAGTCATATTCACACACAGTACTAGGACAGTGCTCATAACCCAGCCTTCCATTAACTTCTACACAACCATGTATTTATCTTATAATTAGCTTTTTAGGTGCTTAATAGCATCAAGAAATCTGATACAATCCCACACCTGTTTTACCAAGAGGTCTCCAATGTTCTGGATTATATAATTTCGGTCACTGCCTTCTTCCAAGGACTCCTTTCGTCGCTCCTTTAACTGGAGCAGGAATTGCCCATGCATCTCCAGCAGCTCATCCACACAGGGGAACAGCTTGTTGATGACTGCATTTGAGAACTGCAGTTCCTCCTTCATGGCTTTAGAGTACACCTTCAGCATTATTTTCAGTGTTCTAACATGGTGCATTTCAGTCTGCATTAGTTCTGGGTAAAGGGAAATAAAAATTAGTGCTCATTTACGTGGTGTGCCATGACTAGTGAGAAGAGAGCAGTCTCTGAAAGTCATCATCTTTTGCAAGTGACCAAACCTACTCTCAAAGTAACAATAGCTAGATAAACAACCCTCAACTGCTTCTGGTATAAAGGGCGACAGACAGGACAAGAGAAACTAGGAGATATTCTTAAACTGCAGCAAAAGCAGTTTTATATCAAATATCAGGAATAACTTCCCTTATCAATCAGAGAGATTAATATTGCAGCATTCTTCAGAGATGTTTAGCACACAAAACAAACAGCTGAAGTCTAGATACAGCTGATTATACAACAGCATACACTGACAGTGAAGACTATGTGACATCTTGTCTCCTTCCAGCCATACTTTGTACCATTCTAGATCTTGCTAGAAGCCAGCTACTCTGAAGCTGTCCATAAACTTTTTCTAAGGATTATATCACTATCAAGGAAAGAACATAACCACAATTAAAGCGCCTGAATTTGCCCTGCTAATCTCTCAATCAAACAGTGACCAAGAATGACCCTGCTTATTTAATATCATCTCCCAGTAGAAATTGAGCTTAGGACATTTCCTAATTGCACAGCTAGGTTTTGCTGCTTACACAGGCAGAAAGATAAATACGGGTTGCTTAAAATCATTATTAGGAGGACTTAGGCACACTGAGATAAATAACAGATTTGAAAGTTTGTATTTAGTTTCAGTTTCCAAGCATGAGCCAAACTGGAAGCTCATAAAAATAACAATTTACGTTGTTTCAGAACAGTGACACTATAAAATCAAGAAGTTTTAAAGAATTAATAGTGTTCTTACCATAAATGACATCCTGCCTTTTTACAACTTCTTTCTTTTGCTTCTTTGCATAAGACTGTTCCACTGCAACACTCCAAGACTCTGCCTCAAACTCATGAGCGTCTGTTTCTATTTCACTTCGGAGGGATAGAGAATATGCATCTAGACCAAAAGCACATTCAATTTCAATAGTTAATCTTTATCCTTCAATACCATCAACAAGGGTAAATACATCTCAAGACGTACTGTATGCAGTTTCTTACACGCCTGAAAGTGCTGAAAAACACAGAAGCTTCCATACCTTCCAGAAAAATGCAGTCTGCTGTTGAAGGTGCAAGTGAGACAACATCATCTGAGGTCTGCTTAAACTTTATAAATCCTGAATCCCCTTCATCCATGTCTCCTGAAATTAGTCTAAGTGGCCAAAGAAATTAGAATGGGACCCAAACAGAACATTACTATTTTTTAAGTTACTCTACTTAGATCAATAAATAAAAGCCAACTACTTCAACAAGCAGCTTTCCTATAAAGCAGTGAAGTTAAAAAAAACACAAAAGCTACCCCTGCACTCGCAGTTTAAACAGACAAATAAGAGCAGTACATTGATCAGTGACACAATACAGATTTAATTAGAGCAAGAGAAAGGATGCAACTTCTAGTCTGACATTAAAAAAGAACAACAGCACATCACCTGCTGACAAACCACAGCCATTTCAGAGTACAAAGGGCACTTTCAGTGAGGACGGAGCATAACTGTGGTATATAAGAGGTGCACAACTACACAAACCAGCAGTTTTGAACTTGTCCACTATTTTAACCCAGGTATCCTGCAATTTAAAGCACTGTCCTTCCACACGAGTCAGAACTAGCACAGCCTAGAATAAGTGATCTCAGAAAAGATTCTTGAATTTCAGCAAGTCTGAAGATAAATACACCCATTAAAAACATGCTCCAGACAGGAATACTCAAACACTCCACTATCTTACAGTATCTCTTTGTGTCACACTACAGAGGGACTAAAGATAGATTGTTATTTTAAACAACAAAATTCAGCATTAAGAGCCCAATGATCCTCTCTTGAGCTTGAAAACGTGAGCCTTGTTTTATTTTTAATTGGTTTTCTTTTCAGATGGGGGAGGGGGCGACAGCAGAAGCCAGTGAATGAGAAGCAGTTTACTTACCCAAATTTGCTAACGGCTCCTGCAGTATTCAGTGAAGATGGAGAATTTCCTCTTTGGGTGATAGTCATGCCGAGGTTCCGCGGCAGTGCTGGGGTGCCATCTGGCCCCAGGAGAAGGCTTCGGGGCTGCTCCTTCAAGGAAGCGGCTAGAGAGGCAAAAATTGAATTGGTGCTCAGAAAATGAGGCGTACACTGCAGGTCGCCTGCTCTCAAACCTCTCTCTGAATGCGGACGGAGAACAGACAGGATCTTGGATGTCAAAAGCTCGTTGTCCAAAAAGACATTTTCATTCCATTTTCTCGAAAAGGAGCCACAAAAAGACAGCTCGGGATGAGCTGGGATCGCATTGCTTCTGCCGCTGCTTTTTGAATTTGTATTCCCCATGCTCACTACTGGCTGCCCTCAGACTTGGCACAGTAAAGTGGCCCCAGAGATGCACTGTTTTTATACTACCTGTGATCCTTCTAGAAATGTAAAGCTGTCACTTAACTTACTGTATTGGCTAAATCAGCAGGTCTGAAGTGCAGGAAATTGGTCCCTACTGTGCCCATTTAGTGTGGAAATTGCAAAGTATCTTCTCCTTTAGTAAAACACCAGAACCTACACACAATTATTCACACCCTACCGTATAAGGGCACAGAACATTTCATGGCAAACAAGAAAAATCTGAGATCACAGAAAACCACAAGTTCTCCGCAATGCTTATTGCTGCTCAGCCATTTCTATCTGCACGCTGAGCATAAGAGACACCAGAGCTAAATTTAATTTTAATACTGCAGATTTTTAATGCTTTTTAAATCTGGACAGACTCTGAACTGGAAAGACATTTAAAACTTTAATCACTGTTATACAATACATGAAGTCTGTAATAGACTTATGAAAATTGGGTACAACTATTTAGTACTAATGTCTGCAATGAGTGATATGAAACAGGAGACAAAATATGTCCTTTTATAAAAGGAACCTCAGGGAAGTTGAGGATGAGGAATCAGACAATCCTCAAACCTTCTCACTGGCAAGGTCTGCAGCTGCCCTGTCTTCAGAGTGCTTTTAAGGACATGGCAGTGGAAGAATTCTCACCTTGGAGCCCCTGGATGCAGGCTGTCTCAGCAGTCAGACTGACCTCCATGCCATGCTGTAGCAGTTCAAAGAGTGCCTTCAGCCCCAGCCTATGCCCACCCATCACCAATTTACAACTTTCCTTCTGGTGCCTATTCAGACCCCAAAGCCCCTCTCCTTGGTCTGCACCCCTGGGTGTACCCCTGCTGAAGATCCCTCTCCCCTCACACTTGTTTTCCTCAACCAAACACAGGACAATCAAGGCATTCCTATTTCTATTCATAAAACAGGTTTTTCCACATTTCTTCATATCCCTGCTCTCCACCCCAGCTCTGTGATCTCACTCTCCTTGAAACAGTTGATAGAACTGCATGAGAGCTTCAGAGAAGGTTTCATCAATAACACGTAATGCAAATAACACTGCACCTTTTACCCATTGGAAATAGCTCTCCCAATGGCTCTTCAAGTTTGAAATAATTTGCATATGCACACAGCTCATTCTCAGCCTATAACAAACAGAGTAAACTGAGATATATTCCCCCACCCATCATCCAAGCAATGAGCTTTAAGCTCATCATCCCAAAAAAGCAAAATAAGTGAATATTGGTGGGATTGGCAAGAGAATTTCTTGAACAAGACTTTAATAACAAATGATATCCTATTTGCATTTGGTGAACTATTGAAATCAGCCACCATGTTCTCTTTCTGTGCTTCCAAGGCAAGAATGTAAGAGCTTTAATTCACAATGGCAGGTCAAATCTTAACACCTCCTGAGGAAAACATGGGGGAGGGCACAACTTGAATCTTTCCTAAAACATGTTCCTCTTTTATACTCATACAACATCTTTGGCTTCTTTTGCTGGGCACTGCAGCCTGCAGTGGGTGACAACACAGCCCATGCTATCAGCTTCTTTTCTAACTTCCATCTTCTGCTTCTGACCACAAAAAACAAGCAGTGGCTGCCTAGAGAAGTCTGCACCAACAAAAAGCCATTTTCTGAGTTCAATTAGCACTGTCTGCACACTGCTGAGAGTCCGTATCGATCGCTGCTAGCCTACAGCATCAGACCAGACTGTGTACCACAGAGCTGTTCCAACCAGAAGCCCTACAGCCAGCATCTCCTATTTTCTTTATTCCTCCTTCTTTCCTATTTTAGTCTCTGCTCTTTTCCCTAAATGCACAAAACCATTTCTGACCACGCAATCAACCACTCATCTTCTTACAATAATTATTCCCCTTGTTGGTAAGAACTGTTTCATGAAGTACTTTTTGAAACTCAAGCTAAATGATACCTAATAAATATACTTGTAGAAATCAGAGTAATACCCAGACATTCAACTCAATTGTGTTTCTTATGCCCATCAAAGCAGACCAACTGCACAGCAGAAAATAATTCTGTTCTAGTTACAGTGAGTCACCTGAGAACCCAAGAAGCAATTCTGTTAATGCGCATCTCGTAACTTCTACCAATTAAAATGCCATTGAAATCTTACAACTGCAACTATGATGGTCTTTTCTAGTAGCAAAAAGCTATTTCAAAGCCTATGCTGCAATAGAGCTTTCTTGCTCCTTATTTTTGCTCCCAGATCCCTTTTCCCACTTCATTTCAACAAAGATTTATGTTCAGACCATTAGCACTAGCTGGGCTTAGAGGTTTCTAGCAACCACTAGCTGCAGGCAAGTTTTAAATAGACAATTATGAAAATCTGATGTAAAACAAAGTTCACAGTTCTAGTCTTTTCAGAGGCCAGAGAATAGACAATCAATGAGAAACTAGCTTATCGATCCCTTTTCACCATGATATTTTGAGGTTACACAGCAAGAAGGTATAAAGAAAAATAAAAAGATAAAAAGATAAAAACACACAGGAGATTGCCAGGAGCCTCTAAGCCATTCCCAGCAGAAAAAAAATGAAGCCATCTTATTAAAAGAGACCTTCTCTATACTTCAATAACACACTGTGTATAGCCTCTAAAACATATTAGAGAAAAAAATACAATTGAACAGATGAGTCTTGAGCACAGAAATCACTCTTTAGTACAAACCTGGGGAAATGCACTGGGACGAACTTTGTGCAGGTCCAGAAGGTCTGTGCTGCAAATCTTTCTGCTATAGGAAAAAAGACAATAGCCTTACACATACAGCCCAAACTTTCAGTCCAAAATAAATCAGAATTTTCCTAGCATATAACAAAGCTGTATGCAGAGGTCTATACAGTTTGACACAATAACAGCTCTGATTTCCTCACGTTCCAGAAGAGCATGCAGACATGAATCCCATATGTAAAATTTCTATCAACTACAAACTAGACTGAAGTAAAAGTGAAGTTACAGCTGAATTAAAGCCACGACCATAAGAAATACATCCAATAAAATCATACTCTTCAGATAAGCAATCTTCACCTACACTTCACTGCAGTTTAGCTTAAAGCAGTACTAACTAAACTAACACTAACCCAAGTCAATGCCAGGTTTCAACCAAATCAAGGCTGTTCAAAACCTACATCTCTGCTATCTGCACAGCTTTCTAATCCTTATCACACTCGGATACTACAATCCACTGAGGCTCCATTTATCAAAAACAGACAAAATTAAGTAATGAAGTTTATAACAAATGGCTTCTGGGGAGTCTTGCTTTTCACCTCTGGCTCCATTCCCCATATCATTTTGTGCCACCATTCTCTCTTTGATCTCTTCAGGAGCAATTTGTAAGGGGCGACTCAAGAATGAAAGAATGATAGCAAAGAATGGAAATTAAAGCAGGAGTGCAAGTGAATTTTTGTTTAAAAAGAAAATGCACAGGGCCTGGAAAAGCTGTTAAAGTAAACCCATAAAAACAGCTAGGAACATTCCTACACTCTAAATCACTAAAGGCTGACAACACTTCCTCTAACCCCAATAGCCCAGATTTGAGCTGTTATGCTCTTTTTCTCCTCATAGGGCTCCTAAGCTGCTATCAGGCTCTGAAATCACTGACAGTTGCAAGTTCAAACAAACCAAACCCTCAAGTACGAGCAGTTATAAGAAGGAGGAAACGATTTTTGAAACCAATACCAGAATTTAAAAAAAAAAAAGTGAGAGATACTATCTGAGACCAAGCCCTGACTTCATATGTAATCACATGCACCCCAGTGACAGAAACTGAACAGCCTGGCAAGACAGAAGCTTATCACAGGTTGAAAATTAAACCACTTATTCTGCATTACTCAGCTTATAAGCAATGTGCAACTGTTACAACCAAATTCCTCTGTGCCCCTCACTCTGTCCTCTGCTTTGAGATGGGACAACCCATTAAAATACAGTCACATAAAACTCAGAGGTATGAAATAATTCAATTATAGTAAAAAAAAAAAAAAAAGGCATTGCTTTGAGCATTCTTTTAAATGCTAGCTCTGACAGACACAAGCAATGTCCAACAGTTTTCAGAACAATAATAAATTGTTTCACTTCTCACTACTTACATAAATGACCGTAATGACTACTGAGTGAGTAGTCAGTGTCTTTTAAAGATGTAGGGCAGGATTCTGCACTAACATAACTCAGTACACTTCCACCACATCAATCTTACTGTCAAGCACTGTTATTTGTAACAAAACACATTTTAAAACTCACCTTGGTTCTGATGCTGCTGCATTCAGCCAGCAAACTCCTGCAGTTCTTATGGACATTCACTGCACAATCTGAAACACACACAAGAAGCCTTAATTATTCTTGCCGTTCTCATCCAGGGAAAGAAAGAGAAAGACATAAAAGATCTTTACATTTTGGAATAGATGCAGATTAACCTCCAGTGAGCATCCTTATGCATGCTCTGGCTGTGGTTCCATGCCATGGTTGGACCTTAAACATCACCCAATGTTCTCCATAACTACCAAATAACTGAAATATGTACTTGGCCTTAGACATAGCTAAACAAACAACTAACAAAACAAGTCTGAAGGATCAAGCCCCCGGATCAGAACGATGCTTACATGTTATGCAGCTGCCACAACTGCAGGAAATCTGAGCAGAGCACTGCACTGGCAGGGCCTGCCACACATTAACCTTCCACAAAAGCCATTGCTTCTCTCTCCTTTCTGACTTTTCTACCAGTATCCTACCCACGCAAGAAAGGCACCCTACAGAACACATGAGCTATTATTGCATTGATGAACACACATCACCAGCAAACAAGAAGCTCAATAAAAGGTATGCCAGAACAACACACAGCCAACTGACAACAGCAACCCCTTCCTCGTGAGAGGAAGGAGCAACTGTAGGGCTGGCATCACACAACAGGAAGCTGAAAAATCCTTCCTGGTGTCATGCTGGGTTGGATTCCACCTGGTTTCTGACTGGGCTCCGTCAGTGCACAACCCCAGAACTGCTGGGGATGGGGGCAGGCGGAGTCACCCAGCCCTGCTCTGCCCCAAACATCACTGCTGCTCCCCACAGCCATGTCTGGGAGAACAGCAGGAGTCAAAAAAGCAGCAAAGAAAGTGAGGGACACAGAAAAGAGGGGAAGTCACAGGAAACTGAAGAATTTGAGACTGATACTTAAGGGACAAATATGAAAGGATCATTATTGATTTACACTAATTATAGATGCCTAACATTAGAAAACATCATTTTTGGGTCCTTCTCATGTTGTATGAGGAAAAAAAACATCCAACCTTAGCCAGCAAAGAAACATTCACAATCAAGGGAATCAAACATCATTTGTGCTCCTGTTTATGATCGAGGATAACGAGACAAATAACTGGTAGAATAATAATATTAACAAACAAAAACTACCCTTATTAATGAGATGCTTTCCCAAGGGCTCCCAGAAACCAACTTTATTGGGTAACACAAGAACTACAGTGTGGATTCCCAGTATGCAGGAGGGCGGCGAGCAGCTGAAGCAGGGCACACGAATACATTTCCCCCCCCCCCAACTGCAATGCCAGTGTCTGATCCACACCACAGTAATGTCCCATAAGTGCCTTCCAGAATTGGATTCCAGGACAAATCTATGACTCACCAAATATTATGAGTATTGTGACCCTGACCTTTGGTCTGGAACGGTACTGCTCAGCAAAAGAACTCTTAAAAGGTCATCTGCAGACAGTCACAACTAATGCTTTAGATATAAAATTTAACTACTGATGTCTTTTTCCCCCTTCAAATATGTATCATTTTGGTGTTTTTAAACAATGGATTAAAAAAAACAAACACCTTTAAAACACTCAAGTTCAGACAAGGACACCTTTAATACTATTTCTAACGACACAAGGAGCTCACGTACTGCTTTAATGCTGAGGATATCCACTATCTATTAAATCCAACCAACTAAAGAGAGCTGTGGGTAAGAAAGCTTCCTGGTAAAACAGCATGTTTTTATGCTTTCAGATGTCTGACACTTCAGAGATCAAAGAGAACCTCGTCCTTACACCACACAAGGTTATTATCCTTTCCTGAACCAACAAAGAAAACATGTAGCTCTGAACGACTCTCATGTGAATGATTAACAGAGAATGTAAAACCTGAATTTAAACAAGGATGCACAACACAGTGACAGAAACACCTCAAGTAGCTACAGTGCTCCAAAAGAAGCAGAGCAAGGGGATGATACAACTCCTTAAGAAGGAGGAGGAGTTTCAACCGGAACTTGAAGAAGTTTCTGTATTTGGTAAATCCAGGTCACGCACCTCCAGGAACTTGGAACAGATTTAACTTCATCCTGGTGGCTTCAGCAACCAATGTTTGCTTATTTTGCTAACACATCTAATTGCACAGAGGCAGAAACCAAATGCTGGAAAGTACACAGCGACAAGATACCTCACATTCTGAAACACCAACAGCCCATGTGAGAAAGCAACAACACCAGACTGCATTCAGCTTCAGCTTCCCCCTTGCTCTCCCAAACCAACCTATCTCGCTGTGTCTGCTTTTATTGTCAAAACACCACTCAGTGGGGCTGGTGTCATACCCAGCACTCTGGGAGTGTTCAGGTCTTCTTCAAGCACAGAACCCCAAATTGAAACAAATGAACAATGCGTGTTTCTCCATTTAAACAATACAAATTCTAATCAGCGTGTTATACTAAAAGAAACAACTTCCATTTCAGTTCTGTCACACAGAACCCTTCCCCCACTCCACAGGAACCCAGCAGGGCTGAAGCAGCAATGATGACAATCACAAAAGGTATTTAAAGCATTTCATACGTAAACATTAGGTGGAACTTCAACACACCGTGTCAGATGGCTCCTGTTTGACAGCCATACTTCACAGGTTTATTTTTATCACACCAAAGAGGATTTAACTATTGCCCTCATAAATTTATAAAGTCAAATCACAAAGCCTGCTGCAAAACTCTTCCAGAAGGAGTTGCAACAAACAGCTGAGAAGAAACAGTTTCTTCTCTTAGTTTGACACAGAAGACACACAGACTACAGTAACAAAACCACAGCAGAGAATCTTCAAACAACTGTCAACGATTTGGCTCGTTTACTGGGGCAGCAAAGCCAGGCAGAGCATCAGACATACTTTCCCCCAGAGTTCAGGTATCTGACGTACACCTGGGACACATCTTTGTAATGCAGCCCCAGCACCCTCAGCGCTGTGTGTGAGCAGCAGGGACGGGGCTCCATCGCCCCAGCCCAGAGCCGCTCACACCCAGCTGTGACACGAGAACCACCCGCACACGAGGCCGCGGCACCAGCTCACCTCCCTCAACCTCAGGTACGGGCTGCCCCACCACACAGCGCCTCGGCCCCAGGCTAAGCCCCGACCTGCAAACCCCGCGGATTCACCGCGACAACGAAGAGCTCAGCGCGGCGCCGAGGCCGAATCCCGGCTCGCTCCGCACTGCCGACCCCGCGCGCCTCCCCCCGCCGCAGGCAGCCGAGCGGGCAGCGGCCTCCACGCCCGGCCCTGCGACGTGGGGGCTCGGGGTCAGGCGGGACTGCCGTGGCCCTGGGGCCGGCACCGCGAGGAGCCGGGGCCCGGGGAACGCCGGCAACCCGGTGTCTTACCGGACTCCCCGGGGAGCCGCCGAGCTGCACCCCCGGTCCCGGGAACGGTCGCCACAGAAACAGGAAACGCCCCTCCGTGTCCCGGAAGTAAAAAGGGGCGGAGGGCGCAAAGCCGCGCATGCGCGCTGCCGCACCGCGCAGGGCCGGGCAGGGCGGGGTCAGCGCGCTCCTCAGGGCTCGGCCTCCCGCGGGGAAATTCCCGCCCGGGGACCGCGAGTCATAGAAAAAAGAATAACCCGAGTTGGGAGCGATCCGTAAGGATCGTCGAGTCCATCACCGGGCTCCGCGCAGCAGTGCCCAAAGCCCACGTCTGAGAGGGCCCAAGCTCTGAGCTCTGGCAGCTCTCCTGTGAGGAGCCGCGGGCCGCCAGCAGCTCCCCTCAGCCTGCCGTGCCGGGCCGAGTGCACCGCTCCTTCCCAGGCGCAGAATCCAGCACTTGCTATTGTTAAACTCCACACAGCCGGTCATTACCCAGCTCTCTAATTTGTCCCTCTGGAAGGATCTCTCTCCACCCTCGGTGGAGTCAACAGCTCCTAGTTTTGGAGTGTCAGTGAAGTCGTTCAGAGCACCTCCTCGTCCTACGTCCAAGTCGTTCAGGAAAACATGAAAGAGAACTGGCCCTAAAGCAGAGCCCTGAGGAACGGCTCTGCGTCAGTTTCCAGGGGCCCTGCCTTCCGTCAGCGCCTGCCTGCATCACCAACAGAGACAACGGGCTGTTAAGAGATGGCGCACAGCACCTCAAGTGACAGCTTTAGCACGGCAACGCGGTGTCTGTGCAGTGCCAGGGCTTTACTCTAAATACGGAGTTCATCATTGAAAGCCTGGCAGGATTTGCTGTTCAACACAATGTGTTTGCAGCAACTTCTGCCGAAGTGTTGGGTTGGGTTGGCAGCAGTCGCCTCCCAGCTGCCCTGCAAGCACTGTGCCCTCACAGCAAAAGCAAAGAAGGCACTGCTTCACTGTCAGCAGCTTTGTGTGCTGACTTGTGTAACTAATTTGCTGGAAAAACGGTTCCCTGGTACTGATAGTGTCTGTGGTTTGACCTGGTGCTAGCACAGTGCCCCCAAAGAAGACCTCTCTGGAGAGAGGAGAAATCAGAACACCTTACGACCTCCTCTCCCAGCCAGTCTGCTTCGCTCTGAGCTTACAGTCCTGAGCTCCATCACTGATTTTCATGTTTTAAGTTGTGCATGTGCAAGCTGTCTGTCAAGCCTGAAAATGCAACATGCACAATTACAAAGCAAACCTTAAAACCCACCTTACAGCTTTCACACACTGCTTTGGGAGAACCTGACACCATTTTGGCTGGAAATGGGCTGAAATCCTTCTGCCACAAGGCCAATATTGTCTCTAGTTTCCACGTTGCAACCTACTTCATTGATTTTTTTTTTTATTTTTTTTTCCCCATCTTATATTTGCAAGCTTTTCAGAAATGTTCCCTTTTGTTCTGCTGCTGTACAGGACTAAGTACAAAAAGATCCCGATTGTTTATCAGGGTCTCTCAGCACTAAAGTAATACAGAGAAATAATCATTAAATAAAGCAGTCTGAGGGTAAACAGCTGCTGCTTTGTGACAAATGAATCCTTGGACACTTCAAACTTTGTGCTTCGCTATAATATTAAACTTCAGCACTGCAGCTTGCCCAGTGACAGCTTTCATGGAGAGAACATGCTGTGCTTGTGTGGTTGGCCTCAGGGCATCTCCACAGAATCAGTGCAAAATCTGGCATAGCAACCAGCTGAAATACTCCATGGCTTAGAGCTAAGGTTTGGGTTGCAAAGAAAAGAACACCGCACCAGCTTTCTAATCCTGGGTAACTCTCTACAATAATAGAGATTTTCTTACAGAATGGGTAGCAAGCAGCTTGCTGTCACACAGCCTGCTGCACTTGTCAGGCCAGGTGTACGAGCTACTGAGGAAATGCAAGGAACAGTGTGTTGGAAATGTTCCAGATAAAGGCAATTCTATCCAAAAAGTACAAAGTGAAAAGCAGAGAAGCACTGAGAACAACATATTTTTTCAGCTTCCTTTTCTAAAACCTCGACAGTTGCTGTGAGCATTTAGCAGGGCTGGTGGTACATCTGCAGATTCCTGGTTCAGTGTTTCCACTGAAACCAGCCCCACAGTCCACTTTCGCAGTTGCCCCAGATCCCACCTTGTTGCCTTGTGACTACATTAACCCACAGCCTATCATAGTCGCTCTGGTTTTGCCTGTTTTATTTGGACTCCTGTCAGTAATCATTCATTCTAAGCAGGACTCCCAGTCCTTTTATCACTGCCATCATGTTACAGCAACTAAACTTCCTTTTCCTCAGAACAGAAGCTTTTTGGCAGTTGTGTCTCTTTCCAGAAATGCAAAGTTTAAGTTTGCCTGCTGCTTTTTAGATTTCCCAGGGCTCTGTGCAGGCTGTGAGCAGAAATCTCACAGCAGAAAATCAACGACATCCTCCTGATTGTAAGGAAAACCCGTCCTTCCCTTACTGGCCTATTGATGTTGCACTGGGAATTGTAAAAGCAGAAGCGTGTAGGTACGAGTGCAATATGAGAGCTGAATTTCACATGCTGCATTTCAAGCCCAGGCCAAGAGCTGGCCTGACTGAAACCTACCAAACAACTTCAGCAGCAACCTTAGGTTTGCTTTAGAAGAAGACGGTTGATCTGACTTTGACAAAGAGGACTGAGGCTGCACCTTTCCCATAAGGTCATGAAGATGTAACTCTCAGTGGAAGAAGTCGCAGATGTCCCACCTTTACCCCAGTGCTCAAGCTCAGGTCACTGGGAGGGAAGCAGTCCTGCCATCACACCCTTGGCTCCCCTCCATGGCACAGCCTGCTCAGAGAGCTCCCTCCTGCCAGGGCTTCCCTGGGATCCATCTAACTGCCATTGCATAAACACTGGAAGCATGTTTATAAGAAAGGATTAATTTAGGCACAGAACCTTTTCTACTCTTGACAGCTGAGGCTCAAAAGGAGCTTTCTTCATTTCCAGGTGAACAATAAACTCAGAGGCTCTCATCTCAAAGTTTATACAACAGCAAAGTTTGGGTGGCCACAGCTGCTGAGATCCCAGTTACCATAAACACTGCTCTTTGTTCTTCATCCCTGCCAGAGTCCTGACACCACGTCTGGGAGACTGAACCTGGAGCTCCCACCTGCACCGAGAGGCTTTGTGCTGCAGTGCGAGGGCAGAGGGGAGGAGCTGGGATGTAGAGGTAAGCAGGTGACCCCACCCATAGGCACCCAGGCTGCCTGCCTTCTCCATAGCTTGCATGCCCGTTTCTAGCAGAAGAATGGTGAGCTTTGCTCTGATTTATGCAGCTCGTTCCATCCTCCCTCTCCCTGCCTTCAGCCCAGCTCTTTCTTTATTAGTTTTTCTTCTATTTTCTTTCCTAGAGGCCGGTTCGCTTTCCACCACACGGTGGCGCTGCAGTTAAAAATACCACGTCGATCACGTAAACAAGAGCACCTGACCGAGAGGTGGGCCAGGAGGTGGCTGCGGGCCAAAGCAGATAGATGGGGAAATATCCCGAGGTTCTGGCAGCAGCTGCAGCTCAGCACTGACAGAGCGGCTCTCACTTCTGAAGGACAGGCGCAGCACTCCAGCTGCACGGTGGCCCAAATTTTGTTTTTCCAGAGCCCTATCAGTGACTCATCAGGAGACCGCTCACTGCTCCAGCTGCAGCCACAGCAACTGGAGATATCAGCTATCAACTCTGCTGCCCAGCAGCAGCAGCTTGCAAAGGTTTCAGCCCAGCATAATCCAAATATAGGCACTCTCAGTCTAATAGCTGTCTTGCAACAAGTCCTCTACACAGATCTGGCCACAGAACAGGCCGTTAATTGTTATGAGCATCACAGAACTCCACACAATTGCTCAGTCTTAGTTCAAGCCACCACAAGGCGAGCACACGAAAATGAGCTCTGCTGCCCAGCCACCCTCGTTAGCTTAAGCAGCGTAATCCTCGAGCAACCCAGAAAGCCAAAAGAAATGTCATAGTCCCAAACACAAAGCAGTTCTTCTATCACCATGGAGTTTTTCTGCTGAATGTTAATAACACTCAAGAACATGGATACCTCATGGTAAGTCTAAGAAACAAGGTAAAGGTTAATATAACCGATCTCCAGTCCCCACGCATTTACAGTGCCAAGCCGCACTGCCATTTAGACAGATAGTTCCAACCCCTGAGATTATAGAGCTCCAAAACTGCTGTTGAGAGAAGGATCATTCACCCTGGCAGTGACCCCTGAGTTCCCCAGAGCAGACACATTGCAGCTCCAAGCTTTTGTTGCAGCACAGAGCAAGAACTATCTGCAGCTGCTCAGATTCAGGTATTTCTGGTAAAGCAGCATGCAGCATTGCCAACAGAGCCTCCACTAAGGGGTTCCTCAGGCAGGAAGAGCAAAGCATTCCTCTCAAAATACTTGAGCCCCCTCTAAAATGTCCACAAAACACAAAGCACTTCCTTTTACTCAGCTCCTTCCTTTCTACTTTCTGCTGTGATGCCTCTAAAATGTTTGCTAATGGCCTGTGGTCCTTTTCAGTTTTCCTCTGCCCTGGAGGGAGAGTACGTTTCTCACAACATGTGCCCAAGGGCAGCCAGTGCTTCTGCCCCAGGAAGGTTGTACTGACCTTAAGAGCCTCTGAGAGTTCTTCACTTGAGCGTGAGAATTACTGGAGGATACAGGGTGGAGAAAGAGAGCAATTCTCTCATTTCCAAAAGATTTAATCTACCCACAGGCAACCCCTTAGGAATTAAAATGTTCTTCAGTGCCCTGAGGACAGGGTTTGTCCATCAGCCAATGCCGTGCAGCAAGGCCCCAAGAAAAGCAGTGAGAAGACAGTCTCCCATGCATGCCTGCAAAGGCACAGCTGCCATTCTTATGCACTGCATGCATCTGAAAAGCAGCATCCATGCAGATCCTGGGAGTCCCAACTGAACTGTTGTGTTAGTTGTTAAGGATTTGGGTGCTCCAGGAATCCCTATGCACATACCCAGGGTAGGTGCTGAGCTATTTCATCACTGCATTAGTTAAAAAACAGCCTAAAAAGCAGCTTCACCCAGGCAGCAGGGGCAAAACAGAGCTTTGTGAAAAAACAGCTTGTTAAAGTTGACCTAGAAGCCTCCTTTGGGTAAAGGGATAGGAAATGATCAGGTGGCCAAAGATAACAAGGATAAAATATTGCCCAGCAGGATTTAGTGATCATTTAGACTATCTGGAGAATAACCAAGCCAGGCCAAGCAGCAGGGTGGGTAAATTGAGCCAGGCAGAAAAGTGAAGCAACCCATGAAACCCATGAGGCTGACTGAAGCAGGGGAATAGGTGTCCTAGAAGGGGGGGGATGGGGAGCGGGTGACAGCCAGGCTGGGTCAGAGCAGCAGCGACAGCCATACTCACTCAGGCACTGCAGACCACTTTTATTCCCGAGAGGTTTGGCACACAGCGAGCAGCTGGTGCCACTGGAGAAAACCCCTGGCACAAGCTGGTGCCGATTGACCTCTTTCCAACTCTCTTTTGGCTCCTTTGTTTCTTTCTCCTTCTCTTTTGATTGCTCTTTGTTCTTACCCTGGAAGAAGAGAACACCATAGCTCCGTTACCCCTTGCACTGCCCACAGTTTGTTGGTAAAACCAAGCAGGCAGGACTGGCACAGAGCAGAGCAGTGCATCTCTCCCTCACCTTATCCTTCTGCCAGGACCCAGTGACACGGCTCCGCAGGGAACTCAGGCGTCGCATCACCTTTGTGCCTTTCTCTGCTTTCTCACTCTTTCCACTGTCCTCATTTCTGAAAAAGACCAAAACCATCTTACCTAAGGAGAAGATAACTGGCCAAGCACAGTTCAAGGAGATCACTGATGAAGTTTATCAGAAGGATTGCCTTAGGACCCCATCCCTGGGCTCTCCACCCCCTGGAAGACCTGGTTCAACATCAGTCATTCTTGAAAACAAGGACGTGAGCTTTTGGATTCTGTCCAGCTCTGGTTTTGGTCAGAGCCATGCACAGTGGGGCCCCAGTCCAGGCTGAACCATGGCAGACACCATTAGTAGAGCTGTAGAGCTTTGATGAAGAGGGGCTAGAAATAAGAGTCTGCTCCATGGATACAAAGTGTGTGGATTACTGCCCATCTCACTTACTCGTTAGACAGGAACTCAAACCAGGTGAGATTCTGCTGGGAAGAATCACTGCCTTCTTGCACACAAACTCTCTTTTTTGCCCTGTGCAGGGAGAAGACATCAGACACACAACAAAAGACATAAGAGCAGATCTTTGGAGATGGGCAGAGATACAGAAGAGGTATGTGAAGTGCTACATATTCATGCAAATCCTGCCTGGCTTTACTGGAGGCTCTGCACCTCATCTGAGGGTAGATCCCAGGCAGAACATTGACCTCCCTGCCCAAATCTATCTAACAGACACACTCACCCATGATACTGTTTCAGCTCCTGAAGTACCTGCTGTACTATTAGCCTATTAGGGATAGAGCAGAAGAAAAGCAAACAATTAGAAAATTTCCTTGCAAAGAAATTCTGCACCCCACAAAGAATCAAGCACTATTCTACAACTAACTACTGAGCCGTGCCCTAGCATAGGGTGGGATCTTCCTTATGGCTTGTTGATGGATCTCCAGTAGCTCAGGTGCACACAAAAATCTCAGTCATCTCAAAACAGCAAGGACTGACAATACCTACACTTGGTCTGGGGACACATGGTCCTTCTCCAGCATCTCCAGAGCAGGGGGTTCAACACCTGGAACAGAAAACACTCTCAGCAGACACCCTGGTTTTCTGTATCACACCTTCCTTCTCCAGTCTGTGTTACACTGAATTCCTGCTTGCAGCTAGATGATAGGGGCTGGCACCACTAAGAGACCATCCAGCTTCCCTGCATGGCTGTTCTTCTACTTACTTCTGGACTATTTTCTACATTTGTTCCTAGGATACTGTCGTTGACTCGTGTGAGTGGGGAATGACCAATACATGGCAATGAGTCACTGGGGACGTATCTGTGTGCTTAGACTGCTCTGAACTGAGATTGGACTTCAAGTCAGTTTGACTTCATCTGGGTGCTTCTGGGGACCACATGGAAGAGAAGGGCAGAGGCTGTCTAGGTTTGCAGAGGCTGCATCTCTGGTTTTATAACTTAATCACAGATAAGCTGAACTCATTTGAAGCTATACACGTAGTCCATACAAACCTTCCATGGCTGAAAGAGAAGTATTGAAACCACAGGGTGCCTGGGGGGAGGTAGCCTTGCAGGCTGAAGGGATGGACAGTGGCCTCAGTCTCTTTCCATCACTGACACGTTCCTAGAGTAGTAAAAAGTCATGGACACCTTTGGTCCTTTGTGCACCAACAGAGCTTCCATCAGGGCACAGCTGGCATGGTGCAAGGCAGGGAATGGGGCTCCCATGGCAAGTGCCAGCAGTCATCCCTGCCTTCCCACAGCCCCCCACCCTGTGTGCCCACCCAGCAGTGCCGGGGCGCTGCACCCCATTGCACACTCACCGTCTCCCCTGAGCCCAGGCTGGCCGTGCCGCTGGGTTGCAGTGGTTCTATCTGCACTTTGATCACCATGCTGCCCGCACTGCTGCTCCAGGCTCCCTGCTTCCCCCTGGGCAGCTGCAGGGACACACGAGGCTGTGCGCAGGACCCACTCCCTTTCTCTGCCTCCTCCTGCTCTGGATCACTGCCTCTCTCTGTGGTATCCAAGCTGAACCTAAATCAGCAGAGTAAGAAGCCAGCTTAGCAAGGCCATCCCATAATGACAGCCACAGCACAACCCCAGCCATGTCTGACAGTCCTAAAAGGCCTACAGATAAGACAAGGAGGGCCACCACAGCAGGCGTATGGGACGGGTAATGCCAGGAAGAGTCAGCTTGGACACTGAGAAAAAAAAATCATTTTGTCTAGCTGCCCTCAGCAGGCCCATGAGCTTCTCAGTCACCTGGAATGTCCCATGCTGGGATGTTCAGCAGCTCCTGAGACTCGACAGCTGTCTCACACAAGAGCTGCTGCCCCACTGTCTGCAGTGCACCGTGGCCATTTAGAAATGGCAGATGTTGTCATTTGTCGATTCACCAGCGTGACATCATGTCGTAAATCCTGCCCCTCTGGTCCCAGCTTTGAGGAAGGGAAAATAAACCCTCTTCTGGGAAACGAGGGGCAGGGCAACCCCCAGCACCCCACGGCTTCCTGGACACCGAATGCTGCTGCAATGCCAGCAGTGTAGGAACAGAATGGTGGATAGGGCTCGGTGGAAAATCTTACTCTCTGCAGCAGTTCTGCCTGCAGCTCACTGCCACTTTGTTCCCGCTGCCAGGCTTCAGCATTTGCTTAGAGGACAGCAGGGCACGTTCCCCTTCCCTGCCCCTCCACTCACACATGCTTCACCACTGACTGAGGAGACCAGTGTGGACAGCCACTCTGTGCCACCACTACTTGTGTGCCTGTTGCTCTATAAACTGTGAATGATCCACGGCACATGGCACAACAATGGGTCTGAGAACCAAAGACAGAGCTCGATAAAGAACTGCCAAGATTTCAGGCTGAGATAATTTTAGGGTACCTTATAAGGAGGAGAGATATAAATAGTCATTGCTGGCTTGCACCTAGCTCCCAGCCAGCAGAAGGATCAATATATTTGTCAACAGGGTGAACGTGCATGCAGGAACCCAAAGCAGAGCACTGCAGGAGTGGAGCACAGCAGTGATACCATGCCTGGAAACCACTCCCAGCTCAGCATCAGGCCACACATTTACTCTCTTCTGCAGCCATGGAGGGCAGGAGGACAGAGTGGTGAGGCCCTGGCACTGGTATGTACCAAATGTCCCCTCATGGGCTGTTACCTGCGCTTGCAGTCCACAGGTGACAAGGGGCTCTCCCAGCTGTGCCTCCTAGAGGTAGACATGGATCTCACCAGTGTGGGGAAGGACTCTGAGGCCTCCTGAAGGTCCAAAGCTTCATCTTCTTCTGCAGGACATGCAACAGTGCTGGCAGCTTTGTTCAGAAAGTGGCAGTCGGCCTCACCGTAACGCACTGAGCAGGAGATGGGATTGGAAAAAGCAACATCCACAGACATTTTCCCCAGAGCCCCTGATCTCTCCTCCAATAAGCAAATGGCAGATGCGGCCTGGGGGGCTGCTTCTGGTTGTGCTGCCATCTCTGGCGCTGTTTTGTCAGCTGGCGGGCTCAGAAGCCCCAGATCTTTGTAATACTCTGTGCCGTGCAGAGCGGAGTCTGAGAGGAGATCCTCCGTGCTGCTGTGTAAGTCTGCTGCTGGGACGTCCAGCTCTGTGGAAGATGAATCCTCCTGCAAAGGCAGCAAAGGCTCACCCTGAGCACACTGAGTCCATCCGAGGTCCTCGCATACCTCCTGCCAAAACTTCCTATGCTGGGGCTGCTCTTCTGCATGGATCTGTCCCATACCCACTGCTGAGCTTGTTCCAGGGACTTACGAAGGTTGCTTCCACCCTAGCATCTCTCCATGCCTCATTCCCACTAATGCTCAGCAACAGCAGCACTATAACCTTGTATCCGTGGTTAGTTTGGGTCAGTACTGCTTTCTCCCTACTCCATCACAGACCCTGCTGAATATGGCACTGACCCCTCAGTCTGCTAAGCCCAGCTGCTGCCCTGCATGGTGGTAGTGGAAGGAAGGAGGACACTTGCCTTTTCTTTGGCCATGCTGGTGAACAAGGTGTCATCCTCAGCAATCAGGGATGGGAGGAAACGCTTGGGGCTGTGGTACTCCAAAGCAGAGGGACTGCGGTCAGTGAGCTCCTGTAAGCACGGCTTGCAGTCAGATCCTGCAAGACACAGAGGATCACAGTGTGCCATGAGATGGCCAGGGTCGGCCCTGCACAGGGGGGTGGCATCAGACAAAGCACTCTGCTCCCTTGTTCCTTGTGCTCTCAAGGATACCACTGGGCGGTAGGAAGGGAGGACTTCAGGCACCAGGAATCATAGAATCATTAAGATTGAAAAGACCTCTAAGATCAAGCCCAACCATGGGCCCATCCCCACCATCCCTCCAACCTCCATCCCCAAGTGCCACATCCTTGCGGCAGTGGAAAGGCGCGGCTCTCCCGATGCCGGCTCAGTCCTCTCCACGTGGATGTTCCCCACACAGAGCACTGGGTGGGTTGAGCCTGAGTGTGTGCACAGCATCCAATGCTCATTGAGAAACAAAACCACGGTCTGGCCTCAGTGCGCGGCGCAGAACATCGCCCAGCTGACTGCAGCACATTCCTATGCAGCGAGACACAGTGTAAACCTTAGCCACCATCTGAACCATTGCATATGACTCATGGAGGCCTTTTATTCTTCTGAGATGCACACAGCTGAGGGGAGTGGAAAGAGGCCAGGCTGCCGGCTGCAGTGCAGGGCTGAAAGCGTGGGGAAAACAGCGAGAGGTTGTGAGTGACCATATCTATCCAGTAGGAACAGAAATGCATGGAACTGCTAGAAACCCAATGTACTGCAGGAAAGGAATTGTAAAAATGTTACTGTGAGGAAGATCCTAACAAGAAACCGTGCATCCTCCTGCAAGCTTTAATGCTGCATGATGCAGCCTGCAAGTAAGAACTGCATGGTGCCAGAGCCCAAAAGGCAGCGAGCGCCAGGGAGAAGCTGGAGGTTTGGATCGTGCTGCGTGCTGCAGGAACCAGCTGTTCTGTGTGAAGCAGTGTTTGTGTGTTTAAACGTGTGCAGCTCTTTAAAGGGGCTTTGAGTTGTATAGCAGAGAAAACAGCTCATTAAGGCATTGTTTTATTTGAGTGCCTTAGCTGTAAGGCTGGTTAAGGGTCACCCAGTGAGCATTATTATCACCTTCTGATTTCCCCTCTTCAGATGGCAAGGAAAAATCAGCGTGCTGGCCAACCAGTGCATGTTCTGACACAGCCCCGAGGGAAGCTGAGCAGCCAAAGGCATTGGTGGATGGCAAAAGCTGTTGAACCCAGAAATGATTGAGATCGGGGTAAGCTGATCAAGGGGAGCAACCAGAGGGCTGGGGAAGTGTGAGGAGGTGAGGACAAATATTTCTCCTCTAGAAGCACAAGGAGGGAAGCAGGAAGAGGCTGCCTGCCTTCACAGTCCCTTGCAGCCTCAGAGAGAGGAGCAAGGCCAGGAAAAGCAGAGATGGAGCTGTGAGAGCTGACGAGTGCTCAGCCTGACAGAGGCCAGAGCCCTGCAGGTTGAGCTGAAACAAAGGGGTGTTTTCCTGCAGGGTGGGTCGCGGCTGTGCCAAAGCTGGCTCCACACCAGGCTCCATCCTGCAGCTCTGAAGTGGGTCCCTGGATCAGAGTCAGCTCCTTGGAGGCCTGGAAAATATTCCCTGTGCCGTGCAGAGCTCTGGCTTTGGCTGTGATGTGGCCTGCAGTTGATGCCCCCCACAGCTCCACACAGCTCATGCCCCCCCCGGGCACTTCAGACACTGCTGTTCAACACACGATAAATCAGGTTTGCAGCCAGTGGCAGTGAGCGCAGCAGCAGTGACCGTTGGGCACCGGCACGTGGCTGCGGCAGGGGGGACACCATTTTAGGCAATGTGTGAGAGCCACGTTGGATTCTGGGCTCCTTGCATTCAGGTCCTCTGTTGGTGACCCTGGGCTACCACCATCATGATGGAACAACACTTGGGCATAGGGATCCAGTGGAGGGGCTCATTGGGGAAAACACATTTTTAAGCATCAGGTTATGGCAGGGTGAACAAGGAAGGAGCACACAGGAGCTGGGAGCATGCCTGTGTCTGAGATGGATGTTGTCACCCCTCTACCAGCAGGAAGGGTGCACCCAAGGCCCTGCCTGGCTATTGGAAGGATGCTGTTCCATCTTGCTACCGCACGGTGCTTGGGGAATGGCCCTGCAGCTCCACGGCACAGCCAGGCACCTGCCTTCACGTTTCCTCCGCTGAAGCTGGAGATGAAATGACAAAATGACACTTCCAAGAGCACACGCTGTTTGGTTTAGGGGAACATTAAGCAGATTAGGTATTGCAGTTGCTTAATTCGCCTCTGGCCAGGAACCATAAAAGGTTATTGCTGCAGGGAGCAGCTTCACCAGAGGAATTCCCAGGGTAGAGCTGGGGACAAAGCGTTGCACACGAGTGGGGCTGTGCTGGGCTGGGCTTTGCAGAACATGGAGATGCTGGGCTTCTGCCTGGGGAGGAAGGAAGTGGCGGCCAGCGTCCCCGGCACGCAGCAGTCTGAGGCAGTCTCGGAGTGTTTGGTGCCAGTGGGACAGTGGGACCCACCAGCTGAGTCCAGAAGGAAGAAGAAAGCAGAACAAAGCTGGGCATTTCCCAGCAAATGAGGATAGAGGCCGTTGCTAAGCTCTGAAGGCATCACAGATAGGAACAAAGCAGCATTTGGTCCCCCTGGCTCTGCCCCGCAGGCCCAGCACAGCCCCACGGGATGACCAGAACTAGAGGGGCATTTAACTGCAAAAAAGTGCTGAGCTCACTGTGCCAAAATCGGATAAAGCACAGCACTTTGCCCGCGCCGGGCCCCAGCTCATCGTGTGCTGGCAGACGTGGGGATTGGCTCATGCGACCCGGGCTGAAGGAGGGGAGAAGATAAGCTGTCCAATGCTGCAGCATGCTGCACAGCAAGAGCCTTATCGCTACCTTTGGGACCTGGTGCTCCGGGCACGCGGGGCCAAGCAAGTGGGGAGGCAGCTAGGGGGGCTCAGCAGGGCTGAGAGGGGTTTGCAGCCTCCGATACTCCCTGGGCCATGGTACTGCCCTGCACTGAGCTCAGGACAGCTGTGCGCTGGGGATGCTTCTCAGAGCAGTCGGTACTTGTGGGCACTGAGGCTGATGTATTTTGCACAGGGGGCCTGGTTGAGCCTTTGCAGTGAGCCCAGCACGGTGTGGAGTGCCCCAGTGCAGGGCTGGGGGCTCTCCTGCTCCAAACCAGGCAGCTCAGACCAGGTTCTTCTGCACATCCACAAAGGGAGAGGAGATTGAGGGGGGAGAAAAGCACTGATGTGTATCTCAAGCTCTAATGCCACACAGATAACCGTACCCAAAAGTGTTGGGCCCAGGGCACAGTTTGCAGTGAGAATGACAGTGTCCAGCTCCTCTGGGACCACGGACATCTCCTGTTCTGGGGCTCTCCCCTCTCCCTTTCCAAGTTGCAGCTCTGCACAGCAATGAGGCCAGCTCACACCACCACTGGATTTCCCATCCCAAGGGCCGCCATGACCTGGCCCAAGCCCTGGACACAGGGCTCTGCTCCCCAGCCCACTCTGAGGCTGAAGGAGCACTTTGCCCAAAATCTCCTGGGACACCAAACTCTGAGCACACAACACGAGGCTCAGCCCTCGGCCGGCAGCACGCAGACAGCTGCCTGCAGGCTCTGGGACCTCCGGCTCGCTGGCAGCAACAAAACGTATTTATTACAAAACCAGAAGACTGATATTTAACCCATTAGCCAGCGCATAAAGGCATTGACGTGCCTTGAGGAGGATACGTAGCGGAAGGATCGGCAGAAACTGACACGTAAGCAGTGGCCCCGCAGAGAGGAGCAGTGGGCACCGGCGCTGGGGGGACCCCGAGCTCCCTGCTGTCCCCTCCGCCCCGCTCGGCTCAGCCCTCGCTCCCCACACACACGCTGTTACCTCGCTTAAAGGACCACCGCTTCTTCCAGCGCTTGGAGAACGACGGCCAGGAGTGGTTGAGCAGTGAGTCCGACATTGGGGCACCCCCTGAGCCCCACGAATGGACAGCCCTGAGCCGGAGAGGACGGCACAGAGCACAGCGGAGCTCGGTGCAAGTCTAAGGCAGCGCTGCAAGCTGCAGCCCAGGGGCTGCCAAGGGGGGAGTGGAGCAGCCAAGTGTTTTGTCAGAAGTATCAGCTGATGGGAGCTGCAGCCAGAGAGAAATTCCGGCTCTCCGGCGTTCCCACCTGTGTGACAGCTCTGGGACTTCCTGCAGCAAGGACTGAGGATTGGTGACCCCACGGCACACACAGCCCCGGAGAGCTGGTTGATGGATGCAGGATGGAAGCAGAACATGCTCACCCAAACCTGCCCCGAGCTCCCTGCACCACCCTGTCATCTGGGACCACTCTGAGGTTCAGTGGGAGCCATCTCCAAACTGCCCCCAGACACCAAGTTCCCACCTGGCCATGTCTGAGCCCCATTGCCATCAGCTCCCCCAGGACAGACTGGCTCCAGGCTCTGCTCCCAACCCCTCACTGTGCAGGCAGAGCCCGGTTTCACCCTTGTGCTGCTGCTGGCCTGCAGGACTCTCTCCTGCTGCGCAGATTGCAGCCTTGCAGAGCAGAGCCTCTGGGGCCTGCTCTGTGATGGTGTCACACAGAGGAGGATGGCAAAGAGCATTTCCCCACCCAGCTGCAAACCCCAAAGCATCGCCTCCCATGCAGCTTTAGCAGGGATCCACCCATCACTTGGGGGCACAGCCACAGGGGGCTCAGAGCCCAGTGCTGCCCAAAGGGAACCGGGAGGACACCCTATGGGTTAAACCCCAACTCCCAGCGCTGGGGTGAAGCTGCTTCCGCACAGAGCCTTGAGGAAGCCGAGCGACAACCCTGAGATGGAGCTCACACAACACACCCTGGAGGGCAGCAACTCACCCGGAGGGCCGCGGGCATCTCCAGCAATGTCCTCGCACAGCACAGCCGCACCCCGCAGCCCGGATCCTGCAGGTGCACCGCGAGCAGCAGCCCCTCATTCAGGAAGGAAGATCCACACCGCCGGGCGGCTCGCGGGGGCCTCGGGCTGCACCACTTCACCGCTTCCCCTTTCCGAAGGCGCAAACAAAACCGCCGCGCCCATACCGCTGCTCCTTCGATGGTGGCCCTATGGCAGGGGATGGGGCTGTGGGGCTCCGACCGCCCCTCCTGGGGTTGTGCACCCCAAACCGCCCACTGCAGGGTCCTGGGAGCTGCTGAGCGGTGCTGGGCACGGTGACTGCGGTTGCTGCAAACGGCTTCCTGTTCCGTTCGGAGAAAAAGTGCTCTGCGTGCAGCGTGAGAGCCCGGCACACACGGGCTGTGCCCACAGCTCCTCACACTGTGGGCTCCCAGGGCTGTGCGCTGGCAGAACCCCGGCCCAGCAGGCCCTGACCTGGCACTGAAGCAATGGGAAGGAACCAAAGCGCTGAGATGATGGCGGCGGCCGTTCGCTCTGCACCACCGAGCCCCACGCACGCACCTCTCCCCACGGCCCCGCGCACACGCTGGCCTCAGCCAAGCCCTAATCAGAACAAGATCAGCTCACACTCCAATTACTCAGAGACCGCAGCTTTGGCAACGCTTGGGATAGCAATTACCCCGTGCTCCAGGAAACCACAAGAGCAAAGAGGAATTAAGGTTTCATTTCTCTAAGTCCACAAGAGCGCAATGAGTATCACATCAGGGCTGCTCAGACACCAGGCCGATGGGACAGCGCAGTCACCCCACACCGAGTGAGGATCAGAGCTCATCCCCTCCATCCACAGTGGTGGACGTGGTTTGGGCTGAGTGAAGCTGTGCACCTGGAGGAGCGATGAGGGACAGAGACAAACATCAGCACCCGCCCGCATCGCCGCCTGCAGAGCTCTGCGACAGCAAGGTCACGCTCTGTTTGCATCCCCAGAGAGCAAGCCTGTGCCTGGAGATGCAATTCCCAAACATTTTCAATGAGCTTCTTTCTCATCGCTCTTCCGAGCACAGAACTCCTGATGCTCAGAGGCCGCACTCGGCCCCATCCGGCACCACGGCTGGATGCACGGCAGCACTAGGTGGCATCAGCTCTGCACAATCTCTGCTGATGGACATCATTGCACATCACAGTGCTGGAATTCACCGCAAACCAACCGGGGTGGGGAGTGACATCGGGGGTGGCCACCACCTCCCAAAAGGAGAGTTCTTTGCGAGGACTCCGTCGCATTGCTCACACTGATGGCAATTTGTAGCATGGGGCGGGGAGCCTCTGAGCCCCGAGCTGAGCCCTATGGCTCCTTGGGCCTCACACCACTCATTTTGTAGCTGAAAGCATCGCATGCTCTGAGCTCCCAGCTTTCCCTGTGGTAAAGCAGCCTTTGGTGCTGCAGAGACAGCAGAAACCAAATGGAAGTTATTCTTGGATAATTTATTCAGAATTTTAATATAAACCGTCAATTGCTCAACATTCTGTCACACAGCAAGGGGGTTCTCTTAATACTCAACGTTATTTTCTGTACACGTCACTGCTCGGCTCTTACATATGAAAACAATGATAACATAAAGGGGAGGGTTGGAGGGTTTTTTCCGTTTCTCTTTTTTAACCACGGCACATTTGATCCTTTATTTCATCCAAGAGGGGTCTGCAATGCGGTCTGCAATACAATCTGCATGCTGTGAGCTCAGATATGCGGCGAGGAAGGTGGGAGCAGCACAGTGAAGCACTGCCACAGCACTCAGGGCGGCTGCAGGCAGAGCAGTGTTTGCCTTTGGCTGTGTGCACCCATGCAGCCCTTCAGGCTGTGTTGGACTCTGCTGCCCACAAACAGCAGCGCTTTGCAAACCAGAGCAAAATGCGGCGCTTTCCATCACAGCTCACCTTTTTCAAACAGCCTAAGAGTTGCCAGCGGCTGCTTTGCAGGTGATGGGAGAAGAGTTTGGAAACAACGGGCGTTCGAAGCAACGCGGATTTGGAGGGAGGGCTTTGGGAAGAGGCCGGCTCAGAATGTTGGGTAACACAGAGCTCCATGAACGCCAGCGCTGGGGCTGCAAACCCACCCAGTGCTGCACAGTGGGAGCCTGGGGTCAGCAGGGCTTTGCTGAGCCCCCCACCCCCCCGTGCTGCAGCACTGTGCGTAGGCAAAAAACGTGACCATGCTGTAGGAGTTAATACTAACTTTATTATACAATATTTTAAACGTCATTTCTCGACCCGTCCCCCTATCGCTTGCATTGTGCTGCAGTTATTTTGCTGAACCTGCGAGAGTAAGTGCTTACTTCTGAGAAGGACAAGCATTTAATTTTAAAAAGAAATGCACATTGAACGACAGCAGATCTGGTAAAACCGGCAGCTCCCAAATCGCATTGAAAAGTCCCACTCCTCCGCACGTCCGAGTGGAGCCACCGCAGAGCAAGCAGAAGGTGATAAAAAGGCCCAATTAATTCAGTTCATACAAATGCTGAACGAATCCAGCTTTGAATTTCACACAGTTCCGAAGTCACTTCCAACCCATCCGAGAGCCCCTTCCCCCGGAGCGCAGCGGGGTGCTGTGGCACAATGCCATCCTCCTCTCTGACCCCACGTGAGGTGCCAGGCTCACTACTGGGTATCACTGCTGGCAGTGACAGCCCTGGAGGAGCTCAGGGTTTGGATCCGCATCACAGCGATGCTAAGGGAACGCCATGGCCCTCTGCCACCCCTACCATGGGGGCTCAGGGGTAACTGCCACAGCCCCTTCCTGCTCCTGTTTGCTATTCTCCTTCATCACCCTTCAGTCAGTAACACAGTAAGCAACTTTTTCCAAAGAGATACCAACATTAAACGCAACAAAAGTAAAATTAAGCAAAGTGCCCCATTACTATAATACAAATTTAGGAGGAAAGAGATCTACTACCCACAAATTTCGAGTACCCTTAAGCAAGCATCGAGCAGCCTCTTCCCTACGCACACAGCACAGAACACCTCCTTGCAGCTTGGTCTATTTCCTACCACGTTTCCCAACCCAGAGCTGGCAGACAGTTTGCAATATCACACAATGAGCTCTTCTATTTTACAACACAATCAGTATTTACAAGCAGCCACGATGGGCTTTTAACCTCGCAGACAAGCTTTGCAATGCTGCGCTGTACGGCAAGAGAAGTGCTGGGTTTGCAAGAGGCGTTTGGGAGGCGGGCACTGAATGGAACACACAGATGTTTCTGGGACCCCTCCAGCCCTGCACAACACCTGCTGACAGCACAGAGCAAAGCAGTGCCGTGGCTTCCTGCTCTGCTGGCTTTCAAAGCCGCAATGCTGCAGCTGCTCGGGGCACCTCTTGCTGCTCCCATAGGGCTGCGGCTGCTCCGCAATGCATGCAGCTCTGTGTGACACCGGCACTGCAGGCAGCCCGGAGCACCCTGCACCATGCTGAGCTGCCCTGCAGGCAGGGCCTCACGTGGCAGCTGGTTGCAGAGGGTTTTCCCGAACTCAGAGCCAGGCTCTATGACGACGTTCCTTTGCTCTTCCTAATCCCGCAGCTGAGCATCATCTTTTACAGCCACGAATGACAACTGTTGGGCTGTTTGTTTCCGTCAGGGCGGAGCGCTGCGGCTGAGGACATCCTCCCTTGGGTGCCCCGCGCCGCTCCTGGCCAGGAGCAATGCAGGAAGGGCAGCAGAGGGGCTGCCATGCAGAGCACTGGGTCCGACCTCTGCTGCTCTCAGTGCGGAGAGGACGTGAGTGCACAGCACGCCTGCAAGGCCCAAACACAGCCCTGCACTGGGCGACTGGAGCGCTGTGTGCCCGCAGAGCCCACTGGTATCAGCTGAGCTGCAGAGCCAGCGCAGGCCCCGTGCAAACAGTGCTCCATTCCTGCAGTTACAACCACTGCGATTTGAGATGGCAGAACAACAGGGAGGGCTCACCGCCGCCTGCCCCTCTGTTCACAGCGTCCATTTAAATGGGTCTCTTTCAGTGTTTGTTTTTTTCCAATCGCAACAGAACTAAGATGATATCAGAGTTTCAGATCCAAATTTGCTGCTGTGCATTCGGAGCTGGAAGCAGTTTCCTTTGGTCACTACAGCTAAGAACAGCGATCAGCAGTGATGGAGCTGCTCCATCCTCTCCCTTCCGGCCCCAGAATTGGGATCAGCTGATACTGGTTTCCCTGACCCCCAACAGGTCCAGCCCACAACATCGGAACAGGTTTTGAGGTGCGCAGTATTAAAAATATCCTTAAGAAACACTGAGGTAGACTGCACCAGAACAGGACAAAACAACCCCACCACATCCACCTGCCCCAATTTTACGGATACAAATTTACAGATTCTGCGTGTTTTCTTTAACAAATTGATTCTTTTTTTTTTTTTTTTTTTTTTTTTTTTACAGTGTTCTATATATTAAAATAAATAAAAAAATTCTAGTAAGAAAAACTTCTCTTCCTTAGAAAAGTGTGAGAATATGTCTTCTTTCCTGCAGTGTAGCACAGAGCTGCTGGACAGTGACTGCGTGGGAAAGCAGAATAATGTAAACGAGGCCTTTGGAAAGCAGAGGCTCTGCCCACACACGGATGCTCGCAGTGCCCCAACCCCACGATGTCCCTGCCGGGGCACAGGGGGCTCTGGGCTCTCTGTTGGTAACCTCTGCATTCTGCTGTTAGCATCTCCCTGCCAGCACGCTCCCTCATCAGATTGAGACACGCTTCGTTTTCTGACACTTGTGCTTATCAGCTCTGTCTTTCATGCAAACAGCAGCAGAACGAAGCTCGGTCCATACAATGAAAGTCGACATTGGCCACCAACGCACGGCTGGGGAAACACGTGGGCAGGGGGAGAGCTGAGTCCCATCCAGGCCCCGCTCCACACAGAGACCCGCTTCCCCATCCACGTCCCCTGTGTGGGCAGAGCTCCTGCAGCCCCGCAGCTCCGGCACAGCGCCCAGGGGAGGCACGAGGGCAGCGAGGTGAAGCAGCAGCAGGAGCAGCACTCGGCGGGGCCCCGCAGCCCAACCAGAGCCGCCACCGCTGCGCAGCGCTGCGCCCGGGGCCGATGCACTGCACTGTATAAATCTTGAAAGTGTTTTACAAAGCCTTGTCAAGTATAAACCTAACATGTACTTCATAGCTCCTAAAAGGGTAACCGGCTAAAATTAGTTCCTTCTGAAATCTTTGGACCACTTTAAGACCAAACAATCCCCCGAACTCTCCCCTCCTCGAAAGGACCATAAACAGTCAATAATTTATATGAAGTTAAAATTTAAACTGAAGACATTTTAAATATGTTACAACAAACAATATATATACTCGATGCTGTAAGGACAGAAAACGGTATCTCAGGTCTGGGGACTCCTACTTCGTTTGGTCTTGAAAGGACCCATAAATCTCAGATTTCTGCTCCTTTGGCTCTCAGCGTATTTTCCTCATTGCTTAATGAGAGAAAACCTACTCCCAAGAGTCCTCAGTATAAAAATAATCTGTGTAGGATTCGGTCACTCCAGGGAAATGGGAAAAAGAGAAGTACACGCTTCCGAGAAGAGGAAAGCTTCCGTGAGAACATACAAAACTTATGTACAAAAACCAGAAGTGTATATTTTGCTATACATATACACCCCACGTATATATACTGCACACACGCACGCACACGCACGCACCCCTGGGCTTTAACCCATTGCAAAAGTACGAAAGCAGCAGCTCTTGGTCAATTGAGGATCTGGCGCGTCTGACCGCTGTGTTGAACCCTTCGGCTGTAGTGACGAGGATGCCTGAAGCCTGGAATTCTCCTGGAGACGTTTCTGTCCCGCTGAGGTTTGTTCCACACCGTTACACCGCAGCTCAGATAGCGGCGAATTTCACGGCTGTTGTTGGCAAACGCAGATGCTCCTCCTTCAGTTGGACTGACACGGTCGCTTCCTGTTTTGAAACCATGGTTACAGAAAGGAGAGCAGCCATGGAAACCTCTTCCATTTATGTTCACAGATAAGTCCACTGACAACCAGTCAACTTGGCAAAAAAGGAAAAAAAAAAGTATTAATCGTAAGATGATTAAAAATCTGAAGAGTTTGTAGATGTGTGTCATACACTGTGGCAGCAATAACAAAGAGTCCTGAGATCTGTGGAGGGGAGAAAAGCAGACACAACCCTTGGGCCAACAGGAGGCGTTAGGAAGGACTCGACCTGGGCATGGAGAGGATCCGCCCGTTCTTCTTGCCACCGTTCATGTGAGTGTAAGGTATGTGCTCCTCGTAGTTCCCCTTGAGGGCCATGGAGGGCCCATTGTCCCTCCCCAGGGCTTTGTCCCTCTGTGTGTACGAGGAGGGATCGAGGGGGATGCTCTCCATGTTCTCGAAGTCCATCTCATACTCCTCTGTTTCCAGAGGTTTGTTCTCCTCGCTGTAGAAGAAGGAAACCTCTTGGAAGCTGGGGTGCAAATCCTCCTTCAGCATCTCAATGACCTCAATGAAGGTGGGGCGCATCTTGGGGTTGTACTGCCAGCACATCTGCATCAGGTTGTGCCTAGGGGAGGGCAAACAAGAGTCAGGGATTGGAAGAAACAATTCCACGACTGGCAGAAACGCAGAGCAGGATGCCCACACGCTGCTCCCCAACCCCTCACCCCCACTCCAGCCAACGCCTCGGCTCTCTTTCCCATCTCCATTTTCCCATTCATCCTCTCACTGCTTTTTCTCTATTTCTGTCTAGATTAAAAATTCCTTCCAATTCCTTCCATTGTTCTTGACTCAGCTTCCAAACAGCACAGGGCTGCAGTTCATGCACTCCGTGTGTGTGTGCACTCTTAGAGCCATCTCACAATTTTTAATTCATTCAATTTTAACTCAACCTGAAAGTTTCTACAGCCTCACGGAAAAGGGGAAGCTGTGCAGAGGACGGAGGCCCTGCGAACAACAAACCCAAGAGAAAGGCTGCAGAAGAGGTCACGTGTTACCATATCACAAAGAACAAAATTACAGATCTCCTAGGTACAAAAAAAGTTTCAAACCGGAGTTTGCAACCAGCCAGGAGAGACGAGTCCCCAGGACAGCGGCCTTTTTTCATAAGGGTACTCACAAAACATGTTTATTTTTGAGCCTGGGAGCCCTGCTTTGGCCAGCAGTGGGATGGTGTAAGAAGCTGCTGGGAACAGGGAGCTACTATTGGCATTCCCTTTTCCAGCCAGGGCTCCTTCCCCCCACTCTGCACGCTGCTCCAGCGCCTCCTTACAGCCTTCAGTCCCAACACCCTGCTCAGGCTAAACGCTTACTAACAGGATTCTTTTTAAACAGTCCAACAGCAGCAGCTTAGGGAGCATCTGGGTATGGTTGGGGGATGCAGTCACCGCCAGCCCATGGACATTGGACACCACAAGCAGTGGGGGACAGGAACCCCTAACCCCATACATCAGAATGTCTGCCTCCAGTCTGCCATCCCCTCTGGGAGGGGCTTTGCACTCGGTCTTTAGACAGTGTCTTCTTTTAGGGCTATGATGCAATGATTACTTACATGCTAAGCTTTTCCTGTACTCTGAATTTCACTTTCTCCAGCCTGTACTCACAATGTAGGCCCCAGGCTGGTTTGATTTCCCCTTGTAGTGTCAAGTGCTGGTCTCACAAAGGATGCCCTGATTTAATGTCTGTGAGAGGTGGCTCACTAAATTCTGCTTTCTCCTGACCCAGGAGAGAGGTGGGTCAGAAATGCCATCTGTGGGGTGGCCCGCATTGCCCACACTTTTCCCAAAGACTGCAGCTCTGTTGACTGGCACTGCTCCACTACTTACAGCCTCTCTGGGCAGTTGTCCGGCTGATCCAGGTATCCTCCATCCATCACAAACTTCAGCACCTGTTCGTTGGAGAGTCCCTGATATGGCTGCTCTGCTAAGCTGCTTATCTCCCAAAGGACGACACCAAATGACCTACGAAAGAAACAAGGCTCCTGGTGAGAAACATCCCAGAGATCTACAAGTGAGTCTTGTTTTGGAGAACACATATTATTCAAGGATTACTGCATTTTAAGAAAAGGGTTGCAAAACAATGCCGTGTTTTGCCTGCACCACGTGTGTCAGAACAGTGAATTTCCCATCCAGGATCCAGCTGGGGTCGCTGAGTACAACTCACCACACATCTGAGTACGTTGTGAACACGCCGTCCTTCAACGATTCGGGCGCCATCCAGCGCACAGGCAGAAGTCCTTTGCCACCCTTTCGGTAATAATCCGTCTCGTAGATATCTCTGGTCATGCCAAAGTCTGACAAAAGCAATGGAGATGTGTTCACGTCTCTCCTTCCATGCTGCTTTCACTGCACACCACCTCTTGATGCCTTCCTTGGGCACCAGGCCACTGCCACACAGCCAGCAGGGCTCCTACACAACTTGCCATCATTGGTCACCCTGTCACTAACACTCAAAACTCCTCTTCCCTACAGTTTTCCTTTTGTTAATTACTACAGAGCTGTGATAGAGACTCCACAATTACAATTTTCTGTGACAGATTCTATTCTAAACACCATTTTTATTCATCCCTTTTAAGTAAAACTGAGTTCTTTTTGCCCAAATCCCACTGCTTTGGCTTTATGTCCAAAAAGGTCTGAAAAACCACCAAGCTGTTGGGTTTTCATTTATTTTTGGATTTTATATTTACTTATTCTGGATGGGTTTCAGTTAAAAACTGGCTCTTGTGGAAGAAAAATGACTTTCAAAAGGCTTGTCACAGAATGGCTCAGGTCAGAAGGGACCTTAAGGATCATCCAGTCCCACCCCTGCTGTGGGCTGGGTGTCCCCCAGCAGCTCAGGCTGCCCAGGACCCATCCTTGGATACCTGCAAGGATTGGGCCTGGGCTTCATATACCTCACAAATACGATGCACAGAATTATCTTCTGACCGTGAACTGAATACCTCCAATTTTTACAGTGAAGTCCTCTGCAACCATGCAGTTCCGAGCTGCCAGATCTCTGTGAACAAACTTTTTGGCATTCAGGTAGGCCATGCCATCGGCGATCTCCGCAGCCATCTGGATCATTTCTCTCAGTGTTGGTGGTGGACGACCAGGGTTATTCTACAACAAATAAAGCAGTGTTAAAACACCAACCAAGCTGCTCTGTGCCACAACACACCGCCTCTCCCCATCTGTACCTCAGCATCGGGTCTCAGAGAGCGGAGGTAGCTTTTCAAGTCCCCATGAGCCATTAACTCCATGACCACCAGCGTGGGTTGGCCCTTGGAAACCACCCCGAGGAGGCGAACCTGGAAAACAAAGCAGAAGTTCTGCCAGGGCTGTGTAACAGCACACGGGGCAGAGCCCAGCTGTGAGAACAGGGGTGGGAACAAAGCCAGTGTGCTCTGCAGAAGAGCCTGCAGCAGCACCCAGGGCTCTGCCTGGCTGAGCACTTCTGACAGGGGAAAGGGAAATGATGGAAAGAGGTTGGTGTGTTTTATAAAATCAGACATGGAAAATCCCAGCTCTTTTCATCAACTGCTTCTGCAGAAAGGCTGCTTTTGTAACTGGAACATCAAAGCATTAAAGAAATATCATAGATGGGGCTCCCACTTGCGACCAGCAGAGCCGCCAGCGACGCTTACCACGTGATGGCAGCTGAAGCCTTTCATCACAGAGGCTTCGTTGAGGAACTCGATGCGCTCCCGCAGGCTGGCCGACTCGTTCACCGTTTTCACAGCCACGCGGGTCTCCAGCTCTCCCTTCACGATGTCCTTGGCAATCCCCTCGTACACCATCCCAAACGAGCCCTGGCCCAGCTCACGGAGCAGAGTGATCTTTTCCCGTGGGACCTCCCACTCATCAGGAACGTACACTGCCGAGAGACACGGATGGGTTGAGCAAGAGCCTTTCAAAAGACTTTGCTGCAGCAGCACCGCCGGGCTTCAAAAGGCAGCTGTAAGAACCCACACTGAATAAGGCCCAGAAGCCCTCCTTGCTCTTACCATCACTGGCACTGAGGTATTCGGGGTTGGAGGACGCGTAGAGTGGCCCTGTTGGTCCTTCAGTTTGTCTGGAAGAGGGACAAGAGTTGTTTACTGCACACTGCTCATATTTGAACTGAATTTGATTAATTCCCACAGTGAGCAACAAATAGCAGCTATCCCAATTTGCAAACATGCAAAAATATTTCCTAAACTTCATGTTACAACCATTACCTGAGTTAGAAAACAAACACAGAGTTACTTCCAACAAATAAAAAGAAACTTTGGATGGAAGTTCTGCTTGTTCTGACCAAAATGATGCACTCACCTCTTTTTCACGAGCACGTAAGCAGCTCCAATAATTCCAGCAATGATTATGGCAAAAATAATCGGAACTATGATAACAGCAATATTAGGCTGAGCGTTCACTAAGAGAGAAAGAGAGAGTTGGAGGTGTTAACACAGGTCTCAAAATTCAATAGGATCTCTGCCTCATATAAACAGGAGTGAACATGAAGCTGATAGAGGTTAATGTGGATCAGAACAAGAGCTCAGACTGCTGCTCAACACCCGAATGAAGGAAACAGACACACTGCTCACTAACCCTAATTTACTGGAAGTGGAGGTACTGGTAAACATTCCACGAGCCTCTACAGCTCCCTGTGCACTGCCTGCCTCCAGCAGTGATGCGGGTTCCTATCAAGGTTAAAATGCTGAGAAAGACAAAAGAACTCACAGTAATCAGCCACATAGAAGTAGGTGGGCTCAGTCCAGGAGCCGTTCCCAGCCAGCGACGTCGCTCGGATCCGGACGCTGTAGTTTCCAGGCTGCAGCCCACGCAGTTTGCAGCCCTGCTCGCTGGCAAAGTGCTTTCGGGACACACAGAAGTGAGCTTCCTGCGGGAGGAGGGAAGGGGCACGTTGTGTTACTGCCCTGCAGCTCTGTAACAGGATGCTGGATTTCTTCCTCGCCTCCCCGATGAGCAAACAGACACAAATAGGGTTTTCACATGCTCAGGACTTTTCTGAGATAGCGGTTTGTCCCGGATTTGTGTTTTACAGTGCAGTAGTTCAGATTACACAGCGTGTGCCGCCTGCTGCACCCGACCTCAGCCCTGAAACCCAAGCTCAGCTGGCAGTGCTCCACCCGCACGGCTGCCTGCATCCACCACCCCTCTGCCTGCTCAATGCTCTCCTAACTTCTCTAAGGATTCAGATGCACGCATCTCGTTTCTGTCCTCCTGTGCAATAAAATTCTGAAAAACAGTCCATGCAGAATGTCAGCAAATTGGGTATCAGAGAAAATACATCGCCACGTCTTGTGCCAATAGGAGGTGTGTGCCAAAGGAAAAAGAGAGCCTGAAGACAAGCACAGCTCCCTGCACGTGCAGCTTCCAGCTGTTACCCACCACCACCACCAACACAGCCACCGCAGCAGGGAGAAGCACAGAGCTGCTTCCCATGTGTGCTGTGCCAAGGAACAAACAGAAATTCTCACCTCTGCTTCCCCCAGTCGGCCGTAATTCACTTCATACAGCACAATAAGGCCATTTGGCTCCTTGGGTTCCTGCCACTTCAAATGCACGGTGTTTTTTTCAACCAGTTCATGGGTGACTGGACCAACGATGTCATCTGCCTTAGCTAAAAGTAAGGGCAGGATTAAAGACGCTTATTTCATCTCTTTTGCAGAACAGACAGAACCTCATCCAACATCCTTTCCCATCAGGAAATAGAGAGCACCAGTCCCACACGATGCAATGGGTCAGCGGTCAGAACAGATGAGCTCAGTGGTCTTTTCCACCCTTAACGATTCTACTATTCTGTATTTCTGCAGCTGGCTCTCATAGGAAAAAGAGCATTTTGGAACAGCTACCCACCCAGCACAGAGCTCATTAAGCTAATTACCTTCTGGCATGGTCCTGGCACTGACATAAGCTGCAACGCTGCACCGGGACTCCTGAGCATCGTGGTTGCAGGCATGGAGCTCAATGCGATACCCTGTGAAGTGCCGCAGTCCAGAGATCACCATGGACTCCTTGAACATCACTTTTTCAAATGGTTTCTGTTCCTCTGCACTCTCAGATGCGGCTGCAGAAGAGTTTGGAGAGGACGGGATGGTGGGGATCACCACGGTGGCATTTGCAACGGAGCCCAGGTCTCTTCTCTTCCTTGATGGCCTATTAAATAACATGACAACGTCATTTGCTACATCCAATGTAAACACATCCATCTGAGAATAAACAGTTAAAGTGGGAGAGCACAGGGTGCAACTGGAAACTCAAATAAGACCCATATTTGCAATGAAACACATTTTGGTTTTGTTTTCTAAGCAAGCAGCCCACCTCAGCCCCTGTAATGCACAGAATGATGTAACCCTGGGACACCTTCCCTGCACAACTGCACACAGGGAAAGCTCCCGTCGAAGGGATTTGCTGGAGGATCCCCGCTCTGCCGGAGTCCCCATGGCACACAGCACTGCTGCAATGCCCGGGGAGTTCAGCTCCTCCACATTCAGCTGGGAGCAAGGATGGTCATCCCACAGCCCCCAGCTTCAGTGAGCCGGGATGTTCCACAGCTCCCAGGTGTCATAAAATCACATCTGAACTTGTCCATTTAGACAACGTTAACCTCTTCCTAAGCCAAAGCACATCCAGATCTTTTCATCAGCGCAAAGCAAAAGGCACAGATTCAGACCACGCGTTGGCTGTGCTGCTTGTCAACCAAATATCGCTTCTCAAATGATGCACTTCAGTCTGAAAATCAATTTCTTGCTGCTGTAAAAATAGAAGTGGTGTGTGATCGCATCAATGCGCTGCACCCAGCAAACAGAATCAATCTGGCAGAATTAAGAACTGCTCTGAAATGTCATTTTCTTGGAAACAAAAGGAACAAGGATCAAACAGAACCGCATCCGCCACCAGGAATGCCAGGTCCCAACCAACGTGGTGGATCAGTAATGGTTGCACAGAAGGAATTAATGCTGCCTGGACACGGGGCTGTGTATTTTAAGGGGATGATGATCTTTGTCTGTGTGTGCAGCTATTAAAGGGCACAAAGAGCAACCCGAGCTGAACCCACACTTGAGGCATCTCCAGCCTCTAAAATTGTACCAAGTGATGGAAGCTCTGCTGCCGGACTGAGCACCGCCCCAGTTCTGCCTCCTGCTGTGATGGATCCCACACTGCACACCCAGCAGCTCCTCCAAACAACGCAGGGTGCCCATGTGCTGCGGGATGACGCTGCTGCCAAGCGGCAGGGCCAGCAGGGTGCATTCCAGCTTTTCATTTTCTCTCCCTCTCATTATTAATTAACTCCAGAGGCACCGTTCTGGAGCTGCTGTTACCTCAGCACAGGTTGTTCTGAGCATTCTCCCCCCACAACGGGGCAGAGGGCAGAGCTCTGGGCCCCACCTCCCCGCAGCAGAGCTGCACACCGCTGCGTTCAAAGCGTGGATTCAGCTGCTCCTCCTGCTCAGGGGAATTTTGTTTTTCACAAGTAGATCAGTTATCTGATCACTGATGCAACACGGTGTAAAATACAAGAAGCTGTAGACGCAGCTCTTCCTTTACTTATTACCCAAGGCCTGCAGCCGTTTTCTTGCCAAATTCTCTTTTCCACACACCCACACCAGCACAGGTGCCACTGCTGCCAGTCTGCATTACCCCGTGCCAGCACAAGCTGTCGTGTGTCTGTCCATACAGTGAATGGATGAGGAAGCCCAGAAGAAAGCTGCTTTCAATGCATTCATTTCCCAGACCTCATTCGCTCTGCAGCCCTCTAATATTTGTAATGGCAGAAATGTGTGACAGAGACTGACAAAGAAGGACAGCGACGGAGAAGAGTGATGCTACTTATTCAGTAGCAATGGTTGAGAGCAGACACAAAAATACATCCTGAACAGCAGCCAGTTACTCCCCCTCTGCCTCTCAGGACTTTTATTACTTTTGAAACCTTTCCATGCTTTCCACAGAGTCACAGAGCTGCTGAGGCTGCAAAGCACCTCCAGTGTGCCCCTGCACACAGCAGGGCAGCTGCTCAGGGCATCCAGCTGTGATGCCTCCAGGGATGGAGGCTCCCCGACATCCCTGGGCAACCTGCACAGCTTTCCATCGCCCTTCCGCTCCATTCTCTGCAAAACTTGTTCCAATATTAGAGCAATAACACAGGAAAGAAGAAACAAAGCATCAGGTGCTGATGGCCACTTTGTTCAGCTGCTAAGGGAGGTTACAAAGCACACGGTGCAAAGGTATCCAGTAGCTCTGACTGGGAAAGTGGGTATGGCACGAAGCATTTGGACACCTGTAGTTTGCTTTGCCAGAGCAAATGAACCCACAGGACTTGTGATGGACTCCTGGAGCAGCTAGTTCACTGCAGACAGTGAAGGAACAATGGGACAAGGAGAAATGGTTTCACACTGAAAGAGGGGAGATCTAGACTGGATATAAGGAAAAGTTCTTTATGGTAAGGGTGGTGAAGCACTGGCACAGGTTGCCCAGAGAGGTGGTGGATGCCCCATTCTTGGAGACATTTCCAACCCAAACCATTCTGTGATTCCATGAGATGTAGGGGAGCAATTTCTCAGCTGTAATCTGCAGCCCAGCAGCATTCTGTTCTCTGCTGGCCTCACCTCCATGCTTCCTCCCCCTGGCCAGCTGAAGGCTTTCATCTCAAGGGGAGGCCACACAGTGCTTGAGAGAGGATGAAACTATTGGGAGCATCATAAAAAAGAACACTTCATGTTCAGGCTCAGGACAGGCTGCCCTGTGGCAGGCAATAGGTGCACTGTGCACAGAAAAAACAATACTAATCCACACTGCCACAGCCTGAAGCCTGTCAGAGAAGACGTGCAGGATGCACGTCAGAAGAACAGTATCTTTACTGCTTGCTCATAGCTTAAGGGGTTTGTTTTTAAAATATCATTTAGTCTAGGGGCAGTAGAGGTTTCTTCCTTAGCAGGCTGACAAGGTGGCACATCCTGGTGATTGGTTTCTTCCCAAAATACATACCCCAGAAACTGGCCTGAGAAGCATCCTGGGCTGGCTGTGCAGTAAGGTTAAAATAAAACAAAAAGAAAAGAAAAAAAAGAAATCAGATTGTCAGAATTGTCTGCCTGCATCAAGAGGAGTTTGGCTTTGTACACAGCTTGCTTCCCCTGTGCTTTTAAACACGATGTGTCCTGACACTGAAACCTGTCCTTCTGGTCACTAAAAGCTGCAAAAGGAGTGATGTGACAACTGCAGGCACCAAGTCGGACTCTCAGAGAAGAGGAAAGCACTCAAATAATAAGCAATGCTCAGTGCAGTAGGGTAGCTTTTGTCAGGCAGCTGAAAAGAAACATTTAATAGCTAAGGGCAGGAAGCAGAGAACAAATTTAGAGCACAGAATACATGACAGTGAAACCATTACAGACTAACCTGATTCCCAGTGCTCCCTTTGTCGGTTGCATACGAAGTGTGAAGACATTCAACACCACTTAATGTGACACCGTGTGTGCCATTCAAAACAGGACATTGGCCACCCACAGCAGTTGCATTCCTCGTGGTACCGGAGGTATTTCCCACACTGAGCGTGAGGAAGACCACAAATACCACGCTGAAGGACAAGGCTGTGGCGTGGAAAACTTCCATTTCTCTTTTCCTTTCTTTTCAACGGAATGAAAAGTGACCACGACATTTTAAGACAGGAAAAAAAAAGGCTATTTCCTGCATCACACAAGTCAGAGCGAGCTACGGGGCTTTACATATTTGTGGAGGATTCTCCCCTTCATCCCAAGCTGAGGAGAATTCAGAGACAGAAAACAGAGCGTGACCTTCCAAACCCCACCAACGGCAGGAGCAGAGCTCAGCTCCCCCCCACAGCCTGCAGCCACGGCTGCTGCCCTACCTGGGGACGAACACCTCGTTGTGCAGGTAGTTCTCAAAGGTCTTGCGGAAAGCAGACTCCTCCAGCTCCTTCTGGATCTGTGAGTCGGTTTTAGGACAGGAACAGCATTCTCCACTGACATCCTCACTTTCACTTTGGTTATACTTCTGAGGGTCTTCAGATTCAAAAGGAGGAGACCACGTCCTTGAGGGCAGTTTTAATCCTACGGACAAAACAATTTCACTATCATTCATGCTTGGCATGCCAGAAGTAGAGGTTTGATCCTACCAAGATTCAAAAGGAGCGCACACAAGATTCACGGCGCATTCTGCCTCCCACACTTCCATACCTAGGGTCACATTCCCTCTCTTATGACAGGGCTTTGGTTCAGATCTGTGCTAACTCTGAAATGAAGCTCAGATGTCACTGCTGCCGGAGTTCTACCCCTGCTCCCCTCAGTTTGGGAACACAGGGCAGCAGATTCTGGGAGATCTCAGTGGATCCTGAAAGCATTCCAAACCCCGCGGCACAAAAAGCCTTCAAAAATTAACTCGGCCTCTGATCCCCAGAAGTACTGCAATGTTTCACTTTGCCTCTCCACAGCTGTTATTAAACTTGTAGCTCAGTTTAAAAAGAACAAGTGCAGAAGGGAGATCCAAAAAATAGGTATTTGATTACTTTGTGAAAAGAGGGTTTTGAAGATCTTTTGCACGTGACTCAGCAATAGAGGCTAATGAAAATGCAACTGAATGGGGAATAACACAACCGTGCCTCAAACTGCTTCTTGAACAACAGCACCAGAGCATCTCCAAAGTGTGTGAAAAATCCCATAAATGCTGAGACAGCTCCACCATCTGGAAGGCCTGAAAGAAGGGCACAGAGAGAGAACTGGAACTCACCCTTTAAGCAGTAATCGAGTTCATAAAGCTCACTGTCTTCTGCCTGCTGCTGCCAGAACACCAGGTAGTGCGTGATGTTGCCATTGGGCTCTGAGGGCGGCTTCCACTTCAGGATGATTTGGGACGAAGAGTTGGAAACAGAAATTGGATCTAACGGGACTGACGGAACTGTGTGGGAGGAAAAGAGACAGAGGTCACTTCCACAGCCCTGTGACAACTCCACAAGTGAGCTCCCTTTCCCACGGAACAAAAGCAGGACATGCAGTGCACACGGGCTCTCACCCGCAGCCACGTGAACCTGATGGAACACGAGCACAACGGCGCTCTCTCCTCACTCAGGGAAACACACATCTTCCACTCCTTTAGGAGCACCTTCTCACAAAGGGAGAGCAAAGTGCCACAGGCACAGCACCACTGTGACTGCCTTTCCAACTGCGGCGCTACGTTAATTTAATGATACTGACCTGTAGCGTTGGTCTGGACATAGATGATCTCACTCTTCGCGCCGTATGTCCTTCGTTCATCTGAGAAGGTGACCAGAGTTTTAACAAACACAGCATACTGTGTCCATGGCTTCAGGCCCCGCAGCAGCCAGCCTGGCTGGGCCTGGGCTTTGGGCTCGTTGGACCGCGGCGGTGGGTCCACATCCACCACTGTCCAGCTGTTGGAGCCGCAGGCATCCTGCCCATCGAACTCCGTCACGTTTTGGTATGGACTTAAAAACAAACAAAAATAAGCCTCAAATTAACAGAATCCTGAGATCAAGGCATTGCAGACATGATTTCTGAAGGCATCCCTTATCCCTTGGATGAATTCTAATTATCTCATCCTACGCGTGCTGCGTATTCTGGAAATAAAGCACAGGGAGCTTTGTGACCAGCTTCCTACCAGCACCACACATCAGGTACTGCTCCACACACAACCCAGAGAAACTCAACCTCAGCTAATTATTTTCAGCTGTATGAAAACCAGTTTGGCAAAAATGATTTTTAAAAGTGCTTCTCACCTACAGGGGAATAAGTAACTCTGGAGACAGTGGGGAAATGGTTGGAATACATGCACCTGGAACAGCTGGATCAACTGACGCTGGGGTTGCTCCCTTTAAGTCAGAGAATTTAATTAATACTTATACAAAAGGGCAACACTGGAAACTTGAGCGTGGTCTCTGTGATTGTCCGACTTCTAATTAGCTATGACCACAGCAGCATTAATGTCTACTCTTCAATGCCAAATGTCACTTATGGCAGCCCAGCACTGCCGTCTCTTTGTAGCCCAACCATCGGTTGCTGAAGTTCCCCTCTGCCTGAGCTGCCACTTACGCCTCTTTGTAGAAGAGCATAAATCCCAGGAGGTCACGGAAATCAGGAGGCCAATATGGCTCCCACTTCAACAGGATCTTGTCATGAGATGTTCTGATGGAAGAGAACTTCAGCAATTCATTTTCACCTATAACAAAACAGAGATGACAATCATTTTGTTAATGCTAAGAGAAAAATAAAACTTTCTGTTTTTCAGCATTGTAGAACTTTCAGTCCTCCAGGGAAAAATATGAGAACCTTGGTATTGAGAACTGCTCATTAAAAACTTATCTTACTTCGATGCCATCCCTGCCCCAAGCCAGGGGTGGGGACAGATGACCTCCTGAGGTTCCTGCCAGCTTACATTTTTCTACGATTCTATGAAAATAATCCTATAAAAGCCGAACTGAGTTCTACTAAGTGTGAAATCTAAAGGCACTGTGTTTCAAAATCCACGACAAGACATACATAGACCCAGTAATGGGGTCTGCATCGTTTCTGCAGGCTCTGCCTCGCCCAGCAGCAGCATGCTCCCTTTGCAAACAGCAGCACTGGACAACAAACAGTTGCAGAAGGGGTGGGGTTGTGATTCCCAAGGGAAGCATTACCATACGGAATGTCCAAGCAGCCCAAGGACAAACTGCACAGCCCTGATGGGATTTGCCACTCCTGCAGTAGCTGCACACGGGATGAAGAACATTCACTTTGCTGTCCACACATCCAGCACAAACAAGGTGTTGTGTTTGGGAGTTGGTTGTTTTTTTTTTTTTGTAAACAGGATGCTGCCAATGTGAAAACTTGAGTTGAACCATAAAATCAAAAAGCCAAACACACCAGCAATGTGTGGTCTGAGGTGGGGGGTGGCACAGAGAGCAGCACAGCAAGGCAGGGTTAAAGCTGGCACAGAGAAATGTGACCGTGTGGTCCAGCTGCCTTCAGCACAAAGCAACCAGCCAGCCTGGGAGCTGCAATGCCACAGGAGAGCTGGACCTGAACCCCAAATCCAGCCTCATCTCGAATGTGGGAAGGCCTCGCCGCTGTCTCAAGGGAGGAGATGACCTTTTTAGACAGCTCACTCCTTGTGCTGCCTTGGTCTGCCCAAGCAGAGCTGTGATAGCCCTGGGGCTGTGGCTCAATGCGTGTTTTTGCAGTTTTTAGGTAGGCAGTCATTATGTTCCTCACTCCCCACCATGCTGGCAAGCCTGTATGTGTTGATATGTGGCAAACCAGATCAGGGAAATGATTCAGCTGAAAGATCTCCAGTTGTTATATTTGTTCACTACCAGCTCCATAGCATAACAAAAGGACAGAACTGAAGCAGCGCTGTCACCAAATGCAGAGAAACAGTGCAGCCACAGGATGATGGAAGCATGCAAGCTGTGAAGAGAGTAAGGAACTGAAACCGCAGCTTAACAGATGCTGGGGGTTTTAGTGGCAATATGTTCATCAGCACCTCATGGTTGGAACAGATGACCTCAATGGTCTGTTCCAACCTTACTGATCCTGTAACATCCTGTCCTTGATCCTGCTCCTGCATGCGTTGAAACTGTGTGAGGCTGCACAACAAATCAGAGCAGAGATGCGACAAAGACAAGAACAACAAAGCAGGAATGGCCATTTTTTACCCCAGATTAGCTCTTTGATCTGGTTCACAGGGAGTGGGGATTGCACGTGGCACACAATGGCAACAAACAGCAGAGCTGGGAGTGCAAGAGGAATGTACTCCTGGCAGCGCTGCTGCCAAAATGTGTGTCTACAAAACTACACCTTTGGTGTTGTGCCTTTAGTTAGGGTATCAAGTACCAGTGCCCCTCTGCTCTTTAGCTGTGCCAGTACAGGCACTGGGTTATTGCTATCATCAAAGGAAACTGTTAGCTTAAAAACCTCTGAAAAGCATAATCAAAACTGTGGAAAAAAATTCTGAGAGTTGTCATAGCAACTTATTCTGTGTTCCTACTGCCTCCTCATGACATAGGAAAAGAAGATGATGACTATTAATTGGATGCTCGGCAGTAACACAAGGTCCTGGCTTGGACCGAGGTTATACTGTGCTCAGCTCTTCAAAGAGACACAACAATACACTCAAAATCTCACAGCTGAGCACACAAAGAGAAAACTTCTGAGGACCGAAGCTGGCAAGGCGGGCTCCTGGCCAGAGGCAGCACCCAGGAGTGCTTTACTCATGGCACGCTGACAGCATCCCTGCGGTGTACAAGCAAGTGGCCAGTCACATGCCTGGTGCTTTACCAAAAGGACAAGGACAGTCCCTGGACAAAAATCACACGCTAGGCTGAAGGTGTTAAGAGCATGAAGTCAGCAAAGACAGAGGGAAAGGAAAATGATCCAAGTGCCAGTGCATTCTGAAAGTTCCTTACAGGAAGCTTGGTCACCGTTCGTCTTCAGGGCTATGTCATTCCTCTCCTGACGCCCCTTAGTCCCAGAGATCTCCTCCATCTTGTGGATTTCTGACAAACACAGTTTGGGATTGTAATGGAAGAAGAGTTTGCCTCGTGCTATCGTGAGGTTGTGTTTACTCCAGTCCCAGAGCTGGCGAAGATTCTGGTTGTCCAAGGCATAGAATGAATAATTTCTGAAAGCAGAGAAGGAAAATGTGCGTTGGTAGGGGATCCACTAACTGCCCCTCCCCACATGCCACCCCCTGCCCCAAACACCACACAAAAACAAATGCAAACTGCCTTCCCTGGGAGGCCACAATCCACAGGCAGAGGAATGTTTAACAATAACGCAGGGATTGTTTATCAATACAAATCACCCTGATAAGTGCTGGCACTTCTGACACTTCAAAGTAGTAAAGTCAGACATCTTTTGAAAGAACTCACCCAGCTTCTAATGTTTCTCCTCTAATCAGATGTAGTTTACGAAAAAAAGAAAGAGACACCAAGGCATAAGACCGGCGGATTTTTAGGTAACCTGAGATTTCTTCTATCAAGCCAAGATTCGCTTCTAGCTCAGCTGCTATGTTATCTAGGGAGAGGAAAACATTGGTTTTAGTTTTCTGATAATGCAGGGGGGAACACTGATATCAGAGCTCAAAGAGATGAATTGGAACTGCTCTATGTAAATCCAAAAGACCTTACAAAAATCACTCAGCAAAAAAACCCCTCGTGAATGTGAGAGGAACCTTCGCTCTGCTGTCATTTCTCTCTCGGATTCAAAATGGTCAAAGCAAGAAAGCAACGCCCCAGGTCATGGATGGTGTCATATTCAGCAGCCCCACATCCAGCACTCCCTACACCCGCACTCATGCACAACTTACTTCCTCCACGGATATTTATAACCAAGCTTCCATTAACAACTGTGCAGCCACGGAGCTCCTGTGCCGACGTCACCGAATCGATAGTCTTCTCTTTCCCATAGTCACAAACCTTTGGACACGGCCCTGCACAGGGAGTGCAGTGCAAGCTGGAAAACAGAGAGTCAAGAATGCAGGTGAGATACTCATTGAAGAATGGACTCTGGGACATCTCCAGCACATCTCCAAAGCAGAGTAATTAACTCAAAGCAGCACCATCCTGACAACATGCCATGGGCTTCACTCAAGGTGTGCAACACGTGGCCTCGAGGAACTCCAAATAACTGCTGATTATTCTTAAAATTGTTGATTCCATGCTTTGAACTCTATCCTGAGTGGCCTGGCCACCACGATGCTGTACAGTGCTAACCCCACCCGGGGCCTCCAGACCAAGAAACCCAATGCCTGCTTTCCAATCTCAGAGCACGAACCAACAAGCAGAGTTGGCTGCTCATCTGGGACTCCTCTGATTAAGGACTGTACATGAGGTTGCATTGAAAAAGGCAAGCAACACGTGCTTTGTGCTCTGGGGAAACGCTTCTTAAATGGCAGCAAGAACGATGAGTGCTTGCCCTGGTCATAACACCACAAGAATGTGTTTCCAACTTGTTTGGAGAAATAACTGCTCCAGGAAAAGCCCAGTGTTGTGAGGTCCCACTGACAGCAGCCTGGAACAGGCACAGGAGAGAGGAGACGGCTGCTGCTACACAACAGCATATCTACTCTGGGGGCTGCTGGATCAACCTTTTGAAAAGCAATAGAGGAAACAGAACATGAAGTCCTGTTAGAGTGAATTCCCTGAAACCGTTATGGCAGGAGCACATGCATGCAAGCAAAAGCTAGCAATATTCATAGGAAATCTGACTCATCTCAATACATAACGTTACTGTGGGACAAACAGCACAGTTTTCACCGATATACAGCTCAGCAACATCAATTATATAATTTCTTTGCTGAAAAAACCTGGGAACAAGTGGAACGGCTGCTCCCTGCTTCGACTCGTGCTACGGCTGTTTGTCCATTTCTGTCTGGCACAACCTGAACCTGCTCAATCAACGTAATTATGGGGATGAAGGACAGACATGCTAAGAACGGCCCAATCCAAACGCGCTGTGCTCCCATGATTAGACACAACTTCTCCCCGTTCTGCTCAATAACAAGGCTTCCTGCTCCGAGGGCTGACTGCAGGGAAGGCATGCAGGGCTGCTGAGGCCGCTCTGTTCCCCACTTCCCATCTCCCCTTGGTTACAGGAGGACCCCTCCGACTGGAGGACACTGCTCCCTCTCTTCCAGCCTTCCTCTCCCACTTTTTTTCCAGGCAGGACAGTGAGCAAGCGAGGCCAAACGAAGCAGAGCAAGAAGAAACTCTTGGCATGTAGTAGGTAAGCCTGTCTGCTTCTAATGGTTTCAATTAGCAAGGTATTAGTTCGCAAATCACCTTAAATAGACCAGGTAACTGTCACAGACACTCAAACACCGAAATCTTGGTCTCACAGACCGCAAATCCTCCAAGCCCAACCGAAAGCAAAGCACGGGGCACAGCAGCAGACCAGCACCCAGCCCGCAGCCCCGCACTTACTTGCTGGAGTTCATGATGTACCCCGACGGGCACTCGTGGACGCACTCGTTGTTGTGGATGACGTGGCAGCCCGACTCGCGGGCGCTCTTGCACTTGTTGTGCAGCTCCTGGCAGAAGCTGAAGGTGACGCAGCGCCAGCCCTCGAAGCGGTAGTGCCCGGCGGGGCACGTCTCCACGCACCTCCCGTCCAGGTAGAAGTTGCGGCACGCCACGCAGCGCTCCGCGTTGTTGGGCTCCGTGCAGTCCCCGAGGCACTCGCTGTGACAGCACTGCCCGTCCGACGTGCAGCCCTGGGACTTGCAGGCAGGTGGGCAAACTGCAGAGCGAGAAGGGACGAAGCTGAGTGCTGCGGTGATGGGATCAGCGCGGCCTGAGCGGCGACCGCGCGCCATCACACCGCCCCGCAGCTCCCCCCAACAGGGAGCCCTGGAGGGCACAGCTGCTGCTGCTGCTCCGCTTCTCAATCGCAAATTGAACATTCTGGAGGTGTGTTGGCATTTAAACTTCATTCACGCTCATCTTCCAAAACAGCAAGCTGAGCTTTTTTTACAGCCTCAGACCACAATAAATAAAATGTACAGTAAGAAAAAAACATGAAGTAACCCCAAACCTTCCTCAAAAGAATGCAGATTGAGTAAAGGAGCCACTGCCGTCCCCTACAGCCCCTCTCCCATGTATCACTTCGGCCCCCCTTGCAGCCCCTCTCCCCCTCAGCCCCACACAAACCGTGGCCATTGGGTGCCCGTTTCCCCTCCATGCCGTGCTGGAGGGGCTCACTCTGGGGAGGCTTCAGTCGTGCTGATGCACCACGGTGTTATTTTTAACTCCTGGCAGACGTGTGCCAGCACTCAGCGTGCCGCTCCCGTGGCACTGCGTGCTGCTGGGGTCCCATCAGAGCAGCGGGGAAACGAAGCCCGTGCTGCAGGGCACAGAACTGAGCGCGTCGAGCAGCCGGTGCAGCCCTGAGCAAACAGCGGGGGTGGGTGGGAGCAGCTTCTGCTTCTTCACAGCCAAGGAATCCTTCGAAAAATAGGAGCCAAAGCTCCATCCTAAGGTCGGTCTGACCCCAAACATCTGCTGCTCCCCCAGCAGCCACACCACAGGTACTGTGCTGTGCACCCCCAGGCCTGCCTGCTAAGACGGAGCACAGAGGGCGTTCCAAATTCACCCCTTGGTCTCATTTTGTGAACTCAGCACTTAGAAATGGCCAAGGATTGAAATGTAGCGGGCAAGGAAAGCAGCCTGCAGATGCTACCTCACAGCAGACAAACAAAACGAGAGGCTTCTTCCCAAACAATGCTCCTACACTCTTTATGAGGCCGTGGACGGAGCTCCGTCTGGCAACAGATGTCACGGCTGCAGTTTATTAGAGATACTGGCAACAGGACGCAGACAGAAAATTCCAGAACTTCATCCAAAACATCAATCAAACACTTTGATTGTGGGACGAAATCTCATGCTGATGGGGGGGGAGCAGACTGAGCAATTCCTCTGCAAAACCCGGGGTGGCACTGAGCAGCTCCTCCCCCCGCGCCACCACAGTTCTGTTTGCAATGGAAACCGATCTGCAAAGTGCTGTGCTTACTTACAGATCTTCAAACTCAGCTGCACAAATTCACAGGGCAGAAACCATCTGAACTCTCAACTCTGAAGGCTTTTAGAAGATACAACTGAACTATTTTTCAGTTGATCTGGATGTTTTGCTCTAAGAGCTCTGATGTGTAAAAGACAGCCCAAAGACAGCCAGGCAGCCAAGGCTCCTGCTCCCTCCATGAGGTGCTCCATACACTGCCAGCCACCATTCTGTGCAAAAGCTGGGCACCACAGACCCACCAGGTGACAAACTCTCAAACCCCAGCACACGCAGTGGGATGCACTGCGATTTCTGAGCTCCTGAGAACCTCACAGGAACCCCTCCAGCATCCCTTCGCTCCCACGCGCCCTCACAGCCCCCAGCCCAGCAGCAGGGCAGCAGATCCGCGCCGGGCCGGGGCAGCGCAGGCCCCAAGCTGCTGGTCGGGGCGGATCAATGTTTAACCAGCAGTGAGGGCACCCTGCAGACCTGGGACGCAACGCGTCCTGCAAAGCTTCTGACTGCAGATCCAGGCAGGCACTTCTGTGCGCAGCTGAGGCCCAGCAAAGGGGGGCAGAGGCAGCCGAGTCAACGCAAAGGAATTCCCACCTGCAGGGCTCTCCCTTCTGGGCCTCAGGTGGGAGAGGAGCACTCGGAACTGTGAGCAGGACCAGCACACGCAGCCAGGGGAGCTGCGCTGAGCAGGAGAGTCAATCGGCACTGGGCTGCCTGGCTAATTCACACCGTTTGAGCCTCGAGGTGTGGTTAAAAGCACCTGCATTAGGTCTTGTTTCTATCTGGCTGCTAACACAACACTAGCGAGAGGATGGTCAAAGTAAAATAAACCGAAAGTCGCCCTGGGTGAGCCCTGCTTCCCTGCGGACTCACGCAGCACAGCCACGGCACCCAGCGCTCAGCAGCACGGGGATGGCGGCTCCTGTCTGCTCCAGCGCCCGGCCTTCTGTGAGCACCAGCACAGACTGCACTGAAACCCAAACGGGTTCTCCTTATAAAGTCATCTAGGAAGCACGTTAGATAGAACATCAATTTGTTCTTTGACTTGATCGCTTCTCAAAGTCAACCCAGCTCCGCTGTCAAGACCTTCCAATTCAGCACGGCCCCCAGTGGTGTTTGGGATTGCCTTACATTGTAATTTCTCTACATGAAACAACTCTGTTTTTAAGCTCACGACCACCTATTTGTTTGTGAGCCATTAACTGGAACCCACCAAGGCTCCAACGCCCCGGCACAGCAGCGACTGCACAAAGCAGGCTCAAGGCCTTGCAGTCAGAGCTGCGGCTGAAGCGTTATTTATAAAAAGGAAACTGAAGGAGACTGCAGCACATCACGCCCCGACCCCGAGCCGCGCGCTGGGAGCGCTGGGAGCTCCATCCTCACACAGGAACAGATAAAATTAACCGCAGGTGCCTCCCTTCCCACAGATAGCAGCTTCCAAAAACAACACGCCGTTACTAGAACATAAAGGAAACGCTTCCCACTGCCATTTGTCCGGGACAATATTGCAGTTCTTATCTCACGTATCAGTAAGGATAAGGGAAGCCTTGTGTTGCCTCCAGCCCCTCTCGTAAGTGACACCCGCTTGGATGAAGCCGTGGTGAATGGCTCAGATGTTCCAAGAGGGACCGATGAGCCCTCAGGGCTGCATCCCAAATGGCAGCGGGACATCCCAGCACCACCACGGCTTAGCAAAGATAAAGGGGCTTGGGGCTGATACTGGAGGATGGGGGCTGTGGGAAGAAGTGGGTGCATGGAGATAGGACCAGGTTGAGCTCTGGTGCCGATGCAGGAGCGGAGCAGACGAAGGCAGACCTTCGAGGACCTGTCTCCTCCACGCTGACCTTCTGCTGTTTGCACTGTGCAGAAACCACTCTTAATCCCATGGAGTTTTTCCCAAATAGAAAAATCTACTGATACATCATTTTTGCCAAGAAATACAGAAAACTTACCATGAGGAACTCACACATGTCTCTAAATAGGCACATACACACCTTTTGATACATATAACAATAAATACAGGGATAAGGTGAGCAGCTCTGCCTGGCCCCACACTGACCACAGCCCCAGTGCCCAGATCTTTCTCTGTCCCTCTCCTGAAGTTCTCATCCCACTCTCTCCCACCCCAGCTATTTACAGGGGGAAGCAGAAGCCCCCCTGTGGGTGTGCAGAGCATGGAGTGAAGACACCCCAGCACCCACAGCATGGCAGCGAGCAGCCTGGGCCTCCCTGAGGTGCTGGGGTCACTGCCCAGAACTGTGGGGATGTGGCACTGAGGGATGCAGTCAGTGGGCACGGGGGGTGCATTGTGCCTGGGGAGCTTAGAGGCCTTTTCCAACCTTTACGACTCCATGATCTCAGAGCAAAGCAGTTCTTTCTGATGAGACCTGGGAAACAAAGCTGAATTATAAATGAAAATGCAGCTCAAGAGCAGCTCTGTTTTCACTCCTCCAGCACCTGTCAGGTGAGCAGAATCCCCGAGCAGCTAAAAACAACTCCTGGAACCTGGCTAAAGTGGCAATTGAGCTGGCAATCGAGATAAAAACAGCCAAACACAGAGTTTGATTTGAAAACAGCAGAGTCGTTAAGGGCAGAACAAGTGTCACAAAGTGCACATGGGGACAACAGTCAGAGCTGAAGAAGTGAACACCTCTCCCAGTGCCCACAGCACCGCTGCTGTGCTGCTCCCTGGCACAGTGAGCTCGCTCCTTGTGCTCCGTGCTCAGTGAGAGGCACGCTTTGTGCAGGGATCCTTGCATGTCTGGTTTGCTTTTTCAGCCCCAAGCTGACACTACATCTCCAAGCAAAGCCTGGAGCCCCCAGCCAGTTACCACTAAGCACAGTGATACCAACACAACCATTGCTGCTCTTGGCCCCAGTGGTGGCTTACAGCTGAACAACATCAGGAAACCCACTGTTCCTCCAGTACCTGGGGGCTGTTTCCAGCCCCAGTCCCAGCAGCAACCTACAGCCTTTGGGAAGGAAACAACGTGACGGCTCCTGGGCATCAGCCAGCTGGTCAACACAACAGAACAGAGGATTTGTATGGACACCGAGAGCAGAATCTTTGAAAGGGTTTGGGGGAATTTTTCTGCAAACCTTTGCCCATGTTTTCACTCACACCTTGTTGTTGTTCTTTAAAGTTCAGCCCACGTTACAACCCAAGGATCAGCTTTTATCGCTCAATGGTTGACATGCCAGCCAGGAACCTCATGAGAGCTTCCTGTTAATGTTTAACCACGCATTACTCTTTCCGACATACAGCATCTTGCAAACATCCCCCTCTGCTTTAACCTCTCCTCATGCTGAGGCCCAGGAGCATCACAGTGAGGGAGGCACCACGGCTGTCCAAACACCCAGGAGCGAGGTGAGGCTCCCCACCACCAACACAGCCAAAGGTCTCTGCTTCCATTCCCTTCTTCACTGTTGGCATCACACTGTGACCACAACAGTGGTGTCTCAGCGCTGAGTGCTGAACCACGATGAGCCCAGGAGATGAGCACAGAAGCTGGCATCTTACAGACTGAGGAACAGCCACACAGAGATGAGCAGGAGTGCTTCCACGTACGGTGACAGCCAAAACCCTCCATTTCCCAAACGTAGGGAAATGTAGCCACTGCTCCTACGTTAAGCCTTGTCTGGAAAACAAGGAGTGATGTGAGCACAGAAGAATTATAACCTTTGCCTCCTGGAAAGATAAGAGGGGCATAAAGAGGCTTTTCTCAAGG